CCCTTGAGATAATGGGCATGAGGCGTGACGAGTTCAGTCATAAATTATCGCCACGTCTGAAAGTGGACTTGATTTTTGTCGAGATTGCGTGAAAGAGGAAGAGAGAGAGAGTGAGCAAATGCTCCCATAATCCCTTCATCCTCACCATTATTCCTTGATTTCCCATTTGAATTCAACTGGTTTTCAAGATATTATTTTCAATTTGAAAAATTTTAAATTTTTATTATCACGAAACAAAATCGGTTATTTCGAATTGTGCATGCATAAATTTCTTTTCTTCTTTAGAAATTTAAATGTTGAATTTAAAAATTGTTACGATAATACAATATCAAATTAAAGGCGAATCTTAATAAATTCTTAAATCTATAAAGACAAAACTTTAAAAATCATCAAGCAAGGAAGAAGCTGCCCGAATTTGGGAAACTTCTATTTATTTCGAAAATTCGAAAACATCTGCCTTCTGCTCATTGGTCACATTGTTTTCTTTGCAATTTTCCTTTTCAATACAATGCGGTCTAGCATTATAAATAAATTTCAATAGCACCATCTTACAAATCTTCCAGATCACACAACATTTTTTTTGTGGTTCACAATGGTTTTGTTTATACTCGCGATTTTCACATTTTGATCATATTGTTGGAAGGAGGATTTCGCATTTTTATCCCGTAAACTAGCCGTTCGCCACTATTTGATGAGTGTGTCAAGTATACGCGACGACAAATGCTCCATCGACTATCATGCAGCGAGTTGTGTCTCATGTTTTTTTTTGTTTTCGATTCACACAACCTGAAACATTTTGGTAGATCCATTTGCCTCATTACGAATTCTCGCCAAAATTCACACCCATTCAATTTTCAAGGCCAATACTTCCGACGCAAAAATTTGTTTCGGCCTACTTGCATACATTCTAGAAATACATAAGTATGAAAAAATAAATCAAAAAAAAACGAGAGGCTTTAAATGCGATATTTTATGTAACCTTTGACATTCTCAAACCCTCATTTTTGCCTTCTTCGGTTGTATTCAAGTAACAATTGTTGGCCTGCTATCGTGTCACACGCGAACCAAATCCAATTGGCGTGATTGCACGCGCCTTCTTGGTGAAAAAGAGATCCTCCCCACCCCACCCATGCACACAAAACTATCTCAATTCACATTATTTTCATGGGAGGATTGGGATTTAAACGGAAACCCATTATGTTCCGACGTTCGGCTCCCGAATTATCTGATTTAGAAATCTTTGTACGCCTTTATTTTGTTTTTGGCTCGCTTCTGAATGTGTGTGTGTGTGTGCTCCGTTTTTTCATGACCGGTGGCGCCGCAGTGAAAACAAATGTTGGCGTCACAAGATTAATAACAATTTTGATGGATAGTTGCTCCTCTTATTTTCGCGCCGAAATTCGGATTTTAAATATTTCAACCGACGAAAAATTTATTGTACAAGCATGCTGCTATCTAGATTTCAAGAAAATTCGAAATTGAACTACAAAACGTACATTTGGCAAGTTAATAATATTTCCAATAAAGTCTGAAAACGAGGCTTATTACTCTTTACTTTCTTCCAAAAGATATAGAGTATGGTAATACATGATACAGCATTCTTCTTTTTAATGTAGAATTGTATACATCCGTATATGTACATAATCCAAACCTGTTATTCTGGAAGTATTACTAGTAAAGGTCCTCCAATTTATTCATTCTTTTTACCCTCAGAAATTGTTTTCAACCATTTGTTCGACACTCGTTATACATCAAAACCCAATAACCATTTGTTCTAACATTATGAGGTATCGTCGTTTTGGCGTAAAGAAAACCGCAATTTCAAAAGATGACTCGTTTTGTTCATTCTTTTTGTCTGCCGGACAGAATCCTTGTGTTATTAAAAACAACAGTATACATAACATTCATTCATTTCTTCCAAATAAATGCATTGATGGAAAGAAAACTCATCGAAATTTCCAATGCATGAGGATGTCGCCGTTGTCGGGAAGCGCATCATCTCGGAAACAGCCTCGCCTCAAACGATCGGCACTTCTTTTGTGTAGTGGTTGCATAGTTTTTAACGAGCTTCAACCCCTCAGTTTTTACGTTCTTTTTATGATTCGGCTCGTTACCCAAACGCAACACGCGTGCTCATTTTTACAAAACATTGCTTGTTAACGCACATGTATGTGTATTCGCTTTTCCGAAAAAAATCTAGTTCACAGAAATCATGTATGAATAATTATGAAGACTTTGATTACGGTAATAGCTCACATTTAAATTTTTTTTTCTTCATTATGCGCCATATTTAGGAGAAGCTTTTCAGAATATATATGATATGTACTTATAATTTTTGCACCGCAATTGTTTGGCAACCAATTGGCATTTTTCCAATTTGGGCATCACCCTAATTCGATTTGATTGCATGGTGAGGTTGACATCGCAAAAGAGTACGGCTCATTAAATCGATCAACATTTTCGTCACAGACCCTCTGTGTTGTTTTTTCGGCAATCTGAATCAAACCATGCAATTTTGTTTGTACAGTGCAATTTTCTTAGTTTCAAGGATTTCAAACAGCGATGGTATTGGTTTTTGAAATAAAGACGCAAGTACTCTTTTGGTACCCGGAACACTAATTCGATTTGTAAGTTAGATCGCGCATTTTCGACAAGAATACCGGTTATCAAATTACAAATTAATGCATGGATATTTAGTGAATATAATTACAATTCCTACTTGTTATAGTTTTATATTTTAGAGATAATTGCTATGCAATTATCAGAAACTGTAAATTTTATTTTTTTTGCGCTATTACTTTGTTGTCCGTTTCAAGAAGTTATCAAATTTCAAACTATGAATATGGTTTTTCATAGTGATTTGAATCATATAATTACAACCTACAGTCTTATAGATTTTATCAAAGTTTCTTTTTGGATCGGTATAAGTGAATGGGTTTCTTTCGTTAATTTCAAACAAGAATAGCGATTTGTCATTTTTTTAAACTTTCAAATTTTTTTCAAACTTTGGATTTTTTCTCAAAAATTAGTTCCAAGGACTTCAAAGAGTCCGATTTTAAGACTGCCGTATATATATATATATATATATGTACGTATACATCGTTTATTCTAAAATTTGTTTCTTAATTTCCAGTTTGTTGTTGAATAATGATTCAGAATTGTTTCCGAAAACCGTCGCACAATATTTTGACTTCTCATAAAACGGACAGCGAAAAATTGCTTTCTGAATGTTTTAGCGTGGCGAAAACACGCCCACCGGCCACAACGAAAATTCGCATACACCCGCGAATATCTATGCCAATTTTTCTTGCGCGGATTCATTTACGCATCATCTCATGTCTTTCAGCAATTAGGATGATGATGATTACTTTAATTATTATAACACAATTATTTTCGGATTCAAAGAATCCGTTTTGACTTTCACGATCTATTTGTTTTTGTTTTATTAGACGCGTATTGCAACAGAATGAAAAACCGATATCCCAGCGAATGAGTGACAAAAGGAAGGACGTTCGTGTGGCGAATCACCTTTGTTTCAATTCCCACCAATCGCATGTTGGTTTTGCACTTTTTTTCCCGATGAGTTTGCTGCGTTTTTTTCAGGTTTCGATAGTCGTCAGTTCTAAAAATAAGAGAAAGCCGCTTGCTGTTACTCACTTCAATATTTACCGTGCCATCGGTCATGGTGTTTGGTTAACTTTTTTGCGTTTGAAGGAGCGTAGGTTTAGTTACAAAATTCAATTTCAGTCATCTTGTGTATTGATTGCTACGACTTGCTGTTGAACACAACTTATGTGGATTAATACGGTATTAATGAAGCTTAACTTTGATGAACAAACATTGACATGTTAGACGGTGTGCTTTGCGAACAATACTAGTTTTGCGATATTGCGCGTTATCATCAAATGTCTAAAGTCAGCAAACTTCTATAGCTTGTTATTTTGCAATAAATCATACATTATAGCTATTTCATAAAACTGGAAGAATATAGTTTATCTAAATTAGAAGACACGCATATCAGACATCTCAAGCTGATGTAATATTCTACAAGAATTTTGAATGAATTAGTTTTATTTTAGTTCATATAGAACATTCTAGTTTAGTTATTTGAATGAATACCTTAATTGAAATATGTCATTTTATGTATTCAAACCATCTTTTTGCTGATCATTCAAGCTCTCAAATTCAATAATTCGTAAATTTTCCATATTTTTCAACATTCAAAACTTTGCAAAACTTTTTGAATGTGAAAGTTGTAAATCATTCTTTATCTTTGTTTTCGTTTCGCGAAACTGAACTTTCCCATACTTGAAAAAGAAAAGCGAACCGAATTAGAGTAATTTTGCAGTGCGTCAATACATTTGTCACTTTCTCCACAAGCCAAAAACCTTTGCGCTATTTCTCTTGACCATAAGACAAACTGTTTTGAGAAGCAGCTGTTGTGGTCGGTTACCAGAATTTGGAAACAGTAATCAATTCGCACGACTACTACTGTTGGTGGTTGGGGCGGTGTGCTTTTTAACACTTGCACTCTTATTGTCCCATTTCTGTTTTCTTTGTACAAAATAACTAGAGTGGTAAAGCTAGGACAATGTTTGTACTTGCTTTGCCCCGGCTTGCTTTTTATGACAACTTCGACCGACGCCCGTGTACATTTCCAAAACCCTCCAACTTTTCAACTTTTTCAAGTTTCACGCCAGATGGGTCCCAACGTGATATAATCCATGCTCAAGTTTTTTTCCTTGTTGCCTGGCTCATGTTTGTTTTCAACTCGTGAATTGCTTTTAAAGCATTTCGAGTATCATGATTAACAAGAATAAACAATTGAGATTTTTTTCCTCTTCTCTTTTACCTCAATTCTCAGCTGGATTCCATCGCGGTTACACAAAAACCGTCACATATCTCGAGGCTTTTGTCAATCACGAACCACTCACTCTTCTTTTTTTTTGCGTTCTATTCTTATTGCCCTCATGGACTTTCTATTTATTGATGGATTTCAGATGGAAGACGCTCTACCACAATCGCCGAGCAAGACTTCGCCGTTTCTTTCGCTGTTCAGAAGAAAGAAGAAGGTGAATGGCACGAAGTCATCAGACAATTTGAAACTCACACCACAATTGCAAGATAAAAAGAAGGTAGTTTCTAATACGACCTCAACCATAATTACAAATTTCTTTTCTGTAGACATTTTCAGAAAAAATTATTCTGATTATCATTATACTATATATAATATAGCGCCACAAATTCTTTTCATTCAAATATTTGTTTAAGTGTTTGAACATAAATGTACGCACAGTTAAAAAGGGGTTACTTCGACAGCTTTTAAGACCTCTGTCCCAATCTTTATTTCGATTGAGCATCATGACTTTATTTTGTGTCAGCTGACTCGTCTCAATTTGGAAGAATCATGTGTCGCTTCATTTTTTTGACAAATCGAATTTTTTTGAAAGACTCGTCGAGTCTCCAGTTTAATCTTCTGGGGGTGAAAAACGAAGAAAGATGAGGGACAACAGCGATTTGGTTGACCGGAAACCAATTATTTTTCGATTTATTTGGACCACATTCAATAATCATCTCTTCAATTTTGATTTATTAAAACTTTACAACTCGGCCTTCTCCTCGAAAACCACGAAAATATCAAACTTGCCTGTTTTATGATATGCTTCTGAGCAATTGGATATAAAAACAACAACACCGTTGGATTCCCATGAGGCATAAATGTAGAAGTGCTAGTTTTTGGTGTGGTTTCCGGCAAGAGGTTTTTAACAAGTGCCTATCCATTCTCGACCCTCCTCAAACGCGTCGTGTTGCCATTTTGGGATTTTTGGAAGTCCTTATATTCATCCACTTTTTGTTTGTCATTGTGTTTTTTTATTCCATTTATTCTCAAACGTTTTGGTTACAGGAAAAGGATTTCAAAGCGTTTGGAAAAGAGAATAAAAACCTTGTGACTAGTAACACAATGCCCGCCGACATGGACGGAGGCAATAAGAAAAAAAAATCAGCGAAAAAATCAAAGGATTTGGGAAAGGTTTGATATTTATCACGATTGCGATTTTTGATTGCATTTTTACAGTCAATCTCGATGGATGTGCTACTGGAGGATGAAGCAGCAGTGTTGGTTGAGGCTCTCGAAGCGATTGGGGATGAGAAGCCGATCGTTGCCAGAAGCATCCCAAAGCATGCCAGAATTGTCAAAAAAGAAGACAATTCTATGAAGAACTGTTTGTTTGAGAAGGAGGTGATCTAGTTGAACATTTTTTTTTCAATTTTTCAAGTAACTCTAAATGTAAACCAACAATATACATTTTAGTTAAAAAAATCTGTATATATATATATATATATATATATATATATATATATATATATATATATATATATATATATATATATATATATATATATATATATATATATATATATATATTCTTTTAGGTATACGATGGAATGCTTTCGGATTCCCTTCGAGTCTGCGAAATGCTTCAGTCCCATTTGGATGATTGCATTGTTTCAGTTCGTGCGAAAAGTCCAGATGCAACATTGTCGTATTCATTGGTTCGTTATCCCTCCAATCAAAAATGACCAATTAAAAAATTTCAATTTTTTTTCAGGATGGTCGCGATTCAGGAAGAGGAGCTTCATCGCCGTCATCGACAATGTCGTCCACGGCAAGCCCAAATACCAGAACTCGCGTCTTCAGAGAGACCCATATGTAAAAACGAACGTCATCTTTAATTTCCTGAAAAAAGCATAACGAATAATCCCCCCATTCCATTATATCTTCGATTTTGTATGATCTTCAACCAAATGTTTTGTTCAATTAAAATATATTCGCCGGGTTTCGTTTCACAATTGAACCATCTATTGCGCTTAACAGTGACAACATTTTATCTCGACCCCCCATAATGCTTATTATGATGTATTTATCTTTTTTTCTCCCAATTCGCAATTTAATGTTGTAGGCCGGAATCTATTACAGGTCCTTTAATAAACCAAATAGCATTATATATTATTAATTAATTATGGGAAAAATCTGGCGGATAACAATTTTTTGTAAGGTGGACAAAGTGCAAAAAATAACAAAAAAAAAAGAACGAAATTACATTTATTTGGCAAAGATTGATTAAGTCAGAGCCTGTCTGCTCATATGAAACTTTTTTTGTGAAATTTGTAAGACTTCAGCAAAGTCACTAAAATGCAGAGACGATTTTGCCTTCTTCTAGCATTACCACATGTAAAATAAGCCAACATTGCATGAAAGTAAGTTCCGATAAAATGAATGACTATTGAACACTTTTAGTCGATGTATATGCTAAATTTTCCACCATCAGCATATCAATTTTTGGATCATATTTTAGTAATTTCCAAAAATTATTGCTATCATGTATTATGCTTATGTACAATTATTCCAAATTTCCTTGAATATTTTTTTAAAATCAAAGTTATTTGATTGAGCTGAATTTCCAAATGCGGTTCTCAGTTGAAGAACATAAAACACCCATCTCGACATCTTCAGATCAGATTAAAATAATGGGAAATGACCGTAGATTAGAATTTGCATACCACCGCGGCAAACTCAGCCCCATTCTTGCCAACTTTTTTTCAACGTAGTCTTCAATATTAAAATTTGAAGTGTTCCTTACTTGAACAAAATTTTGGAAATATTTTGGTGAGTAAAGATCTATTAGATGTTGTTTACGTTTTGTTATTGACATACATCAATGACGAGTTTGTAGTATTAGGAATCAATGTGTGTTAACTGAAGACGTGTGGATAACTTGGCTTACCAATCTAATTATTATTTTGTTGTTTTCTTTTGAAACAACAGTAACAATCTGATATGCACAAATCGCCACAGCTTTTGATATTTTTTTCCCAAAATAAATTCACATAATTTAAATAAAAATGAATTTAAATATTTTTTTGGTGACTATCTCAGATCACACATTAGTTTCTATAGCAATGACATACATACATATCAACCTTTGCAGTAGAACAAATAAACATCCAAAATGAACATTGGAAAAAAGCATTTCCAAACATTTTACTTTACCTTTTTATTTCATTTTTGAATGCAACGTCGATTGTTGTGCGTGAGTTTTTCTTGTTTTCATTCAATTATTTGTGGCGCGTAGTTGAATTTCAGGTGTCTCTGGTCATTTTTCAAAGAAATCAAATCAAAAAATGACACCCGTGTCGAAAATAACCGACATTTTTTTTTTGGAATATTTCCCCAAAACTGCACTCAGACATGCATAATTATTTGAAATTTGTAGTCGTATATATTTTCGCTTCGTGCTATTCTTTGCATAACTTGAACATGTCAATATGTTTGAAAGACATCTGGATTGCGCGTAATTAAAATAGTGCAAAACCCCGGGACGAGCCGATTCATGGCGTTAGCATTCACTTACGATGTTTTGAGATAAACATTCCATTTTTGCACTTTCAAAATTAATTCGGGAATCCCTTCGCAGTTTCATTAAAATTGAATTCCTTGTTTCAGTTTTTTTCCATTATTTCACGATTTCACGCATTAATTATTCGTCGCGTTAGTTCATTACGATTTTTTTTTTGCTAACATGTTTGAAAAAATTTTCATTTTGATATTGGAAGCAATTATAGAAATTTCAATTGGCTTTGAACGTTTTTCTTGTCCGTTTATTGAAAAGAATTTTGAAGCTCAATCATATTCAAGATTTGTTTATTTTAGATTTTTGGCACAACAATGGCTGCTCTAAGGAAAAGGTTTGTGATTTTATTTTATATTGGTTTTCGAATTTGCATTGATATTCGGGAAATGCGCTTCAAATGAGTAAGTTCAGTTAGAAATAAGTTTTATAAATCCTTTAGCTCATGTTTGACACAAATTGGTTTCATTAAAAATACTATGCCTAGCATTGATGGCTTCAAATTTCACTTTCCCATGATTTTCTGCTCGTATGTTTTCTTTTTTTAAGAAATTCGTATAATTAAGAATTCGGCTAAAACATCTGTCAAGATATCTTATGATTCTAACGATTCAATTCAAGGAATAGATTATTCCATTTTTTTTTTTGAAAATCATTACGTGCGTTTCTTGCCTTAAAATTAACCGCATTGAAAAAATATATATAATTGATGCTTCATTTTCAATTCCTGCAATCGTTTTTTTTATTATGTGCAGTAGCTTTCCAATCTGAAGTCTTTTTTTCTCAAATTGAGAAAAAAAAGTGTGAAGATATTTATCTTGAATGCTAAAATTTTGTTAGGTTAGAATTCGAATTCGTGGAAATCGAGGGTAGCATTTTTGTAATTATCACTTGTTTTTTTTTTAAATTTATAGCGTAATTTCACAACTCCAACACATATATTTTATATATTTTCATTTTATTATATATTTTTCTTTTTATCATTTGAGCTTTTACGCGGAGCATCGGAACAAGAACAAGCATTAAGCTAAACAATTATTTATGTCTTTCAACCTATCTATCGAACAGCAATAATGAAGCCTTCAGATCTTTTGAAAGTTAATACATTTAATATAAATTGAAAGGTGGCCCGCCCGAGTTGAACGATTACACTTGTAGCCACTTGTTCATTTTGCACGCACTAGCCCCGATCGGCCTACAATTGCGTTTATTATCTGGGGCAGAGGGGGGCATTTAAAATATTAACAGCGGACTTGTTCGAAGCTAATTCTTTCGCTGCCTGATGTTTTTTTTTCTTGCTCCTGATGTGTGGGCTGCCATGTCATTGACACTTGGCAATTCGTGTTGCCAGAATGTAATGAATTTCGGCATAAGTAATTAGACACCAAATATAGGATTCATTGTTTCTTTGAGTCATTTTGATTCACAAGTATATATACACAAAATGTGGTGAATTTTTTTTCAGGCTAATTTTGAAATAGGCATTGTATTGTGTGTCCGCTTGTGCCATATTTTCTATTATTTGAAATTGTACTCCCTTCGAGCATTTTTTTTCGCCTTGTCGTCCTATTTAACCGAACAAGAAGGGCGTTGAAGAAGAATACGCTGGTGAGCAGTGTTCGGGAGTCTCGAGCTAGCTGTCTCATCCGGGACTTTACACTTGAATTTCTCCGCTTTCGCACACTATTTCAACTCGGGATTGATGCCCGGCACGCACCCAAATCCCGCATTTGCTACGTCGTTCCCGAATGGTGAGCAACATATTTTTCCATACATTTTCATAAAGTATGCACTCGTTTACTCTCTCTCTCGTCAATGCTATAAAAAAGCGTCGATGCGCTGGGAACGTTTGAAATTGTCGCCAGTTTACAATCCCAACCGTTTTTGAGCCGCCCCCAAAAATTGCATTTTTTAATGCTGCGTTGTTAATAAGCATGTTTATGTTTCGAGTTGTGGATACTATGGAAACTCAATTTCCTCTTGTCGAAAATTCTCTCAAAAATGTATAATTTTTTTTGTCAAAAAATAGTAGTAAGCTTTTTTGAATACTTTTTCCATCCAATATATATATTAATGTTCAAAATTTTTATTATCAAAAGATGTTGTGGTGATTAATAAGACGCCTCGCGTAAAGTTTTGTTTCAATTATTTTTGTCGAACAGTTGTTCACATAACCTATGGCTAAGATATAGGAGTCTATACAACATGAATTGAACCCCAAGAATTTGCCTCATTATTCTTGTGTGTGCGTCCGACAAATCGCTATTTAAATCGGCTCATTCGCCTACGGTATCCAATTTACACTCACGATTGATTGCTTTAATGCTATGAATCGTCACTTTTGGTATAGTTGTTGGGAAATGAATGTTTTTTGTGTGGTCCTAAGACAAAACATTTACCCGCTTGGTATCCTTTTTAAAATCGGGTGGCTTGCATTCATCTGATTTCTCTGCTAAAAAACCTTATCCCAAGGGGTTACCTATTCCCATATATCTAAAAAGACATTAGATACGCTCATTTTTAGGCATTTCTTCAGTTGAACGTATCAGATTTCTCTGGTTGGCACAACTTTAAACTTCAAAATAATGAAATGGCAGGAAAATGACGTTTTTCATAGGCTCGCAATGTTTTATTTAAAAAAAAAAACTCAAAAAAAATGTTTTGGTTTTTAATGTGCATTTACTAGTTTTTTGTTTCATTGCAAAGCATTTTTCCATCAATATTTGTAGCATTGTGCGCAATGATTCGAATTTCCACTGATATTTGCATTTGTGTGCTCGGCACTCATCCCCATCCCTGCAAACAATACCGTCTGGATATTTGCAACACTGCGCCTCGATCTCAGCCGACCCCCCCCCCCAATCATATTTTGCTTTTTGATTTCATAACACTTATGTAAGTGCAATTGACTGGTCAGATTTCAAACAGCTAATCCCTTTTCTAAACTTTTTTTTTCTCGCCATTTCTTTTTTGAATGCCCCATCTCATTTTTCCTTCTTTTGCTGCATCATCTCCAATTTTTCCAATTCTTCTATCCTGCTCTTTCTGCCTTGTAGTAAATCTCATTATCTTCTGAGATGACTTTTTACTCGACTCCCCCCTCATAAATATTTGGCTATGAATCAGAGCCTTTGCATGTAGAGCCTAATTACTGGATTAAGATCAATGTACAGTGGCAATTAGTGGTTGCTCGGCGACATTGCCATTGGAAGGAAATGTCAAACAATTTTGTATCAAATTGCTGAATGTCAGAATTCAATATGAATCTGCCTAGCTTGAATTATGTTCAGTTGAATGTGCTTAAAATACAGCTTGCTAATGTTGTTTATCAAAATGTAAAAATCTTGACTCGTCTTTTTTCTTCAAAGAAATGATATTAATTAACCATGAGATAAAAAAGAATGCATTAGTTTAATTGTGAAGATGGCCATCGTAAATAATAATGTCTCATTCGTTTAGTTACCTCTCCCATTAGATTCATATCAAAAATCTTTCAGTTTCGTAATCATTCATCAAAATTTGAGAACGAAAAACACGGCATCCACAATTTTCCAATCGTTCAACTATTTACCTTCAACTCCATCCCTTCATATCTTGCTCTATTTTTGATAACTATACGAAAAAAAACAGCCCGCATTCCTCGCTGTAATCCACTTACAATTTTTTTTGAGCGTCCCCCGCAATATTCTCTGCAAATTGAGGTCTCAATTTTTTTTAGAATACCTAAAATTTTATTGTCAACTTGGCTCAATTTTTCCAGAAATCGCTCAATGAGTGACCTCTGCAGTGGTTTTGAACCACAAAATTATCTCAAGGACAGATGTAAAAAATGTTTTCGTACCAAGGTGAGTGTGAAGGAAATAAAATGGAATGGCCAGTTTAAAATTGTTCTACGAAAAAATTTTATTTCAGGATAAACACACTGAGGAAACATTGGTGACGTTACCAGCGACCAATAAAAAGGAGAGAAGGAGAAGCTGGAAAGTGAACAATTTGGACAACGGGGGTCCTGATGATGGTAATTTTTCAGATATTTAAAAGAAAACAAGTAATTAAGAGTTTATATAATGAAAAATTAATTTCTCTCTTCTTAATATTCGACAAAGTATTTTTATTCCATGTATTCAAGCATGATTATTTAAAGGACAAAAGCAGGCCATTTTTGTATATTAAAAATGCGTAGCTTTTCATAAACACGTAGCTTTGTGAGATATAATAAAATATGAAAATAAAATTAATAGATCATCGTCAAAAATGAGTCAATAAATATACATATCAATTAGTAAAGTGAACTTATTTTCATTTAGATTCAATTTAAAATCAAATCTAAAAAATTAAGGCAAATAATTATTACAAGAAGCTTTTCAATATCGCGGCCGTAACCTAGAATAACCGTTGTGGCCTCTATTTTGCTTTTCATTTTTATTCCAATTAACCAAGTTTGGTAGTGTTTAACGCAAAACACCATAAATGTTTCATCTTGTTTTACATGCAATATATATATATATATATATATATATATATATTTGGAAGACGTCATCTTGCAACAAATTTTTGAAATATCCAATTATTTCAATCACACTTATTTATTATAATACACAAATATTTGTATTGATTATGATGTAAAATACAATTTTTCATATTGTCCCGAGCATGGAATGGAATTCGGTGTTTACGTCTGAATCAACTTCTCCGCTCTTTTATTCGCCGAGCAAAACGCGCTCTTCTTTTTTCTCGCCCCCATAAAGTGATTCCATAATCAAATTTATTACTTGCGACCTAAAAAGTTATGTGAACGTTTCGATTCGAAATTTTCGAGCAAACTCTCACCAGACCAACATCGAAGCAATTTTTGTTCAAATATTGCTCTCAATGGGTAATAATATGACATGCACGGTTCCTATAGATGACACGGAAGCACTATCAGTCTCGTCCTATTTATCGGCCACTTCCAAAGGAATGTCATCAACGAAATCATGCGAAAGTGTGAACGATACGAAAAGCATGGTGACAGCGTTCAGTAGTAGCATTTGTGAGGAAGAGCGAGCTGTAACACCGACAGAAAATGAGGCATGTAAAAATTTCTATAATCATCTAACCCGTCATTTTTTTCAGACGGAATATGTGCAATCGCTCAAGGAAGAGATTTCGCAGCTCCGAGACATTAATCACAGTCTGAAGGTCGCTTAATCATTTTTTCAAGCAATGTGAGCTTGTTTTATAGGAGGAAAAAGCTCAATGGGTTTTACGTCAAAGACTGCAAGATGTTGAGGGAAATGAGTCGTCTTTGATTGCGATGCTTCAGGAAAGACTCAACCAAGCCGAAAATCAAATTCAAGATTATCGTGATGAGAACACTGTTTTAAAATGTGAACTCAGAGAGCTCCAGGTGGTTTTTCAAGCTTTCACATATTGTTTTCAATAGAATGCGTTCGCTGTTTTTCGCCGAGAATTTAGTTATATGTACATATCTCTCAGGAAATGTTCTGACGTAGTTATTGAAACCAAGCGAAATGAAATTGTGTGAAACTTATTGGAAAACTTCAAAGTATAAAAGAAGATATGCAGGAGACGACATATTCAACGTCCGATGAAAAACTTCGCGAAAAAATCAAAACCACTGAAGGTCTTTGCGATGAGCTCATGGAAGAAAATGAGCAGCTGAAAGCGGAAATCAAGGACTTACAACAAGAAATTGAGGAAATGCAGGTTTTCAATGACATTTGGAATTTCTTTTAAAAATATTTCACTAGGATCAATATCGTGAAGAAGAGATTGAGGAATTCCGCGAGCTTCAACGAGAGCTAGAATTAAATGCCAAAAATTGTCGCGTTCTTCAATTCAAATTAAGAAAGACTGAACGACAAAGAGATCAAGCCGAAGCCGAAAAAGTTCACGCTCAACAAAAACTTGAGGTTATACGAATTTGTTGATTCAGAATCATTAAATTTCGTTTAGGAACTCATTAATGAAAATCCAGAAACCTTAGCTACTAGCATTCGATCGGATTCAGCAAGGGTAAAGGAACTGGAATCGGAGATTCGAATTGCCAAAGAGGTACACTCATCGGGCAACTCGTTTTTATTATTGAAACAAATGCAGGTGTCTGTTCGCTTGCATTCGGAGCTTGAGCAGACTGAGGAAAAACGGTGCATACTCGAAGACGAAGTATTCTATTTGAAGGAGAAAGTGCGGGAAATTCAGACGCAGAATAAGTGGAGAGAAGCGCGAAACAAAACCGACATCGCGGTGGTGAGAATCAAGATTTCATCCATTATTTTTAATTGATTGGAAATTTAAGAAACGATTGTCGGCCGAACTCGCTGCTTCTGCTCCAAACATCAGCGAAACTGAAATGAGCAAGGAATTGCGAGATGCTCTTGAGCGTGAAATAGATGCTCGCGAACAATTGCGATATGCTGAAGAAGATTTGAAGAGAACGCAACTTCGCCTTCAAGTATATCTAATCTTTTTTTGTATATATTTATTGTTTTTTCGAAGGATGTCGAAAATGAGAACGATGAGCTGATGAAGAAGCTGTCAAAAGCTATTAAACTTCGTCCACCAATGATACGATCAGCTAGGTTGGTCACCGAGTGTTGTCAAGTGCGTCGATGTTTATGTGAATGTCAAAAAAAAAAAATATATATATATATATATATATATATGAAAATCAGTTATTGTTGAAAAGCGCACCATTTCAGCTCGAACTTCGAATTTGAAAATGTTAAAAATTATCTACGGTAAGAAATGTTGTATAAATACTGGCTTTTGTACAGCTATCGTGCCGTCTTGTGGCCAAAATATCCTATTTTGCGTGTACTTTCTTTCAAAAATTCCTCGAATTTTGTCAATATTTATCTAGATGTTTAAAAATATCCGCTTTGGAAAATATTTTTTGCGCTGTGCTCTTTTTTCGGGGCAATTGTGGGGGAACTACAAACTATTCGATGTGTGGTTTTTTGTTTTTGATTATCGGAATATGTTAATTTATTAAAGAAATGTGTTTAGCGATGGAAATGCGCATTTACAATTGGAGTTGGCCGAGAGTCAAGTTCAGCATTTGACCACGAAAGTCGAGCGATTGGAAAAGACCAACGACCATCTGAGCAAAAAGTATACATTCGTGTATCTTAGACATTTGTCATACTATTGTTTAGAATCGCCGAATTGGAATCCGGTTGCAGGCGTGGTGGGGTGACATCACCGCATTCCAACGCTGGCGAAGTACGAGCATAATATAAAGGATACTATTTTATTTCTAATTATTTTTCAGTTCAAACTAACACCCGAAATAGAGAAGGACATGTCGAAAATGATTTCGACTATTAGTGATCTTGAAAGAAAAAATCTCGAATTGACTACTCAATTGAAACAATTAGAATCGAAGAATACTAAACCAAATTATATAGGTTTTAAACCAACGGAGATTCTTGAAACCAATATAATACTTTTTTAGTGCCATCGGGAACAACGACAATCGAACTTCGAAATGAGCAGGAAAAACGTAAAGCCTTAGAATCACAAGTTTGCGAGTTGAAAGCAACAATTCTTAAATCCGATAATCAAAAAATTATTACATTGGCATCAAAGGTATGTCGCATTTCTAGAGACTTTGCTCATTTCTGCAAACATTCTCTTTTAGATCGAACAGTTGAATGCCCAACTTCTTATGGTTAACGAGAGATGTGCCAACCTTCACAAAAAACAAATCAAGGATGGCGAAAATGTTCAATATGCGGTAAAAAAAAACTCATTTCTTTAAGTGAATTGCAAGTAATAACTTATTTATAGGACGAGCTGAAGAGAAAAATTGAGGCCCTTGAAAAGCAACTTAGCGAGAAAATAGCAAGTGACACAGTTAATGAGCTTCAAGGAAAAGTTCCTACTAGTGATGAAGTGAGAACTACGAAAGAAAAAAAATAAAGACCAAACGTTCACTTTTTAGATCGAGCAATGTTGCGAAGTTTTGGCTGCTGTTGAAACTCAAACAAGCCGTTTATGCAAGCAATTCGAAAAAATCGATCACGCGCAAAAGGTAATTTGCAATACCACAAAAAATCTATTATAGTATATTTTATGAAACAAATCATTTAGGATGAGAGACGTCGATCGTTGTCGAAAGACAGTGGAGCTGCAATTATTGCTGAGCTCGCCAATGTGATGCAAGAAATGAAATCGGTTCATCACAAATTGGATAGCATAAAGGTACATAATTGAAAAAAAAAAGACATTTTCTCAATTTATCATAAAATTTCAGGCAGTAACTCCAGGACAGTCTATAAAGATAATTGCTAGTTCGGAAAATTTGAGTGATGTGAAATGCAAAAAATGCGCGCAGAATGAACAGGTTGACCTCAAATAATTCTAATCCATTTGTTGTTATTGTGTTTGTGAACTTTTCAGATAAATGAGGAACAGCAAAATGAGATAACGTTTTACAAAAAGAAAAATAAAGATTTGACCAATCAAGTACTTCAAACTGAAGATCGTTGGACGATTGAAATTGAAAAGCAACGACAGATTTTCGAGAATGAGGTATTTAATGTTGTAAATTTATGAATGCCAATGAATAATAGTAATCGATAATAATAATAATTTTACAATTTGAATAGATTAAAACTCTTGGATTACGGGTTGCCGATGCGAAAAGACAAAACGATGAGCTCTCGGAGCTTTTGGAATCCAAATCGACGACTCTAATTGAAAAAACACGAACACTTGAAGAGCAAGAAGAGCGAAACAAAAGATTAAAAGCTGAAGTTGAATCACTCAAAAAGGAAATGCAGGTAAATTAATATCGAAATAACAAAATCAAATAAGGAATGTTCAGGAAATTGAAACTGATAAGAAATGCGTCAAGGAATTCGAAATCAAGTATAACAAACTCGAAAGCATATTCGAAGCTGAGCGCGAGAAAATGAATACGGAACGAAGTCGCACCAAAAACGAGTTGACAGCAATGAAGAAAATTAAAGATGATACCGAGGAGCATCTGAGTTTGCCTTATTTCATCATGCTCACAAACCACAGATTTAATTATAGACAAGATTAATGAAGAGCACAAGAAAGCCGAGTCGATTTGGCTGAGAGAAAAAGCGCAGCTTGAGAAGGAAATTGCGCTGTTGAAAAAACAGCTTCCGGACCAATCTGAACCGGTTGAGCACGCAAGCGGTAGAAATAATTTGGGGTTTCTATCTGAAATGCTTAATTCCAGTTGATGGCCCAGAAGGAGATAATATTCGGCCAGTTCGTCGTCATGATAGCGAGAAAATGATTGTGTTTGAACTTAAGAAGAACATTGCTGTTCTTGAAAGACGAGTAAAATCAATATTATTTGTTAAAATAATTTAAATGTTACAGATTGCTGAAACTGATAGTGCGTTGGCAGATTGTCGAATTCAAAATGCCGAGTTGAAAGATCAATTGAACAAAACTCAGACAGCATGGCTAAAAGAAAAAGAAGCATTCCAGCATAAAGCTAGACAAACAGAAAAGGTTGGAATAAGATCAGACTAGTTTTCTTAATTGATATCGCGTAAACTTCAGCTTCGCACTGTTGAAATTGATGCAATGCAGCAGAAATTCAGCAGTCGAATGAGAATAATGGAAGATACGAATAAGTCGCTACATTCGCAAGTAGAATCAATACCCATTTCAAATTGTATTCATAATACTGTTACAGCTTGTTCTTGCTCGCCGTGAAAGAGATGCTCATAAGGAAGCATTATCCAACTTTGAAAAGACTGTGGGCGAAGAGCGCACCAATTTCAAAATACGTGAAAAGACCGCCAACGAGAGTGCTGACAAAATTAAAGATCTGGTATGCAATTCTTTTCAATCAGCCAATCTGGAATTGAGTTTTAACCAATCAATTCTTTAACAGAACACGCATATCTATCACGTTTAATGTGTGCAATAACGAGTTTTCGTTTAATAAATGACGGGTGACTAACGACGTGTCCATTATTTAAAATGCTGCTGATTATTTTGAAAAACTTGGTAACTGAAATATTGTGTTGATATGTGGTTTTGATGTGACGTGTGATGTGATAAAACATGAACTTGAATTTCTTCAATTAAGTAAAATTGCATTTTAGCAAAACAAGCTAGCGCAAAAAGAAGAGGAAATGGAAAGATTGAATACCGATTTGAGGTTGACAAAGGAGGCAAGAAAAGCTGACCAAATTCTGTGGAATATTGACAGAGCAAGAGGTATAAGTAGTATTTAAAAAAAGACATTTTGAAATATTAAGGTCGAAATGAGAAGATTGATAATACTGACAATGTGGAAACTATTCGGAAGCAATACCGCGACTGTGAAGCATTCTACTCAAAGGTAAGTTTTTTTTTAATTTGATTAAAAAATAAGGAATACAAATTTAATAGGAGCTTGATCGATTGAACGATAAAATCACAGAGATTACCGCCGAAAAGAATCGTCAAAAGAATGAAGCTTCAAAAACTATTCGGGAGCTTCGCGAACAGATTCGTGTATTAGAAATTGAGCAGAAAAATCTGGCTCAGAGCAAAGATACTCAGCAAGTAGCCAAAGAGATGATTGAATCAGAACGGGAAAGATTGCAACAGCAAGTTCATCTCAATGAACTTCAAAAGTTAACCAGAAAATATCGATTAAGCAGTATTATTGATCAGGTATAATTAATTTGAGAAGTAAATGAACAATTGAATGCAGCTCGCTTATGTGAGTGAAACGACCCGAAAAATATCAAGAGATGCTGAACCAGATGGCATTCGCTACATTATCAATCAACTGACAGCACTTCGAGACGACGAAACAGCCAACAATTTGAATTCGTGAGGCTATTAAATAATGAAAAAAAATAGTTTATTGAGAGTTTAGTGATGAGAGAGCAGGATCGGTGCTCGGCGATAGAATTTCCAATGGCTATGCTCCATCAATTTCGGAATGCGGCGAAGGCACATATGACAACATAAGTCAATCGTCGTTCTCAATTCGTTCGGTGACAAGTGCACCACTGCGACATGCTTATAGGTAACCATATTAGACAAAGTCGACATCAACAATATCCTGCTTTGTTTCATTTTGCATGCGCACTTTCTATTTTTTTTCGCTAATTTTCAGAAATGCTAACCATCCCCTGCCAACTGTTGCCTCTATTTCCACCACTGTCAGCGAATCCGAACCACATTATAGTCGACCAGATAAATCGCACCATGTTAATCAACAAAGCGCAACATACGCCGGTAAAAGGTCATTCAGGTTTGTGTTCGCTCCTATATTTCTTTGCAGCTTCTCATTTGTTTCCTCATTTCGATGCATGAAAATTATATTCTGATTTTCCCTTCATATTTTTTTTGTTACTTTTCTTGAGTTTCTTCAACATTTCGAAATAGGGAAAATTTCAAAACGCCATCTAAAAATTTGCAGCACTGAAAGCTCTAGTGGTTTTGACCGGTACGGAAGACCAATTCGAAGGAACGGAACATCTTCAAAAACCTTACGTAAGTGCTCATTAATGGCTTTCATATGAACATTAACTAGTTTAGATGTTCCTGGAAAACAGCCAAACAATGATTTCGGAATGATACGGGCTTCCTCGTTTGACAATCGTAGCCAATATAGTGAAGACGAAACAGAAGATGGTTCGAGATCGCGACCAAACAGCACAGGTAAATTTCAGATCTCTCCATCGTATTGATATTCATTTATTAGGTGCTAATATTTTATATCGAGTTCGTCGAGAGGAGCTCGCTAGAGGAGGCCAACCATCAGTGAAGCTAATGGCCAAGGCGTTCGAATCTGCCGATGAGCCGAAAAGAGACAAGCGGGGATTCTTTGGAATCCGAAAGTCGCGATCCGTTGAGACAACGCAAAATGGAAGCAATAGTCGATTTGTAATTCATAACATTTTTAGTGCAATAATGTTTCCTCGAATTCAGGAAGAAGCAGCAAATACGGCTTTACTTCATAGTTTGGCTCAAGTTGAAGAAGGTGTTTCAACCAACTATGCAACTCTACCAAGGGGTGGACGGAATCCATTCAAAAATATGGGGTCGAGACTAGTTGAACGGGTTAGAAGAAGTTTGTCGAGATCTAGCCGACAATCAAAGGACTCAGATAGAGAAGATGAAGTTGAAGTCACTGTTTACAAAAAGGTTTTTGAATCCACACTGCTATTGAATCAATAAATTCTATTCAGATTGAGAAACCAATTTCGTCGCCTAAGAAAACAAAGAAAAAATCTGCCGAATCAAAAGCGCGTAAAAACTCGAACAATCTTGCTCCATAATTAATGTTTATTGTTTGAATGTTTCTCATTTTGTTTTTTTTTGTTTGTTTCGTATGTTTTCTTATATTGCCATTAAGGTCAGCTTTACAGTTGTTCCGATTCTTTTCAGTCGTATTGTTTTGTTGGTTTTTCAAAAAATAATCTAATAAGGATGAGGGCTTTTATGTAAAAATGCACAGAAAAAGTAAAAAATGTAAGGCACTGGTTATGACGTGACCACATGAAGAGCACATGGTCATAGGATAGGGCTCAATGATAATATCGATTTGGCTCTTCATTGTTGAAAACCGCTTAGGAGCATCCTCATGATATGCTGAGCCTTCATATTCGTCGGCCTTAACATCAAATAGAAAAATGTTTCGATTATTTGAATAAGATACATAATCATCGTCATCATACGCCACAAATGATGCTGAGAAGGCGGGCGTCGTGATCTCATCGTCTGTTTCGGTCTTGAAGCTTAAAATATGAGACAGTCTTGATTGAAGCCATTGTAATCGCAAACGCTCTTCAATGTATTCACCTGGAAAACAGATCAAATGATTTGTGAGTTACGCTTTGTAAATTCGAAAATGTCAACTCTACCTCTAAAACTGAGAAAGTTTTCCAACTGAAACTCGGGATTTCTTGCTTGCTCCGAAACATTCGCCACGTGCAACCTATACTCCCCAACATCTGTTCCATTCCAGCAATTTTTGTCTTGTGTCGCCCAACTTCCAGAGTCGCAAAGTTCACTAGGAATCGAACCAAAGAAATTCTTATATCCCTCCATCTAGAATCAAAATATAAAACTATCTAAAGGCGATTATACAAAAAGATTCTTAATGCGTTAAAGCTGATAAAAATAATCATGCGAAAGGAGGAGCAGTATGTGTACCTTTTGAATAAAAACATCGAACATTTGATTCCAAATAAGTAATTGTTCGGATTTCCGAGGTTTCATTAGAGAATTGCTCGATGCAATTGAACGTTTCAATCGATATTGAATGTCAAAATCCATATAAAGACATTTACTGATCATCTGAAAAAAAATGAAGGGTTGGTCGAAAATGAATTCTATACCTTGTTTGTTATAATATCTCTATTTTCTTGAAAATGCATAATTGCCTCACTTACTAGAATTGGCACCGGTTTGAACGATCTAACAAAATTTTGAGACGATTTTAACTGTTTCGACACTTTTATTAATGTTTCTAAAAATCATACTAAGTAAAATTAGCGTTTATTTTTGTTGTTTCCAACCTGCAGTGAGCCGCCATACTTGCTCGCTTTCCAATATCTGATGGGTACATCCTGTTAGTATATTAGTGCAATATCCGACACACGGCTTCTCTCGAATCCCATTGCAAACGGCACACGTTTCCATTCTTGCCAAACCATTTACGCATTCCGGTCGAAGTGTTATCTTAAAAAAAAACCCTTATAAAAGCTGCTTATTGTGTGTTCTATTGGGTCACGTCATCATTTCCTTTTAATATTAAATTGGTAAGGAAAAGTTATCATTCTAATTAGACAAGATTTTCTAAATGTTTGGGAGTGCGTGCGCAAGTCGGCACCCTTTATGAGTCATTGGCGGCGACACCAATACGCCCGTTCTGCATGGGAAATTTGAAGGCAACCTTGGTGCACCTTTGTTCGACGACATGTTACTAATTGTTCGATAAATGTTTAGGCCTTACGTTTAGATATTTATCAAAAATATCGTGTAATGTTTCAAGTGATTCCACAAACTGCCTTGAATTCGTCATCGGCAATTTCAATTGATTGACGATCTTCAAAGGAATATCGCCAAACACGGAGATTTCTTTAAAGTATTCTTCCATACATTGCCAATTTTCTTCCGAAACCTTTGTCTGATAATTATAAAAACTGTTAAAAGAAAAAAACGGAAAATTACAAATGGGTTTGTGATTCGAAACAGTCCTCTGAACAATTGATGGAAGAAAGAGTCAACGATATGCTTCATGCTGACTTCTGAATATGACGACGAGAAACTGCGAAGACGACTGAAGAAATCATTGAAAATCTGAAATTAGTTGATTTGAAGAGAATTTTCGGTTATTACATGAATTACTTCTGATTTTTCCGAATAAAAGGATCCATATGTTGCACTAAACATTCGATCAAGATCTTCGTGCACATTTTTTATGTGATTCAAAAGAAAATCTAGATGTTATTAATGTTTGATTGATCAATCAATGTGGCAAAACCTCTGAATAATGATCGCTGTGAATAAAGGAATTGTCGCATCGATATAACGCGATCTTGAAGCTTTTGAACCAATGATTCTGAAGAAATCATTAGCATACTGTATTGTTTTTCAGGCGAACAAGAAGGCAACGCAGTTGTGCATATTGGGGCTTCTGAAATTAAACATTTACTTTTGATTATTAAATCATTGCTCTTTTTTCTGCAACAGTACATACTATTTTTGAATTTGATATTAATTCGTTGTGTGAAACTACTATAACATACGGTCTAGGTGGGTCATTATGTATGAGAGTTGCCATTCAAAAATGACAATTGTATCGTGGGAGAATTACTTATTGTAGACTACTATATAGGTCACCTTTAAATGTTGAGATTAATATGAAAGAGCAAATAGGGTAATGTGATATAAATTTGGGTTTAATTTTGCAAAGTCCCTCGAAATATTATTTTTAGAATCAAAAACCATTATAAACAAAAAAAATGAATGTGAACTACAGAAATAAGTCTAAAAGATTCATCATTTGCAATTTTGAAAAAAAAAATTCACTTGATAATGTTTCTTTAAAAAAGATAAAAACGGGATTTTCTTCATAACATATTCAATTCAATTTCAAATGCTATGAAAAAATGAATGATGAATGAACACTTCAAAAATAATTTGTTAAACTATTATACCTGAATTTCGACAATCACTTTGTTCTACTAGAATATTCATTATAAGAATTAAAAGCAGAAGAATTGCCGAAATGCGCATAGAAGCATAAATGTGCGAGCAGTTGAGTTCGAATGTTTGCGAGAAGGAAAAACTGTCGCAACCAAAGAGGACCAAATGGGGGGCGGAGCGCTGGCATTTAGCGAGAATGGTGGCCGCAACTCAACGCTCGCTAAGGATTTTTTTTATTAATCAGAAGGTTGTCAGCCAGTTACATGAGTCAACATGTAACAATAACATACAAACTCAAAACAAACACAATTATTAGTATTTTGAAAACCTTACTAGTCATGTGCTCACATTATGAATTGAAATGTGCTTTAATGCAAAAAACATAGTATAAAACCGTTTTATTTTGGAATTTAATTTTTTTTCACTAATTAGGATTTTTTTATTTGTTTACTCTTTTTTAAAAAATCTCGTTCATCCGTTAACATGGAGCAAATCCCTCGCGCGACCTGTCAAATCTTCGAGCGCATTCATTGTAAATATAATTGATTTGTCAATATGTTGCAAAGATTTGGTGATGTGCACAGCATGCGACTTGTTATTCATTAAGTGAATCTAGTGAATCGTAAAACAGAAATTAGATTGAAAACAAAACGAAAAGAGAAATGAAAAAATTTAATGGTGATAACGAAACAACAAAAAAGAAAAATTGTGTAACATGGGAATAAAATTTAGGTGCCATAAAACATGCGAAAAATCATCATTTAAAATGGAAAATTTTTGGATTAAAATTTTTTAAATGTTTATATGACAGAAATAAATCCAACAATAGAAGTGAATGAACCAAGTTAAGCGAACTGATAGAATAACAACATGACGGAACCTGAAAAACTGAATTAGAACGAACACACTGCATATTCCCAAAAAATAGTTTAATTAAGTTTGCTTAATTTGATTTTTTTATTAAAAAAATAATAATTAGCAATAAAACATACAACATATGGCTTCATTCCATCCCCTGTTAGGTATGAATACGAGTAGATATGTTTCCATGCGTTGACATACATTTACAGTTCGGTTTAATCAGGCAAATAATTGGTGAATTGCAAAAAATTCATTGGATTCTTGAAAGAATGATTGGATCCCAACAAATGAGCCTCTCCTTTCTTTTTGCGTACTCAATCTAAAAACGTGAAATAAAAATTTAATATGTTTTTTTCTTGCGTTTCAAGCAATCCTTAAAAACGACACTCCACAAGATACCTTACTGCAAGAATTGGAATGTACATTCCAGTTATCAATTTTTTGTTAGAATTTGTTTTTGGTAAGAAGCATTCCTTAATTGTTTCTTTTATTATCAGAAGATGTTCGTCTGGATTCTCTAAAAGCAGATAAGAATATTTTGTGCCCTAAAATTACGAAATTATCCTTTTTTGTTTTTTTCTATGTACCATTTTCGTTCTGACGAACTTATAATGAGTCATTGGCATATCATCGTTCACACCATCTATATATGAATATTTTCTTTTGCGCGATTATCGCTTTTCCCTAAGCTGTTGCAGATATGACGGTACGAAGCAAATACTTGCATTTACATTTTTTCATAAATGTTTGCCGATTAATACCTTGTACTGCAATAAAATAAACTGCCTTCATTGAATACTCAAAAATTGCTCAGTCAATTAATTTCGATTTTCAAACAAAATGCAGACCGCTCATTTCATATTTATACTATGAGGTTTCAGCCATGTTTCAAAGCGGCTTTTGGAGGACGCGCCTTTGCCTTTACATCTCTTCCAATTCAGCAGTCTCCACTTAAACCTCAAGTCATGGGTTCGTCAATCTCGGTTCTTCCAATTCCAGCTTCTCCACGCTGTTTTCCGTCTGCTGATTCATCAAAGTCGGCTTACGCAACAATTTCTGGCTGTACTTCAAATCAAAACCAAAAAAATACATCATATTCAAGCAATGGAAAACGAAAATTATCTTATTCAATTGATTCTTTGTTCAACCATGAATCGATAAGCGAATCAAATATAAAAGAAAATGTAAGTTTGATGTTTAAAAATCATGAGCAAAAATTTGCGAAATCCAAATTCTAAATGTTTTTTGGTCGATTCAATCTATTGAAGCGTTTTTAAATAATTAGCTAGTAGCCGAAAATTTTCTATTTTTCGATAAATTAAATTTTGTCTCATTCAGAGTCCAATTCGTCACATAGCACCGAATGAGAGTGATGCATTTCCATGTTCTATTGTCAGACTACCAATCAAAGAAGAGAATTTCCCAGAGTCCAATGTTGATGATGAGGTGGAAATTTTAAAAAAATTAATTTAAAAATATTAAAATTTAGATTATTGACGTTGTTAGTATCAGTTCTGAACCCAAAAGACGTAGATGTGAATTTTCTATAATTCACATATTGTCGGAAGAGGTAGACGAACCTAAGGGGTCGACTTCATATTTTCTACCAAATTCTTCTCATGTGAGATTGATTGATGATACAATTGAATATTTGTACGATGATCATGAACAAAATCTAATTGGTAATTCAAATCCATCATTTTTTACTACTTTTAAAACAACTTAAGTAACAGACATTGAGCTCAAAGAGAAACAACGCAACAGGAAAGCATATGCCCGTGAGACGAATACGCAAAATGAAGGAAGAATTGTCGGAAAGTCGACTGTTTATTTTAGCGGAAGAGCTGTTGTCGATGGATCCTCCCAAATTGGACAAAAACCATTTGAGGCTTCTCCGTTCGCTACCTGGTTGGTTCCGCCTACGAATTCAGCTCTGGATGTTTTTGAGTCATACATTTCCTCTGAGGAGAGCGAACACTCTTTAATATGGTACATTCACGATTCGAACGTTACTTTCATTGAATGATTAATATTTATAGAAAGAACAGCAACTTTGTGGAATGTTCAATCCGACCAAATTTCATATCGATAATCACCGTCATTTTTTCACCATTTCATTAATTTCTCGTTTAGTTTTTTTATCTATTTCCCGATAACCCGGTGACATTTTTTATACGGTTAACGTTGATTCATCTCTGCCTTTTTATTTTTCAAACTTATATTGTTTTGTATTTTCAAAGTTTTATTAAACTCCGACGGGTTTCCTTCATGATAAACGTGAGGAATAATATGTTTGTTCGAAACAACGGCAAACCAAATCTATGTTTGGTACTGACAAGAGAAGCTGGAATTTTTTGAGTTATCAAAACATTTATTACTAAAAAAAGCCTCTTGTATAAAAGAGATTGATATTTACGAGTTTTCTTAACAATTTTGCTATCTCATTTGCTTTTAATAACAAGTAGTGACAAAAATTTGAACGAATTCTAAAATGAACAATTTTATTCATTTTAAACTATTTTAAGATTCAAAACATTTTTTTTTAATTTTAAAATTCTTAAATGAGAAAGTTTATTTGTTGAACTATGAGAATTGAGTGTGAAAATGATAATAATTTATATTTATTTTTCAAATTATCTGGAAATAAATTTTTACACACATCGACGAATTGGTAGTTTCTCACAAAACCTGGGTAATGGTTTAGTTCACTCATATTGTGTCCAACTCATAAATTAGTTTGAACATTTTCATGAGAAGTTGATGGCTATTAAACAGTTAATTTAGCCAATACGAACTTTTTCATCACGATGCTTTATGATTCTCACTTCTGGTAATTGTTAATGTTGCCAAGGGATACATGAACTGCCATTGTCATCCACATTTTGACTCATTGAATGGACGCGAACTAAACAGTATATTAGAGCGCACATGTGTCATTCTGTCTCTGTCCACCTTTTGCACCTACTCGCCTCAACTCACCTTGTCAAAAACGCGTCCTATCATCAGTCGGGTTTGCGGCAATAGAACGCCAACTTTTGTTGTTCTCCGAGTTTTTTTTTTCAAAGCATCTTAATATTATTTCCATAGATTTTCAATACGAGAAAGACATGTTCTTTTTTCAGATGCTTCATCTACTTTCTTCCAACTTCAGACAAGTGTCACCGCCCCTGTCGAAAACTCAACACTGGAACAACTGCAATTGTTTGCAGCACGTCATATCTCGACAGAAAAAGCCCAATGTAAGTTTGAATTCAGCAATTCTAATATTCATTCGTTAGTTAATGGATGTTTGATTATATTACTGCGAAAAAACGAGCAAACTCAGTATTTTTTGACCATCGCATTTTTTGGTGGAAATTCAAAGTTGAATTCAAACGTTGCGAATTAGTATTGTTAGTGTACTATGGGTAGCCTCACCGAAAATCTAGAGTGCTTACTTATTTTATCGCGACTGTAATAATATTTCAAAAATAATTTTTATCATGTAATTATGTATATATAGAAGTTTCATTGAAATAAACTATTTTCGATAAAATAATGCTTTGTGATTTCACTTAAATAACGAGTCATCCAAAATTAACTACACCGATGGTATCACTCTGAGAGTTTTTGATAATTTCACCACGTTGCCTTCTGCACTTGATGATTTTTTTTTTCAGACAAAGAAAACATTCAAGTTAGTAACTGCTTCATTCCCGTCAATTCAACTCATTTCATCTTTAATTGGAGATGAGCTACTTCCATTGAATGCATACTCATACTCGAGCCTATCAGATTTGATTTATGATCACGGTTATTCATATATATTTCCTACGATGAAGCTAACAATCGATGATTGCGATTCAGGCGATGATGAGGATTCCGAGGATGATGACGATAATGTTTTTCTTACTACTGTTTGTTCAAAAAACTAGAATATAATTTAAATATTCTCAACATTTAGGAACACATGATCTTACAAAATGAAATCAATGCAAAACTTGATCATTCACTGAAACGCGAGCAATGGAAGTTTGATCTAGTCCAGATCTTGAGCGTTCGTTAAATCGATTTTAGCATTGCTAAATAATAATGTTTTAGGCTGTTCGAGATACAAGTAATTACAGAGAAATGCTTGAAAGAAAATCTCTGACCGAGCTTATTCTAACTTACAATCGAACATTTGATAAAAGCTCAATTTGGAATCCTGAGACGTCAACACGATTTGTTCCTGTTTTTGGCTCTTGGGTGCCACCATCAAAGCTACAGCTTACCACGGATGGACCATTACCGACCAATCATCCATTATTTAGTGAGACGTTCTTCCCGGTGAGTCTTTTAGTTGGAATTCAATGACTATATTAATAATTATTCAGGATGAATCCCCACGTTCGGATCATTTGGAACTATAGAATCAAGTGCAATTTTGAAGACAGTGACACGAAACATAATAACATATATTGATATTGTCAGCGTCTGGCGACTGATGTCGATTTACGAGGTTGAGTATATCGCTGTGATCTCGCCCCATGCAATTAATTTGCTATAATCTGTGAAACAATCAGTACTTTCGTGCATATCAACAGTAGAAAACTCGTGTCCGAATCATTATTAGTTGTCAAACTCCGACTATTTGCAATTTATTACCATATTTTACTTCAGATTCCATTTGTCCCATTTTGTTACCAACATTTGTTGGCTCTCATTTATGCTTAAATATTTTTGTGAAACTCTAGTTTCTTTGAAATTTGATAAATTTGTTTAAAAAATTTGGAGTTACAGTCAGTTTAAATGAAGTTCATGACCTACAGAAATATAATTTTTCAATTATGGTTTTACAACATAATTACGTGATTATGCCAGTTGGAGAAAATTGTTATTAGTTTTTTGATGAATAATAATTTCCTAGTCTGATTGATATTCTTAAGATAGACAAGTTAGTACTGTCTAACAAAATATGACTTAATTCGCTCATCTGATGAATTCGTAAAGCACCGCGTCTTAAAATAAACGTCTATTCCAGATAAAACGATGTATATTTTTGGATTATAAAAGTTTAATTCGACAAGGTGAACAAAATCTGATCAAACATCTAGAAGAGCACTCAAGAGTGCCAGAATTTACAGGATTCTCTTCTAAAACATTTTTCGTCTCTTCTTTTTTTTGGTGTTCCGATGTAGAATACAATCGTGAACCGAATGCCGATTGAGAAGAAGTTTCTCGAACCGATTAGAAAATTTTCCTCGAACTGTTTTGTTACAACTGTTTTTCTTCTAGTATTTTCCGATTTTTTTACGAGATAGAAAGTTGTTGTTTTGAAATAAAGTGCTATTGCTTGAAATCGCTCAACTTTTTTTTCTATGTAAACCTTCCATGCTACACAGTAGTTCAAATATTGAGTCGATTCATTATTAGATACTGTTTTCTTTTTGCAAATTCATGCTGTACACATACATTTCTTCAATAAATTTTTTCGATTCCATAATGTTTATTGATATGAAAATAATTGAAATGAATAATCGTCCACAGCCCAAGCTGGATTGTTTACTGGAAATAAAACAACCGAAATATAATATAACAGCTTGGAGCCTATTGAAGTGTACAAAAAATGTTGATATTGATACAGTAATTCTTAAAGGCATTGGTACAGTCTTAATCAGCTCATTCGGCGACGCTTCTCTTCTGCTTTATTCGTTCCTATTTGACGTTTTTTCGCACCTGGAACTTTTTATTCGTTAAATTTAGAAAATTGGTTTTTTTTCACACCTACCATTCGTTGACTTTTCAATGTCTGACTCAGATTGATCGTCCGTGATTATGTGAAGAGGAGAAATATTCTCGGTATTGTATTCAGTATTATTATTGAAACTCGAGTCAAGCGATTCAGTTAGGTTATTCTAAAATCAATTTTGAATTTTGAAATATTGAATTATTGTTTAACTGACCCTATTGATATTTCTATTCTCTTCGTTAATCATGGTGCTGTTTAAATCAGCCGAATTTGTATTTTTCTTCATTTCCATGAGCGAAAGCCGGATAGCGAGTTGAAAATCACGTTCTTCTTGCGAATCTTCGGTAATTTCATTTCCGACGGCAACCTAGATAAGATTAATCACATAGCAACATAAATATTATACAAAAATCTACCTCATTGTCAATTTCGGTGTCGATACCATAGTCAAATGCGTCTTCTTCTTCTTCTTCATCAAAGACGTCTTCGTCTTCTCCATAATCGGGTTCAGCCGTCAGATTGTTCTCGACGTTGCCATTATTTTCTGTCACAAGTCCTTCCTGAGAAAGTGCAAATCCGACAGTTGAATATGTCGAGTTCTGATCAAGGTCGGGCATTTGGTGACTGAGAAGAGCCAACGATGGGAATGGAAGTGGGAAAATGTCACCATCTTCGTTTGTCTGCAAAATTTACTATCCTTCCTTTTTTCAAATCATAGCATTCCAAAAAATCGAAATTTTGCAAAACTCACATAAGGATTTCCAATCTCTTCCAACAGTGTGCAAATTGTGTTGCAGTTAAGAATATGAGTCGCTATGGAGAGTGGCGGAAGAACGGCGCTTCTCTTCAAACTCTTCATGTGCAACATGACTAGACTGAAAACTTATTGAATTCATCTGCATATTGAAAAATATATTAAAACTAAGAAATGGGCATATTGAATTCATTTCCACTTAGAAAATAAAAAAATTCTTTGGCGAAATATACAAGAAAACTTGAAAAAAAATATGCCAACCAGGTAGAATGCCTGAAAAGAAGGTAGAATGACGTACTGGATGTTGAGTCGACATATTGAAACTGCCATTTTGTACCGAGGAGCGCGTTTTCCTATTTTGTTTTTTTCTCTGTGTTTCTCTTAGATTCCCTGCGTTGGCTAATATCTCATCAATAAAGTTCAATGTGTGTTGGATTAGCGGAGTCATCTATTATGAGCGCGATGGTACTATGATAAGGCAATATAAGTGTAACGGTTTGAAATTATAGCGGCATATAACTACAAAAGAAAAAAATTGAAAAAGCGTTAAAAATTTTGAACGTCTGCCAGAAATACATTATCAATGGTGAAAATATTTTTATAATCTCTCTCAAGAAATCTTAAAAAAAAATATTTTTTTTGTAAATTTGTAATTGTCTCACCGGCTTTTTTTTGAAAATTTAAACATGCGAAAATAAAATTACTTAAAATGATATAAAAATAAAAATAATTTTGTTTCTAGATTTAAGAAGATTTGTCTTTGAAACACTCACAGTAATTTCACTTTAAAATTCGTTAAAATATCATTTCAATTCACATTATCTTAACAAATATATGTTTGCACAATTAAACAAATTTATCAGAAAAAACTGTATCCATCAGACCACTTGCTACCTCGAAACCGATGAAGCAATAGAAACTTTGCATAAATTTGAAATATTCAATAAACAGCGATTTTATCAAGATTTTCTCGAGCAAACAAAATTATTTCTATTGTTTCCAATCTGGATAACGTCTTATTTTCCTTTCGTTCTATTCGCATAAAGATTTCCAAAAATGCACATCCCCATAAAAAAAAATGCCATTCAATTTTTATAGCCATATGTAAAACCTCAATTTTTAGTCTTTCACGAATTCATCTCAGCACGCAACGTGTGTTGAAAAACATCTACATGCTTGATGTAAAAAAGTGAGGTCTCCAAATGGGCTCCGCCCATCAATTTTCACAAAAAAAAACTTGAAATTTAGTCACTCATTCAGTTTGGATGCTGTTTTTATTCTGGCCACTTTGTCAAAAGTTTAAGTTCCGAAGTTTAATGATATTCCAGAGAAACATACATCGACTTTACACTTTACTCACGTCACATATACAACTTGTCATTAACAAAGCATAAAGGTTAATGCAGTATGTATGTGCGACGTGGTCCAGTTAATTTTTCACGTAATTAAAAAAACAACATATTTTCAACCAATATGAACATGGAGTATGTGTTTTATATCCCTTTAACATTCCATTAACTTTTTAAAGCATTTTTTTGTTATTTGCATTTTCTTTTTTCAAATTCATATTAGAGTATTGAAACGAACTTTCTCTAATTTAATTTTTAGAACAACTACCCTCTGATTTAGTTTTTATGATTATCTTAAAGTACTGTCAATATTAATACACGTTCTAAGCAAAGAAGTTTAGAAAAAAAATATTGCAAGTATTATTATATTTCAAAACTTTAATTTAGAAATAACCTTAAAATTATTATTCTACTCTAAAATAATATTCGTTTATTAGCAAAAAAAATTGAGGACAAATTATGATTTTACGAAAATTCTGGACAGTTTTGTGGCTCCTCTCAGATTTCAAAAAGGAAATTTTTGAGGCAGAGTTAGCTTTCGGTAGCAAACACAAACAGTTCAAAAATATTTTATCACTTCACCGCAAAGGATTACTTTTGTTTTCCCCAAAAGCTATTGCTTAACAAAAACTTTCAAATTTTTAAATTCTGGACAACTTGAGCATTTCATTATCGCATTTATTTAAAAGTAAATAACAAATAACCGGTAATGAAAGCAGAATGTTGAGTATTGCTTAGTTAATCATTTCTATATAAAACATATCGCTATAAATCTCTGGAAAAATGAAAAAGAATCATTATTATTCTTTTAGTACAATATAAAAAATCTCATGTGTTGGCAAAAATCTGAAAATGAATGTTGGAAGGACATGGAAATTTTTATGACTTTGATTTGACTAGTCCTGCGTTTTTTGGAAATCCGTCGAATTCGCTGCAGAACGATCATCGAGTTTCGTTTTCTTAATGAGATCTCCGTTGCAGGCCAATTCAGAATTCTGGCGTTTGCGTGGAATGTTGCTGCCACCAATCGTGATATCACCCAATACTTCAAGAAGCTTTCTCTCGACTGGAAACAAATTGATTTACGCTTTCACATTAGAAAGATTTCAAAGAAAACATAATGATGAAAAATCTACCTGGTTCAGGTTCAACATGAGTATTGATTTGTTGAGACTTTTCCAGGCCAACTGTAGTTTTTTGCGCGGGCTCGTAAACATGAGGACTTTCACGCCCCGTGTACTGAAAAAAAAACAATAGCCATAGTTACACAGTCACACTTTTTCTTAAAACAAACCCAAGGTTCCGGAAGAGCCTTTCGTTGGTCTTGCTTCACATTCACAAAATATACCTTCCTGCTTACGCTATTGATTTTTGGTAACTGTGGAACTTGTTGTGTAGCGTTGTTATGGAGAACAACATAAGGGAATCCGCTTTGGCGAACAACGTCAAGCTAAAATAATTAAAATTACAAAATTGTTTCGTTTTTAGACGAACCCATGACAAATTAGGAACATTGGTAGTTAAATTTTCACCGCGATTCTTTGCCGTTTCCATGTGAGCCAGTTGATTCTTTGTTTTATCATATTGAGCGACAAGACTTTTTCCGAGATTATTTGAATTAGTTCTACCAAAGTGATCCGTTTTTCGCTTTTTGTTTTCAGTAGTAGAAATAGCAAAATTTGCTTGAATAAAAGGCCTAGTCCGAGCAGTAGACGTAACTTTAGCACCATCAGTAGAAGACGTATTTGTATCAGTATTAGTAGCTAAATTTTGAGCACGAGATCCAGTGGCTTCAGAAGCTGTTGTAATTTTAGTAGAATTAGAAGTAATTTCTCGAGAAAATGGTCTAGGCCGCACAGTAGAAGTAACTTCAGTGCCTCCATCAGTAGTTGCAATTGTATGACTATCAGCCTTTGAAGTAGTTAAACGAACCTCTGAATGAAAATGTTGAGTCAGCATTAATATGGGACAAACCAAATTTAGATTGATGCAGAGAAGTTGAGCATTGGGAATGTTTGACGCTCACTTTGGCTTCGGAGCTCTCAGACGAGTTGTATTTCGGATGACCGGAAGACAATCCACTTTGTCGAATAACCTTTGGCTGCAAAATTTTAATATTCGAATAGTTTTATGATTCGAACTAACGCATGGCAGAGTAGGAGCTTCAGTGGGGAATTTGTTTCGATTCTTCGGCATTTCCGTGCGTGAAGTCCGATCTTTGATAGCTTTGAGAGCAGTTGCACTAGTGCCAGAAATATTAGTCCCAGCAGAAACAGTTCCATTTGCAACGATGTCTTGAGTAGCCGTGGTCGTTTCATCACCAGCAACAGATCGAGTAGCATCATTATCTTCAGCACTAGCATTTTTCATTGTAGTAGAAATGGTTACAAAAGTAGACGCTTCCGTTACAGCAGAAATTTCCGAAAGAGCAGCAGCTTCTGTAGCAGCAGTGGCTAGAATAGCAACAGATGATTCAGCCCCAGAAATTGTTTTCATAGTAGAAGTAGTTTCAGATCCAGAAGTGTCTTGAGTTGCATCAACCACTTCAGTGCTAGCAGCAGGTCGAACAGGATCAGCTATTTCATTACTGGTAGGTACTTGAGTTGCATTTGGAGTATCGGTACCAGCAGTAGATCCAATGGTAAAAGAAGCTTTCGTAACATCAGTGGCTCGAATAGCAACAGTTGCTTCAGCCCCAGGAATAGTTTCCATAGTTGAAGTAGTACCGGATCCGGAAGTGTCTGGAGTTGCATCAATCGCTTCAGTGCTAGCAGTAGTTCGCACTGAATCAGCTAATTCATGATTGGTAGATACTTGAGTAGCATCAGGAGTCTCGATAACAGCAGTAGTTCCAATGGTAGAAGAACCTCCTGATGCAGCAGTAGCTTGAGTAGCATCGGCAGCTTCATCACCAGAAGTTGTTTCCATAGTAGTAGTAGCTCCGGATATAAAAGTGTCCTGAGTTGCATCCATCGCTTCAGTGCTAGCAGTAGGTCGCACAAAATCAGCTGATTCATGACTGGTAGATAATTGAGTAGCATCTGGAGTCTCGATAACAGCAGTAGTTCCAATGGTAGAAGAACCTCCTGATCCCGCAGTAACTTGAACAGAATCAGTAGCTTCAACATTATTAGTATTTCCATTAGTACAAGTAGCTTTTGATCCAGCAGTGGCCTGAGTTGTATCAACCGCTTTGGTGCCAGTTGTCGGATGAGTAGGATCCATAGTTTCAGTATCAGCAAGAGGTTGAATCGCAAATGTTGATCCAATGTTAGATCCAGTTATAGTATTAGGAAAATCGGTTGTTCTTGAAGTCATTATGCTCGAATCTAAATTAAACTATTGTTGGAGCATTATTATTAAAATCGTACCTGATTGAAGTAGTTCATAAGAACGTTGGGAGTTTTTGGGGTCCACTTTGATTTCTGGGCACTTCGAGCTGTACTTCAGCTGTACATATGGATATCCGACTTGTCGAACAAGCTCTAGCTGCAAAATTATAATTAAATATTGATTTTGTGGATAGAACTGACTCTTGACATCACAAGCGGGTTTGTTATGACGTTTTCATGAGTAGCAGAAGTAGCTCCATTAGAATCAATGACTTTCGAACTATCGGCAGCTCGAGTTGCAGACGTAACTCCAGAGTCATAGGTAGGTCGAGTAGCAGTAACTATTCCAGTAGGAGGTTCCGTAGCAGCAGAAGGTTCCATAACAGCCTCAGCTCGATAAGAATGAATCACTTCCGTACCAGAAGTAGTTCGCGAAGTTGCAGTTGCTCCAGTATCAGCAGAAACTTCCCTAACAGCCGTAGATTGACTATTGCTAATCGCTCCAGTTTCAGCTGAAGTTTTGATTGCCATCGTTCTTGCTCTCGTCGCAGCTCTTGAAGCAGTAGTGTCATTTGCAGTTGTAGTTTCAGCAACGACTTCATTGGCGGCAAGAGCGCGTGCTGCTGCTCTAGTAACAGCTCTAGTTACCGGTCTAGATGCAGGTCTTGGAGCAGCTTTTTTAGCAGCTCTTCTAGTTGTTTTAGTAGTTGAATTTTTAGCACTTGTAGATCTCTTAGTTTTGGACTGTTTGGGGATCACTTTTTCCTTTGGACACTCAGCTTTAGCATTTTTACCACCATTATCACGGTATCCACATAAGTTAGCAACATCATTCTGTAAAATATTAGTTTTTAATTTAATCAATAAGAAGCAATAATTCTGACCCATGTCATATTCGGGACTCTAGCAGGGAGCATTTCACGAATTTTCTTCATATCCACTGGAACCCGTGACATGAGAGCCTTCTTTGGCTCACGTTGAGCTTCATGAGTTCTTCCGAGAGTGACTAAATTCACATTACTTTCCCTATTCATCAGTTTTTGCTTGGGATCAGATTCAATAGCAGCAGGAGTGAGAGTAGCATTCCCCATGATAGTAGCAAATGTTGTTTCAGTAGTGGAAGATTTGGTTACAACTTCTGGAGTGTTTATAGAAGAATCTGAATAGAAGTTTTTCAATGGTTATCATTAGGATGTGTTTACCAATTTGCGGCTGTGACGGTGAATTTGAATTTTTGGAGAGAATGGTGTTAACACTCGTGTCTACAAAGCAGTCAGACGAGTTGTTTCGACGAGCAAGCTTCGGTGATTCACTTTGAGGACTAACAGTTTGCTCCGAATCTTTGACCATATTCGCATCAATGTCCAAATTATTTTCATCCATATTCATAGTTGGTGGCAGCTCAACAATTATATCATCAAACGGATGCTGATGTTCAGATGCCTGTTCAACAGATTCTGATTCTAGAGAACAGGAAATAATTTCTGCAATTGATAGCGTTCTCTTGGAATGAAGAATTTATAGAACAGACCATTTTGATTAGAATCACCTAGATTTTCGGTACATTGTGGAATCTCAATAACTTCGTCAGTGTTTGTGGAACTGATATGAGGACCACAAGGACTCATACTCGATGATTTGCTTCGGCAGAAAATTTCATGCTAAATTATTTTTCGTTAAATTAATGGTTTTCATGTTTTGACTAACCGAGAATCCTGGAACGTCCAAAACCATCTGCTCATGGGGTTTTGCTTTGTCTACGAAATTATTTTCTGGCTCACGAACCGAACGAATCTTTGCACTTGTTGTGTTGTGATGTGGAACAGAAAGCGATGGCTGCTCAGCAATGATGCCATTCAAACCATCGCAATTCTTCTCTTTTAAGGCAGACTCGACAGCGAATTGGATAAGGAAAAGTTCGTACTTCGATCTCATTTTTAAAGAATTCAGAACGTTAGGAAGTGGGTCCTTTTGATTTTTCTCCCTTTCATGAACTTTTTCGTTGCGCGATTCCTCTGTCTCCTTCAAACCTAATGTATCGGTATGACAGACTTCTTCGATCGTCGTCGAAGACGTGTTGATCGGAACCAGGCATGAAGGCGTCTCATTATCCAATCTACACTCCGAATTTTCTGATTGTGTTGTGTTACCAGAAGTCAAACAATATTTGGTCTTTTCAGATGTTCTTCGACAATCCACAGTTGGATGAACAGAATTTGTAGAATTACCATCTGCTATGTTCATGTTTTGCTCCGCTGGGGAACCACAAAAATCAATCTGAAATTGTTTTTTTTAACATGATTAAAAATTGAAACCTACGTTGTTCGAATGAGGCATTGGCTGGATTCCACTCAAATGTTGATCGCTAGAAGTCACCTGCGTAACGGAGCAAAATGTCACGCTGGTGGTCAGATTAAGAAAGTCCTTGTTCATGTTTGGAATGAAAAGTGAGGAGACAGTAGGAAATGTTTCGAGCAAATCCAAATTAAGTGATTTTATATAATTCACATTGTTTGAATGGGTTTCAAATGAAACTGGTGGCAATGGGCAATTGGGATGTAGATTATCGATATGAAGGCGCGCTGAAAAATAATTTCCATTGATGTAGTTTTTATATCCAAACCTTCGCATATGCGTTTTTCCTTTCTCGAACGTCCACAAGAAGTTATCTTCGGGATTTCTTGGTGAGTAGTCGCATCAAACTTATTGCCGTTCAACTTCTTTGATAACTGAAGTGCCTGATTTTTAGCGGCCTAAAAATCAACAAATAATAACAAAATTCAAAATTTAACTCACATCTCTATTTTCAGAATTAGTATGAGAGACTGAAGACGTTGGTAGCGATGAGATGAATCGATTTTTACCTTTGTCATTTCCGACAATAGTGGGAGAGGCATCAAATGATTCAAAGTTCGATTGGATTGGACCTTCCTGATGAATTGCCATATGATCATCACCATTAAGTTGTTTCGACAACTGAATAGCCAACTGATAATCATTAGCATACTTGACTTTATCCGATGATTCAACATCGGTAGTCTAAAATTATATTGAATGATGAGACAACGTCTTCATTATACCAACCTTTCTCTTTTTTAGCTCAACATCCAGATTATTAGCCATAATTTCAAAATCACTGAACTTCTTGTCGAACATGGGATCCGGTACAATCGCGTCCATTGACGAGTATGTCACTTGATTCAGAGGAGAAAAGTTCTTGTTGAACAAAGTAGCCGTCGGAAAAGGCATATTAGGGAACAAATCGTTATCACGATCAGTCTGTAATTACGAAAACAAATTATTCAACATGCCATTTTCAGAAACAAAAAATTTCAAACAAAACCACGTACGCAAGGGTTTTCCATTTCCTTCACAATAGCGCAAACACGGCTGACATTGTACAAATGCATGGCTCTCGAAAGAGGGGGCGTAACTGACTTCTTCTTCAAGTTGGCAATGTGAAGCATTCTGAAAATACGAATTAATTGAAAAGGGAACAATATGCCAAGATGCAGAAGCGACCATTTGCTATCGATAAAAATGAAAGAGTGAGGGGCCATCGCGCTGGTCGGCCCCTCATCACTATTTTCGCGCCTGCCAAATCAATAACATGGTCCTGGGTCACGAAGATCAAAACTTGTTGCTGTCTGCGAGTCAAAGTACACTTTCGAGAAACGAAAAAAAAATAGAATTGAAAGAGTCTTGAGAAATTTTTTAAAAGAAAATTTGATTCGAATGTTTAAGAGTTATTTATTCAAGTGAAATAAAACTGCTTAACAGTAAAAATTGATCATTTGCAATTTCAGTTACGAGAAAATGCCTTTGATTTATTGTAAAAATCCTTATATGAGTTTAAAGATATCAAAAGTTGTAACACTCCTAATCTGTTAGTGAAAATTGTAAATTTTTAGAAAATAATAAACGATGGTTTTTAAATAATGTTTCTTTTAATAAAAAATTTTATAAACTTATAATTTAAATTGTATTCGTCAATTCGTTTGCTGAATAAACATATTTTAATTGGAAAATATTAGTATGTAATCATTTATAAAAGAAAGTCGCAAACTTAGAAGTGTCTAAATTTACAAAATTCGTTTTCTGTTACTTTAAACATTGAATTATACCGTTTTTTTTGTACTTTGTCCATGAATCAAAACTTGTACAACCGTGATTTTCGTAAATTATTTTACGAAAAATTTCCGGAGGAAAAGTGTCGATCGAATCATGAAATATATAAACATATCTACCAGCAATTTATTTCATAAAAATATTTTTCGTTAATAAATTATAAGTTCAGAGTAGTTATAGCCTATCAATAGCTTATGAATCCAAATATCGGAAATAATTTTCAAAAATCTATTTCATTAATATATTTATTAACAGATTTTGGAGAAATACGTGTAATCTGCCCCCAATACTCCCTGTCATTATTCGATAAATGATAGGCATTCAATTTATAGACGGCGAAATTGTGTCTGTTGCTCTAGATTTTTTTAGAACATTGTGCCTTTCAAATAAGGGATATGAAGATAACCGCCAGCTTTTTGTTCCACATATTTCATTCCATTTAATAAGTCGAACTATCACAATTCCGTTTTAGTAGCGAAAAATGCTATGTGCCTTTTTATCTTGCAGAACATTTTTCAAATTTTACTTCAACGATAAATTTAGATTTAAATAAAAAATATAAATAAATGGTGGAAATGTGCTTCAAAGTTGAAATTTTCGTAATACTTTTCCAAAATCTTGTTCTACCGTATTATTGAATCCATAATAGACGCCGTATACGCGTATACGCAATTGTGAGGGTGGTTCTTTAATAGAAATAATGAAGCTGTTCGAATTTTTGTACATTTTATACCTGTTTTTTTTGGAATATATTGTACTAGCCGAGATTGTCTAAAATATCTAAAGAAACTGATAATCCAAGATTCAAGAATTAATAAAATTGCTAAGAGCATTTCCTAATTGCTTATCATTTTATTATTTTGTTTCCAACAGATTCTTTGATTTTTGAAGTCCTGTTTGCCTCATTTTCCCTGAACGCAATGCCCAAATTCCAGAAACTAATGAAATCCAAGTTGATTTTTCCGGTTACTCGTTTCTATGGCAATGTACGAGGCAACTCGTGTTTCAAACTTCCCACTTTTATTTTCGCGTGTTTAGTTGGTCATCTAATATTCAACGGCTTGCCATACTATCTCGTGTACTGTTGATCAGTAGCACACTTGAAAATTGTAGCTACCGATCTACTGTAAACGAGATAGTCTTAGCCGTTATTTCCATAATGGTTGAATTTGAAAATTTATATATACGAAAACAAATGTGGAATTTGAACGTAATTTATTATAAACAAAGAAATGAGGAATATATTGAAAAATTACTGTTTTTTTTTCGTCACTGCATTATTTTTACTTTACAATTTTTTAATGTTCCAAGCACATTTATGCAGGTTTGATTTGGTTAAATGAAAAATAATAACTCAATAACTTATATACGAATAGATTTTCGCCAAAAACTCGTATTGCTACATTTCTTGAATCTTGTTTGTTTTTGACAAAACTAAGGAATAAGAATTTCAAACTTTTGCACGTCCACAATATTTAATATTTTGAATGCACGTTGAAAACCCTGACGAAATATTTACACTTTATATAAACTTTAGCGTGTGAAAAATTCCGTATGGAAACGTAATTTCCTATTATTTTGCCTGATTGTTGAGAGAAAATAAATAACACAAGTATAATGCACTTTTCTTAAAAACAATATTCCATGTTCGGTTTCGGACAATTTTATTTTGGTTTCAAAGCCTAAACAATATACGCTAGATGCATAAAATCAAACCCTCTTACAAAAAAAAAAAAACTAAAACTTTTTGCCCTTTAGCAATGTTAATAACATGTTAGCGATTTTATCAACCTCTAATTATATTTGTTTTGGCTTTTAAATGACATGAAAATGTGAGAAAAGGTAGCTATTATATTACTGTTCATTGAAGATAAAATCATACAGACCTATTCATAAAAAGCATTTTTTTTTACAAAAAAATAAAAAAAAACTCCTTTAAATTCGTATTGTTCTACAGTGTTGCATTGGGAAATGTGTAATTTTTTATATATATTTTTTATTGCATGAGTATGTCCGAAAAAATTATAATCGCAAAAAAACGAGGAACCCATGCAGATATACGAAATCGCTTCGAAAATACAAAATATATGATTCATAATTACACCATACTCATTTTTGCAGTGGTTATACTACTTATTATTATATTCAGTTTGAAGAATTTGTTGATATATTACAAATTAAAAAAATTAATATTTACTAAAATATTCAAAACAAATTAAAATTTTCAAATTAATTTTTTAAACTAAAAATTAATCGAAACTAAAAAATAGATTTCCCCATGATTCCCTATGAGTTCTGTAATTTTAGAAAATGTAGGGAAAATTCTACAATAAAATATTTCTTGTTTTCTAATTATATTATATGATAAATATATCCCCTTTCATTTTTCTCATTGTTTTTCACATCTCTTTATCGAAATATCTTTGTAGAATTTAGCCATTCATTTCACATTTTCCCAACATTATTTCCATTATTCAAATTATGGGTGTTTAATAAAGTGTGTTATTGCCAAGCGAAGGCGGCATCTTTAGCATAAAGGGAATGACGTGAGAGATAGTTCACAAGAAGAAGAGCCCCAGAGTTGAATCTGAAAAGAATTCGGCTAGCGTGAGAGAGCGCAACACAAAAATTTGGTGGTGCGTTGCCGGGCAACATATTTTTTCACGTTAGACACTCCCTCCCGAGGTTGTTCCGTTCAGAATGAACCACACCGGATTAGAGCGTTAGCAGACTGAGAAAACTGGCAAGTTTCTAATTGGTGTTTTTTGCGCATAAAGCTGTTCAATGCGGCCCCCTCTTCCCAGCCATTGGTGGCTGATTCTCATCATAATATGCAACAAATCCGTCGACACAAAACGCTCAATGGGAGCTTTAAAGTCAGACGAGGTTCGTTTTTTTTTTCGTCCTATTCTTAAAAATTAAACAATACACGATGGAAAATTTTATTGTATAATATCACCTGCAGTGATATGAAATAAATATCAAATATTTTTAGTACTAGAAATTTTGTCAAAAATCTCCTTTGATAAACACTCCTGTTTGCTGTTATTTTTAATATTAATGCATATGAATCACAATTTTTCCTGTTTTGTAGGATTTTGTATATTTGGACCGATTCTGTTTTCAATCGGATACTGGCTCCCTTGAGTATTCTTTCAAATATCCACTGGTGAGAACATTCAAAATTCTTTACATAAGTTCATTTCGAATGTTTTCAGTTCTATCCCACTCAGATGCTTCTATTCTACTATGATACTCCTGATCAATGGCCAAGAGCTTACAAAGAGTTGACGGTGAGCAAATAAAACGAAAACGATAAAAAATATAGTAATTCCAGAGTTGCTCCGAAAGAGTTGAGATTTTAACAAATAAATCGGAAAATAACCAGATAATATTCCTTGACCCATACATGACTGATTATGGTATTTCGGGAAAGTGTAAAATATTTAAAGATGCATTCAATGAGCCATGGGTACATTGTATGGGCACGAGAATTTTTAGGTTCTGTCAAAATAACTGCGTGGAGACAATAACAGGTCCAAAATTTCAGATCAGCTAGGAGTCGTTGGTGGTTCTTAGCGTTGGCAAATTGCGTTCCTGGAGAAAATGAGGAACGCCATCTGTACAATAATGAAAGCATTGGAATCTACGTGGATTTCACACTTCAAATGACAAACGGATTACCTAGCGAGTTTCTCAAATATCAATTTTCAATCGACGAATGGTGTAAGTCGTGTAGCGCTCGCATTCTACTTTAATCCAAAAATTTGATTATACTTACAATTATAAAGATACTTCATGAAATCAAAATATTTTTCAGCTAATCTGTTTTTTTTAGTAATACTTCCATCCGATACTATATTCATATGTCTACAATTCATCTTGATTATCATAACTTACATCATCGGAGGTAACCCTGATAGTCGGGTTAGGGATAATTGTAAATAATTTTCAGTTGCCTTGACGAATCGACGTCTTTACCATAACACGTTCCGAATGTGTGCTCAATCGATCGTCATGAACACAGTCGGTCTTGGTTTGTTGGTGACCCACTACACAATGTACGCTCTCGATGGAATGGGTTTTCCGGTTTTTAAATCTCTTGGCTCATTCATAAGGTAACTTAAAACATTTATTGGCAGTTCACTTTTCGTTTTAGAGCTGTTGCTGATATGTTATTTGTTTACATGATTCTGGTATTGTCAAGAGGGTTAAATGTGACCAAAATGAGGCTAACAATGGTATGAGCTATTAGCAATAATAACAATAATAAAAATTTGCTGAGAGAATAATTTTAGGCTGATAAATGTTTCCTTTCACTCATGGTCATCTTCTTTTTTCTGTCGTACCTTTTCATGCAATTTTGCGAAATTCGAGTAACATTCAATATCCCCGTCTTCACATTTGAACTTTAAATCTTTTAGTACTTCAATCCCGCTGAAGTGATATCGGAAACTGAGACATTGCCTGGTTATTTCCTGGGAATTTGGAGAATTGTTGCTTGGATATTCTTTGTAATCGCTTCCTGTTTCTCAGCAGATGCTTCGCCACCGAAACGATTGTTTTTCAGCCACCTTGTCGTAATGCTAACTCCATGGTAATTATTAATTTCGGGTTACCTCGTTGCTTTCCTTTCGTATTGCGGGTGGGCGGCAGATGTTTTAAATTGAATTTCTGAGTAGGGTCCAAACATTGAAATTTCCAGGTTCTGGGCTCCACCAGTTGCTCAAATTATTGCGAATTTCGCCTTGAATAGTTGGGTACGGGCGGAAGTTGCCAACATCGCTAACAATATTATTACATTCTATGGATATCTCGTATTTTTGGTACACTCGACATTTTCTTTTTTCATTCTATTTTTATTATTTTCAGTGGCTCGCACGACCAACTGATGGCAATCAAAATTTCCCATTCCATATTAGGACAACTCAAGTTGACGTCAATGTTGGATTTGATCCCAACATCGCCTACGTAAGTTATCATTTTACCGAGAAATCACATGAGTAACCAATTAATATCATCAAATTATTAATTAAGCACGCATCAGTTACAGTGACTAAGCTTTTGTTTGAGCTTATTCATTAATAATTTAATTTTCGAAATTTTCTCCCAATTAAAAATCTTCATGTTTTTCATAGAAATCGAGTTATTCATCCGTTTAGTAAATTGGTCAGCTGAAATGAATAATCTCAATTTTCGAGAATTGATAGACTAATAAGAACAGAAATTTTAAAATTAGAATGATAATAAATTGATATACGTGCAAAATTTCAAGTATATTGTAGCAGAGAAATTTCAATATTCTAGAAGCTTTCTGTGACGTGGAGCATAAAAAATAAGATGAGAATCATTTTATGAACAAAGATCATGATATTATATTGTAGACAAGCAATCCGACAAATGTCAACGACGGAATGCATGGAACTGTGGACTACGAAATGTCGAGTGGCACATCATCACCTCGCGCGATTAAGCCACCGGCCCCGCCTCGTAGAAAGCCAATCGGCACCATTGAAAGACCACAGATTTCCTGAATTAGTGTTGAAACTTTTTTTGTAGATTCACAAAGCTTCTTGTCACGTTACTTTACGAATTTTGCAATATAAAAAATTGCAATGAACCCTATCAAGTGGAATCATTTAAGTGGCTATGCAAGACCATTTTGAAAGAGCGTACCCGCAGAATTGTATAAGCTATACGGCCAACAAAAATTTCCTCCCAATGTGATATTTTTGATGTTAATTATGTGATTCGAAAATCACTCATGTGAATGTTTTGATTTTGATTTATTTTCTTATTCATTATGTATCTGAATTTTGATTCCAGTATTGTATTTATTCAGCATCTCATATTTTCCAACCGCATAAAAATCGCATCTCTAATTATAGGAACAACAATATTGACATTACTATTTCGACTCCCAGAATTACAGAAATCAAGCTTTCTCCAATTGTAACAACATCAAGAGAAACCACGTCACTATCTTCAAACTTTTCAAGTTTTGGAATATCCATTTTAGCAACGAGGTACATGGTGACTATTCTCCAACAATTCAAGAGCATCGTTTCAATTAAAAGAAAAACAGCAAATTGTCCTGAACTCCAATAATTAGTATAAAAATGGTTTTGCTGCATACCAATTAAGGGTATCGACGAATAATTCGGCGGAAGACTTTCAAGAATGTCGATGAGATTGAAGATCTTAAAAAACAGCAATATAGTGATTCACCAGTAAACTTCTTACAAGATATGCTGATGATAAGAGAAGCCAAACAATTCCAGTAAGTCCACGGAATAATCCCGAAATGCACACGATTCTATTAAAAAATATATATATGAGAAAAAATATTCAAATATATTCTTACAAAGCAGCAGAGAGTATTGGATAGGCCATTTTTGGTTTGTAAAACTTGCTATCCCTTTCAAAGATAAGGTTGTATCTAAATATTGGCTTCAAATATCGAGGATTGTAGCTGAAAATTGGAAATAATACAATATTTATATTGAATTTGAGTTACTCTTTCATTTTTTTAACAAGCAAGTTTCCAAAGAAAATATAGAATCCTTCACTTTCAATATCGCTCAGCTTATAATCATTAACATCTGGTATGGCTTCATCATTCGACTCGTATCTAAAATGATCAGCAACACCAAATTCAGAGAAACGGAAACTGTAAACAATTAATTATAACAAATATTCTGAAAATATTACGTATTCGCGTCATATGGTGTATAAAGACTGAAAGAACAGTTCTGAAAATCGTGCGGATATTCTCCAAAGTCAAATGCACACGTAGCTCTTACGCGTATATCGATCTAGAAGAATTTTTGGAATATATTCGAGACAAAAATGCTTACACTGATTCGCACCATTCCGTCGTTCACAATTTGTATCATTGCATGGTTAAGATATTCAAAAATGTTTGAACTCGCTGAGCTTCTATAACATTTGCTATGTTGTGTTTAATTTTGGAAACGTACAAATCGGATATAAACATTTCAGGAATCCATAAGCGATACAAATTGTAAATTGATTTATCTCGTCCAATTTTTTCAATTCCATTATAATCTGCAGGGTTCCAAACAAGTCTGTCATCTTTCCAACTCTCAAAAACAATGCAAGCCTATTAGAGATTAGTATATTCGAAAAATACCAAATAAAGAGTTGCAAAAAGACTCATAGTTTGATCAACATCGTCTACAGCTTGAATGTGTTTCAGCGACAAATACGGAATGCAAGTCACCACATTTGGTGGGGACCCTTCGTATCCCTTGAATATTTTTGACAGAATTCGCTTCTACAAAAAAAAAAACAATAATTTACATAATAAAAAAGAATCACCTCGTGATAATCTTCGATATATAAATCGTTATTAGTCACAATTCCTGGAGACAAAAGAGAAACAATATTCAGAAAAGCCACTGCCTGACTAGCCATGTCCGCCATCCTGCGCCACAGAAACTCAAATATGATGATCGTTTTCAATTTGCGGAAATTTGTTTATTTTGGTAATCTGATATGATTACTTTTCTATATAAATTTATAAACAATCGATTGGCATTGGAATAGTAAAAGTTCAAACTTTATGACTTAAATCGAAAATGATATTCAAACTTCTCATCAATAGAGTTTCTCACTCAATCAGCATAACAGACAAAAAGGCAAACGAAACGTATTTAATTAAGATATAAATTATCAAACAACAAGTAACAGCTCAAAGAGCTGTACAAATTATTTTAATATATTTTTCATTTCGCGAGTACTGTTTTATTGTTTCATTTTCTAATTTAAGTAAATGCATATTTTGAGAAAAATTTAATTTTAATGAATATTTCAATGTGCGTTTCATTAGTTTACTGCATCGTGTTCTTCAAAAAAAAAGAAAAAGAAAGAGTTAATTCGTCCCTCTATGCTAGCAGTAAAATGTTTCAAATGCGAGATTACTTGTCGCGAGTAGTTAGGCACGTTTGAATATCCCCCGGTAATTATGTACTTATCTAAAAGTGCGTAGTGAGGGGATTTTAAAACCTTTTAATATGATTATTTCAAAATCTCGATAATGTCAAATCAAAAGCCTAATTCCGTAACAGTTCTTGGCAGATTTTCATCATTATGGCAATACTTGTATGGTTTCGCCGCGGCTGCTTAATTGGTTTGTCGGCGTCCGTGCGACCTATATTGTCCGAAGGCAACCTATACTACCATATCCTCTGCGATCCTATTGAATCGGATGCGCTTCATTCACAAGTGCATAAGAATTGAAGGAATTATTGTCGATGTCCCTCAAGTTGCAAATAACCATCAATCGGGGTGTGTTGTGCGCGATTTGAATGTATGCGTGTTGGTTGTCTACAAATTCGAGTGAAGAACAACACCCCATTTCTTATGCATTGATGGGCCAATGTTTCAAAAACTAGCGTGGAATGACCGATTGATATTTTTTTCAATGTCGATTGTTTTTTGCTTAATATCAGTTAGCTTACTGTAGGTGCTCTTTTTCAGATAACGAAATCCGCTTCACGCTTTTTTTACCCCTTGTTCATTCTTTTTAAAGGATTCCACTTTGCTTCTTCAATTGGACAAACTTTAAACCCTTTTCATTCATGTCACTTTTCTGTTCTCTTCAAGTGTTCGTCAACTTTTTTTGTAGTCCCATTGTTTCAAAACACATCACGTAGATTATCGATGTGACACATGCAGAACAGTATTAATGTTTGTGCAAATGTTTTCTCGCCACCCAAAAATGGGAGCTGTGTGTTCCGAGTTAATCCTTAGTTAATACGATATTCTTAATGCATTGTTCTGTTTGTTGAAAGGTGTTGGAGGGTTACGGTAACGGACATGTGTGCCGAACCATATAATTAAAGATTCGCCTGCACGTTTTTTATATTTATAAACATTACTTAAAATACCATTTTCCTTATTAACTTTTAGCGCAATACGCATATTGAAATTTTTAAAATTTGCAAGCTATAATTCATCTGTGTCGTTTCATATAAGGACTGCGATATTTTAGGATAAATTATATATATTTTTTTTAAATTTTAATAATTTAAAACTGGAAATAAGATTATTCCATTTATAGTTTGTTAATTAAAGTATTGAAAATTAGACTTCACTTTGAAATTAGACAAAGAAAATTAGACTTCACTTTTGAGACATTTTCAAATAAAATTATTTTGCTCATCGCTTCCCGAATAAGTGTTTGCCAACATCCCGATTTTCTCAGGGTAATAGAAAGTTGTCGTTTGTTTTGTATTGTCATGATGTTTCGTTGTCGTTTAACAATAAAAAAGCAGCACCTTTTCATCGATGTGTTCACAACCAAACAGCCGTATCGTTCCAAACATCTCAAACTAAATCACCATCTTGAAATGTTTATTCGATCGGTCGGCCTAACGCAAGCATTTTCCGCTAGCCGCTCGTTTCCCGACGAAAAATACCACCAACAACGCTTTCTGTATGCCCCATTGATTGCCATTAATCTGATGCACGGATTATATAAGCATACAATACAACAAACGAACACGCGTGCAGATTTCCGATAGGACCTTCACCGCCTCCCGCTCGACACCTTGTAATCATACCTGTTTTTACCGACCGGCCCACAAATCCTTTTGTATGGCATAGGTTCAAATTTCGTGGCCGTTTGGGTTCGCCGACGGTGTCAGCATAGTAGTTTTTTCATCGCATCTTGTCGAAAACCTCCAACCTCGGTGGCAATTCTCGCATCATTATCGGTGTTGATTAATTGCGATTACAATTAGCTGCCTCGATAAGACGAGGGGGTTCCCATGGACATTTACCTTGTTTATGCAAATAAATGAGTGATCTCGCGCAATTCGAAAGGTTATTCAAGATAGCGAGGTCGCTTTTTTATGAGGCTATTGTAAAAAAAAGAGGGTAAGGTGTGAAAATACCTAGTTTTACAATCCCCTAATTGGGTTGAAGATTCGAGTGTTTTTCCTTGCATTTCTGAAGTATCCTTTGAAATAAATCAGATTCCCCGCACCCTCTTATTTCCATTTCGTTCGGCTCCGAATGCTCTCAACCCAAATTGATATCTGCTCTTTGTGGTGTCCAATACTTGATCATGACACTCATTCAATTCCATCTTGAAAGAATATAAAAGGCGTTCCGAGCCAGCTGCACAATGTTGCCGCCGAGAACGCGGCGACTTTCACTTGTTTTCCGCTGCAATATTAGTTGCATCAAGTGTTCGAAACCGCATCGCGAAATATATGAATTTTTTCCGCCGCTGCGCAAACGCTCTTTTTCATCACCATCCGAGTTTTATTACCAGTTTTAATTATCCTGTGACCAACGGGGAACAGAAGATTCGAAATGAGAGGTTCGTTTGGTTTGGACTCAAAACTATAACTTATTCATTATACTGCTCATTCAGTTATGAACGTATTCGTACCATTTCTTATTAAGACATATTCTACGTTTTTTTTATAATATCAAAATGGAAAAATATTTTATTAATTTTAATATTATATAAAATTCCAATCATTTTTTTTCCTACATCAACTCGACGAATTCCGGAAATAAAGCCTATGATAACTTCCTTAATAATTTAAATATATAAAAAGCGAATTGCATATTGATATGATATTTGACCATCGCGAGACAGCTAGACCAAACTTGATGCTCTTGAATATCTGCCGAACAGCCTCTCCACTTATCACCTACCATGTTTGCATTGCGATTCCAATTCCATCACATTTCACATTTTTATACCAACGTTTGCTCATCCCTCCATTTTTGTGCGTTTATTTTTGTCGAAAAAAAAAGCGAAAAGGCATCTCGCCAACGTTTGCACGACGACAGGCAAATTGAACAGAAATTAGGTCAATTTTTGTTCAGTGCAAGCTCTTGGGCCTAGGCGCCAAAAAAAAACTAACTTGCTCATTATTTATTCACTTATGTTTGTACATATGGGATTTCCTCTCTCGTTTTCTTCATTTCCTTACAAGTGCTTTCATTATTTTGGGTACATAAAACCATATGTTCGATTCCATGGCAACAAAATAATCCTCGTCACACTTTGCCTAATTGACAGTGTCGAAAATCCTCGCGAAAATCCGCTCTCAAGAGTCACCCACAACCTTTCGGTCTAATTATTAAGGGCCACCAGACACATGTATAACATCATCTTACCGCACTACTGAAGGCACCGAGCAGCTGTCCGGCCACTTATGGCTCTAGTGTCTATTACAGATGATGAAAACATTGTAGATACACATGTTGAGCAGGCGTAGCGTGTCACCGACCGCCTTTCGTCACCGGGATTCCATTTTTTCTCAATTATTCATTATTGAAAGACGCCTCTATTGTCTTCGGGCGTTACTAGTCGGCTGACAACAGTTAACCCAAAATATGAGTGTGTGCGAGTTAGTGGAAATTTTCAAATGTTTTCACCTAGTTTTTGTTTCAGAGAGTTATTTTTTGACCAAAAGTTTATAACAAAATCCTATAATGCATCAACATTCATCAACAATTCATTCAAAATAGTGACTTCTATCTATTTTTGCTTTTGACCTCAATAAGAAAAACAGCATACGACCTTCTGAAAACGCTTTGAACGTCATTTTCTAACATTTAATCAAATTAAGGCGGCCGCCACAAATTGGTGTTCTAATCAGATTTGTCAAGCCTCCACCGTTTGCAAGTTTTTTGAACGTCCTCGACGGAGAACTCCACCCAAATGCATAATATGATGACCGTGATGTGATTGAAATCGCATTGTTAGTTTTTATTTGTGTGCTAAAAGGTGCGGGAAACATAAGCAATATACCATAATAGGCGAATTGCGCAATCACAATAGCTGTACTGTTTGGCCCGAAAATGTTCCATTTGCTCGGAATCGCGGAATACTGTATCTTGCTCCTCTTGCGATTCATGCAAATTAGCTTCAATTCCGACTATTATACTTTCCATTGTCAGAACATTATAATTCTGAGACCATGGAAAATAGCGGTTTCTCGCAGTGGGAGGCTGCTTCCCAATTTTTTTTCGTCTTTTTTTCCATATAATTGCTTGAAACTAAAAGATTGATTGTCGTGGAAACAATCTAGTTTTGTTACCGTTGTTTTTCGTCACCCGTCCATAATTTTTTGACCGAAAATTGGCGTTTGAAGAGGAGTCTTAGAACAAGTGAAAGGGTGGACATCGGAGTTGTAACTGGAATTTGTTGTATTCATATTTCTTAGAGGTAACAAAACTATCATATGCACCCTTTCTTCATGACTCATGTTTGAATATTTTTGATTTATCATCCTCTTTGAAATGTTTAAATTAGCCATATTTGAAAATACCAAAGCATGGAAAAGCATAGAAAAGAGTAATTTATGAAAATAGATTTTATTGTAATGTCTATTTGTAATGTAAACGAAAAAAAAATTAAATTTATACAAACGAGTTTTTAATTTTTCTTAATTTCGACTTTAACGGTTCCTCTGTACTTTATTTCAGCTACATATTGTAACTTAGGTTAAAATGAAAACTTGTCAACACTCTCAAGTCGCGGACAATTTTTACACCTTTAAACCAATTCCTCAAATATTGTGCGAAGTAGACGCATATATATGCCCTCATAGTTATTGTAATAGGATTTAAAGCAAAAGTGAGTTAAGGTAGGCAGACTAATAGGATTAAGCCCGCCGCGGACATGTCACAAAGGATTTGGAACAGTGTTGTACGACGGTTTTCGTAGTAACTATGCAAATTAGTACCTCCGTAAGATATATGTAACTCGGCGGGTCAGCAGAGGCTGCCACCTTCATCGGTCGATCCAAAAATTTATCACTCATTTCAAACCGAAACCAACCGCAACACAGCCGGCCACATGTGTCCTGTCCATGATTTACTATGCCGGGTTTTCGGTCCTCAAAATGTACATGTATGTATATACATTTTTTTCGGCATCGCGCGAGCTCATTATTTTCCATATATGTATGTAATATTCATTTTGATATAGAGCTGTTTGGTTTCGCAGCTCTCCGATTTCATACCGCCGCACACATTTTCCCGTATTTTTTCGCCAGTAAATCAAAACGAGATTACATTTCATATGGATTTGGCAAAGCCAAGAAATGAAATAATGTTCACATCGCTTTAATATACATGCATATGTTCGGATGTTCACAAATGACTTCCCATACTAAATTATTCATTGCTAATGTTCGAAATTATTCAAGCTCGCAACATCAAATAGTGGGAACTCCAAAGCATTGCCGTTTCTATTTTGGAAAATTTTTAAATTATTCAAGTTTCGGTCATTTCAAATTCTTCTACCAACTTTTGAAAAAAAAACCTGTGAGTTACTACAAAACTCATCAAGGTGGAAAATAATGTGACCTCTACTCATCATTGGGTTGTCTCAATGTTGGCACAGCCAATGATGGCATAGTGTCAGCTTCGTTCGGAAATTGACACCTTCTTTGTCGAGGTGGCTAACAAGCCGCCTCCGCCAAGTTACTGTCAATTGTAGGCTCCAGGCGGATCCGCAAACAATTGACCGTCCTTGACTGTCAGCACGCTCTTTGTGCTAATTGCCGCCAAAACAAGTCATACAATAGACTTGGCAGTGTTGTCTGGTAGCAACAGCAGATGAACTAATTGACAAATATCATTGTATATCGGAGTGAGACGAAACCATTTGGCTTGGTGCGCGAACGCCACCCCCTGGCTGCTCTTCAAGTGTAATTGGCGGGAAATTCAATTCAAATGCGTTCTCGTTATTTCAAGATCGAACAGCTCTTGACAATTGTTGCGAATTCGTTTAAACGTTTGTTCTCTTTTTCCATGTCTTACAACTAAAACAATACCGCGTTGGCGATAGCGAAATCCCCGCCTCCTATGAGCGCATTTGTCTCTCGCACACACACTTTTTTGCCGCGTCAACCCCGTGCTTGGGAACATTTCTTGCCCAAGCCATCACATCGCACGTGTGCTACCGATGGTATCAAACCTTCGATATTTTAACAATACCATCATTTCTATAAGCTTAATGTTTTATGCATGCATTCCACCTTTTTATTGTTTTTTTTATTGACTACGGTAGAATATTCACACATGAATGCTCCTCCTTTGTATAGGCTGGCGATTAGATGAATATCTGGATTGACGAAGGTAAAACAATCTGACCTCCTCCTCCACCTCATCTTATTATTATTATTATTATTATTATTAATCGCGAACCCATAATTATTTGTTGAGTCAATTGGTCTAATTGCCATTATCCATCACATACAACCAGCTATATTCGCCATTGTCGTACGGTAACTCGATGCCGACCCATCTCATTTTCCATATCGGATCAGTTGTTTTTTTTTTCGCAAGCTGTTACTTTCAAACCGATATAAATGTTTTTTTCCGAAAAAATTCTTAAAAAATTCAATCATGCGTGATGAATTGTGGCTCTGAATTTTGAAAATGTATGTTATTTTTTTCAGCAGGTTCCCGACTTGTTCCACATTAATATATAAGATTTTTGAAGTGATTATGTGTCACCCAATAAATCACTGCAAATCATTATAGCGCATTGCGAATTTATGAAAGCGATTTAAAAAAAAATAATCGCCGTCTTGTTGATCGCAAAGCATTCAATTGAATTTTCATGCGTTTGTGAACTTTTCATACAGCAGATGTTTGACGCGTTCAGACATTTTAAACAATATTCTTACTTTCGGGATTCGAAACTTTTCACATTAGTTTGTTTATATTATATGCGGATGTGTTGCCGATTGATTTACCAACAATGCCGTTGGAATCGATTCCCAACTTCTGTTTATAATAAAATGCCAATTGACATAATTTACATTTATCTTTAATATAGAATGATATTCGTACAATTTGGAAATCCCTGCAATAATTTTGCCATTTCGATTCCATTGTTCTCGAGCACACTGGCTCACTTATATCCCACCTCATAAAATCAATTTCTGATCGCTTCAAAGGTGTGAAATTTTCTCCGTCCCATTTTCCATTTTGTTCCTCATTTTTTCATCAGGCCCCCACAACTACCAACCGCCAGATGGTTGCCTCCCTTCTCCACTCATCATCATCAACGTCTCGTGGACTCATCATAAGTTAAATATTGAGTCTCGGTTTTCCCACTCACTTTAGACCGATTAAGCTCAGGAATAAGTAATGGGCGATTTGAATATTGGACAAGGTTCAGTTTTAGAAATTGTGGGCGGGAAGGTCGGTCGGTCGGTCGGACAGCCATGCCGACCGACTGGAATTCAATTTCCTCTTTGAAGACCTTTCCCATAAGCCGATGTGTATGTTTTTTTCATTGAGAATTTTGCAAAAAAATGAACGTACTTTCCCAAAACATTTCGAATTCCGACGTTGATTGGTTTTAGAACTGCTATCTTTCGAATGTTTGTCAATGAATCATCCCTGTACAATTTTTTTTGCACATTTTCAAAAGAGCCCACTAAAACTTTCAATCCGCATGACCCAGTGTTCGAACTCTCCAATTCACTTTACGAGTTTGAAATTGAGAAGTTTTACGCTCTTCCGCTTGATGTTCTTCTTCCCAATTGGAATCGGAATCCACTCACACACTCCACCCTTTTCGGTCAGTTAACTCGAAATACTAGCTCTTTTGAAACACCAATTATCCGGCGAGTTCGGTTCTTCCGTTTCAAACACATTAGCCCGAAACTTTAATTTTTTTTTCTCCACAAAGCCCCTTTTCACAATGTGTTATAACCCTTAAACAGGAGGTGTTGTGTATACTTGAGTATTCATTTAATAATCGACGCGTTTAATTGCTTTAGCTAGTTTCGACTAGTGCAACTCATCGTGTTGTCGCTTGATCCATTGCATAATTGATCCTCCCTTTATAGCCAAACGCCCATCTGTCATTGTTTAATTGAGTTATGAAATTTTGATGGCATAATTACATTGGGTTTGGTATACAAACATTTGTTGAAAAAAAGAACCCTTATAAAAAACACGATTGTTGTCAGCACTATCAATCCAATCAATGTTATGGAATTCCCGGTTTCTTGTAGCAAACGCTAATTGCTAATACATATTTTTAATAATGTTTCGTTGCTCGCCTGCGATGTTTTGACCTACACACTGTTAGCGCGGTCAAAGAAACAAAGTGGATGTGTGCGCGTGTGTGTGTATTATCTAGCCTCTAACTGTTTTGCCTATCATTGTCAATCAATTTTTGCTCCATTAATGTAAACGTGCGTGTCGCTACAACCACACCAAAGTTGATTTACTTCACCGCGTCCAATTTTGTGTTGCGCGTGTTTCAATCACGCATTTTTTTGTTCGTGTGTGCATGTGCACAACCTATACGCAAAGTGAATCTTGTCATTTTTTTTCGAGCGCTGTTGTTCCCTCATCTCGTTTTTTTCTTTTTTTGGACCCGTTTGCCGATGCGGAAAAAAAACTGACCGCATGGATATATCTATCTATCAAATAAATTTAGTTAATCTGGTTGTGGCAAGACGTCAATAACTCAAACTGACATTTTGTAGGGAAAAAGGTTCTGCCGAAATTAAAAATGAACAAACTTTTTTCGTCCTACTATTCCCTGTTCTACTTGTTTTTCCCCTTATTTATCGCCTACTTCCTTTTTGTCGTTTTGCATTCTTCTCCACTTGCTTTTCATTAATTATACAGTTTTTGTAGAACGCCCCTCTCTCATGGCAAAATGAACATCAAGCTCATCATTTTAACGATCTCCTTCTGGAATCTTTTGAATTGTTCTCTGCACCAAATTGAGACGCCGCCGTTTCCAGTATTCGGCCCTTGCCAGCGTCGATGCGTCAAGCAGGTATACATTTCGTTTTTTTGATTCATTACACACTTTTCGAGTTTCTCATATAAATCTCATAATATGATGGAATCGAAAACGAGCAGCAGATGAGTGAAAAAATGGAACATGTGTGCGTGTATGTGTTTTACACGGATTCCGCGTTTTGCGGGTCACTGAGTTGTTCTTGAGAGCCCCGCGGATTATCAGATTACAATTACATTAATTCAAGTAGAAAAGGGGCACGTGTCGCAAAAAAAAGAAAGCCTAATTGAAATATTCGGGTTGAATTATATGGTGTTTTGCAGTTTGGTGAGCTCGTTCAAAAAACTACTAACATTGATACAATCTACACTCAAGTTAACGTCTTCAATCGAACTGATTTCTCATTGGTAGGGATTGATTCCATGTTATTGGAAACAATTTATTGGTTTCAGTGCAAACTTGGATGCAACTCGCCAGGTTACAACGATCTTCATCTTCCTGCATTCCGATACGGCCAGTCGGCGTATCAGGATATCCTGTCAAAATCATCAGGTATGGGGGGTGGGGGTTGCAAAAATTGCGGTTTCGACAAGATCGCAACAATTTTGGGCGACGGTGATTAATGTTCAAAAGGTTTCGACATGACTTGTCATTATTTATGAACCGACGCGCATCATCTTGATTGATAACTAATCGTTTCAAATAAGGGATTCTCAAAAAAAAAATTATAACCCATTTCAGGCACCCCTTTGCGTGTGAATGTTGTTCGAGATGTTCACATTTTGTGCCTCGACACAATCAAGAGCGCGAATACGACGTCTCATCGGAATATGACGGGAAGCGTTTTACTCCAGATGGATCCTTCGATTGACAGTTTCAATCTCGTGCATTTCGTTGAAATTGTGGCTCGCAATTCCGACGATGTCACTGACGACAACATCTTGTTTCAAGACTGGGTAGGCTTTGAGTTTTGGGTTTTGTCGAAATCGAGGTGCCGATTTGTCAACGGACAAAAGCAATTAATTAGCTGGCGCTTTGAGAGGTGGCGTTCAAAACATTCGGCTGTGTACGGCCAGTGCGCAAACTCAAAACAATCTTGACCAGTACTGCGGATTACCTAATCACATGGCCGAGCACGGCTTTGCATATTTTAGTGGTCCAGTAATATCGGGATTTGAAGCGTCGAGGTCGAAATCAATTCAAGTGGCCTCGGCATAAATTTTTGGGAGAAGAAAGCACTTGAGAAGTTGTATTTTGGCGGTACGCGTCGAAAGAAAACTCAAATTTCTTACGAATCTTACGAAAGAAAAATCAAGTGCTTTACTTTTTTTCTAGTATCCCACAGCAAAAACTTTTGGCCGCATCGTTGAATGGGAGGCGCTAAGGATGCTACTTCTCCGTCGTCCGATAAATGCGAATTGATGTGAATAGAATCGAAAATCATTGGGAGGGAGCCACTTGAGGATCATTTGCTCACGAATTTAAAGCTCGTTTGATATGTGAGAATGCACCAATTCCTCCGAAATATTTTTGACAACCATTTGTCTTTTTTTGATGGAATATCGTTGTAGTAGCACATGCACAAAATGCATATGAAAACGCGTGCGGTCTTCTTATGGATTAAAAGGTCGTGAGAATAAAATATGAGATGAGAAGTTGTAGCCAGGGAAAACGTGTAGTAAGAAATGTGCAACAAAATTAAAACATGAGCAATTTTCTTGTAAGTCAAAAGTGGATCCAAAAATAATAAACAGTAAATGGTTTTTTACTAAAAGTAGCTTGCATTTCTTTAATTTATTAATTTCAAAAATTAGTTGAAACTATTTTCACACTCTTTAATTTTGTTTTGTACAATGCTCCACTTCAACATTAAAACAATTATCCGCGTTTAGCGTAATTAGTGGAATAATTATTAAAATAAAATAAATGAGCCATTGGTTTCAGTGCTACGCAAATAACTGCAATGTCACTTTCGCAATATCCCGGGAAATGGAGAATCTCCAAATTCGCGTCCGACTATCGACTTTTGATGATTATGGACCGCTGGGAGGAGTTGTACTTTCAAAGTGGTATATTTTGAATGACATTATTGCTCAAGCTTCAATGGAATTTAAACTTGTGGACTTGGTAACTATATATTTGCATAAAAAAGGAATCTTAAATTTTTTACAGAAATGGAGAGATGATAAAGCGGCTGCAAAGCTCGCTCTTGATCACGGCAATCAAGCTGTTTCAATTCCGAAGTGTACCATGCAAATTTACTACAAAACTGCGCTCTCGTCTGAATTCAAAATCGTTCCATTCAAACTTGATTTCACCCAAAAAGTCCTTCTCAAACGACTGGAGTTTGGTCAAAACTACCAAGTTCAATTGAAGCCGTCGGATTCGGATGAATTGATTGGATCGTCGAGTTTTGATGTTCCCGAATGTCGTCAGATGGTCGACGACATGAGCATGTGTGGTTAGTGGTGTTTTTTTTTTTGCGCAACCTATATCACATGTAACTCAAATGGGAAGCATATCTCCACTTTGAATCTAAAATAACATTAAGGCGCTTGACGTGAAAGAGGTCCATTTATCTTCGTGAAAACATGTCCCATTATCTTGTTGGAATTCGGCCTGCTGCTCGTTCCTTTTGTAGAATGATGGGGGGAGAATGATGCTTTTTTGATGGGAATTTAAATTTGAAGAAATGAGGGTTTTTTCAAGATGTTTACATAACTTTTAATTTTAGCCCCGCCACCGGTCACTGAATTCTCATCTTCGTGGAATTCAACCGTCGGAAATGGATATGCGCTTTCGTTCAAATGGGCCTACTTGACAGGTTTCACTTTCATTTACTTTTTTTGCGACTAGCCAATTTTGGAAAGAGCCGCTCTGGGGTGTTCTCGTGTCCATTTGCGGAAAATCGCCTCGTTTCGACCATCATTATTTGTGGCCATTTTAGATGCTGGAAATTCGACGCACATCACAATGTCCCATTTTATGCTGCTGCTCAACCCCTTGATTACTCCGCGAAACGAAAAGTGCCAGAAATTGGAGCCCATTCGACGAGATATTACATGGGTGAGACACGACGTCCAATCTCTGGGGATTTTTTAGCAAGAAAAAACAAACAAACCATTTCAGACCCATCGCAAAGTGATGTTTTTCGTGCCCGATGCGGAATGCAACTATGAAGCTGAAATATTTGCAATTGATGCAAAACAAAGAAGAAGTGAAGGCATCAAAATCAAGGTTCATAATGACGCAATTCATATAATCGAAAGCAAAAATCGGGAATTTTCCAGATATCTCGAATCAACGAACCATCTTACATGTCGCTACTTTTATCCAACGAAATTCCACTCTCCATTTTCTTTGTGATTTTCGTAATTTTCATACTTTGTATGATTATTATCACGATTCTTGTCTACCTGAATCGAAAGAAAGTTGTGAAGAAAAATGTCGAGGAGTTGAATTACGATTCAAATTCGAGCAGATTGGTCTATGCGTTTGTCGGTTCGTCAATCACGGTCTTCAAGTATAATTTGCATCAATTTACAGATGCTAACAACACTTCAAGAACTGTGATCGGTGTTCGTCCGTTGTCGTCAATGTTTAACTCAGAGAACATGGTTCCTGTAAGACCTATCGCTGCTTCAAATGCGGTAAATATTTTTGTTAAACATTTCGAACAGAACAATCCCTATTTAATTCCTCTATTTCCTTCTTTAACTATTAATAATTTCAGCGCTTATACGCTTACAATGTTCATGACAAGGTTCAACGCTGCTTCCCTCCTCATCATGTAATCCACTAATATGTCACCAATTCTTATTAATCATTGATTTACAGAGTGATATGCATGCGTACTACCCGTATGTTCAAAACAGCACTACTCCGATATCCATTCTGAATGGTCCAATGGCTACCTCAACCCCTATTCGTGACGAAGATCACCCATATGAGACGATAACCGACTTCTGCAATGAATCGGATATTAGTGATGACGTCTTTGAGGTGCTTTTTATGAAATAACGTGAAACGGATCATCGACACTATAATTATTTTCTGAGGCGATCAACAAAACAAATTTTATTTTGTCTGGCGAACGTGCCGACAAAGATTTGTTTTGAATGATTTGATCATTAATGTTTGATGATGTACTTAAAATAATTAAATTTTTTGCGAAAAAAAAACATTTAGATTGAAATTCTACCAATTGGATTTTCAGTTTCCGGAAGAATCATCGTCTCCTCTTTCAATGAATGACTCGTTCAAAGCAATTGCTCAATCTGCAAACATTCCGATGCCACCATTTTCTCTTGCTGAAGCGCATCCTCAAATGAAAGCTGTTCTTGTACATGAGCTCTCGATAACTAAAGGTTTGGAGCAAGACGTGGATCCAAAATGGAAACTTGTGAATGTCGTTGACATTATACGTGGAGGATCATTTTCAATGAAATTTGGCAGGAATTATAGTAAGAAATAATGACATATCCTGAATTAACATTGAATTGTCATAGGCGCTGAGGTGAAACAAGCAATGAAGCGAGAGCTCGAGATTATAAAAGATTTGCCGCCGCATTTGAATTGTGTGAGATTTGATGGATTGGCTATCACACGATGGGATAAGAATCCATTCCAAGTCGTTGGATTGCTCTTCGAGAATTGCCGTGGCGGCACTCTCCGGCGCTACATTCATGCTGTTGGAACAGTATTGCGTCGCAAAGCGATCACCTCGCCAAATGGTAATCTGACTGATTTGCGCTCTGAGGAAACACCATCTCCACCTTCATCTGGCTATGACAGCATGAAGCGTGATGCAACAGCAACCCCAGACGTCAGTTTCGAACGCTCGATGGTCTCAACGGCACTGCGATTCTGTCAATTCTCCGAGCAGATTTCGGCGGCGTTGGTAAATATTATACGAATCTCAACAAAATCAGACGAGTTAAATTTCTAGGAACACCTTCATCGGGCTGGAATTGTTCACACTCACGTCACTACCAGCTGCATATATTTGTTCCGCGATTATGATGATCCATTGGATGTTCTTTGTGATCAAATGGTGAAACTCGGAGATTTCGGAAACGCTGCAACATGTGCCGATGAAGTTGTTGTCGATCACAATCTTCAACCACCAGAGGTTGCGATGGGCAAGAGATACGAAGCGAAAGGCGATATGTAAGAACAAGGATGTTGAAAACGAATCATAGTCGCATATTTTTTTCAGTTGGCAGCTGGGAACTTGTTTAGTTGAAATCGCTAGTCTTGGACACACATACCAACTTCAAAAGGAGATTCCATTGTCTGGAGTTGACGAATAGTGAGAAGATTTTTTTTAACACTTCGAAATAACAAAATTTCAGTGACAAAAATGCACCGATCATGGTCATTCATGAAGCAGCCAGAAAATGTTTGAATTCTCGAAACCGCCCAAGTGCATCGGACCTTCGTGGTGTGTTCCAAACCGATTCGACTCGTAACATGGTCAACCTCGAGCAGATTAATCAGTCCTTGCTCGTTTGAAGAAGTGTCATAATCAACATTAGTTAGTTAGCTAATAACTAATAAGGCATTTCTGATAAAAATAAACCAGTGTCTAAGATTTATCAATCTAGTCGTTCATTTCCCCTTTTTGAAATCATTGTAGATATTATAGACAATATTTCTTTGTAAATTGAATACCCAATATTTTGTTTTGTCATCCCGATTAGGGCAATGATTGCCTTTCACCTGTACTTCTTTTTGAATTCCCTAGAATTTCAACTCCTTTGATCTGGTCATACACGGGCCTCATTTTCTTTTCAGAATTTCATGGTGATTGCAACAGATTTAATCAAAATTTGCAATCTCCATTGTTCATTCATGTTTGTTTTACAAAAAATTTTAATTGAAACAGGTTCAACATTTAGTTTCATGCGTTATTTTTTTTTAATTTCGTTTTTTTTATATTTTGTTTTTGTAAGTAATTCGATTAACCTATATCACTCAGATAAAGTTCATTGATACAATTTTGTCGATCTTTACTATTGGGTTTATTGGAAATGATTTAAACAACTTCAAGATATAAGGGATCGTGGAAGCAGCATTTTCATCTTCCGGCTATAGGCGAATTATTGCATTTGTTCAATGAAGTCACATATTAAGAAACACGAATTTAGTTCACTTAGTCAAGAGCTCGCATATTAGATTTTGTCGAATTACATAGTTACATGTAATGGAGCAGAATTTTGAATATAAGAATTTCTAGAATATACAAACATTTTGAACTTTGCTGCTTTTTCAGAACTTCAATGATATTAATTGTTGAAATTTAAACTAAAACAAAGCTTTTCAAGCTCTTCTATTATAGAATGTTTATTTTGTTCGCCCATAGACATTTTTTTAAGTTTTATTATTCATAATTATCGAATCACTTGAAAGGCCCAAAACGATTAAACATCTCTCCCAAAAAAATTAATTCAAGCATTTCAGTTCTTTTAAAACGTCATATTAACTTATCATTTCTCAATATCAATAATTCACGTGAAGCTTCTACCGAACGTATCGCTATGCTCATTTTTGTTCTGATCTTCAATGTATGTACACGCGGAGATCGTTTGTATTTGTTTAAGCAAATGATACCGCCTTAAGGAGATAAACATTGCACAACAAATACTAACAAATGATCTGACTGCACCGCTACCGACGCATCCCATTCAACATTTTTTATCACTGCTATACAATAAATTGTTCAATACCTCCTTGAGCGGACAAAATAAGAAATATTATTTTCGGATATGTCTGGCGCAGCGGTATTTTTTTCTGCTCACACGAAAAATTGTTTGACACGTTTGCTGAATAGCTCAATCAGGGAGAATGCTGCGACATCTTTTTAAACCCCAAAAATGTCGACGGCGACAAATTCATCATGTTTGTTTGTCTTCACCTTTTACTGCCGCGCATCACAAAATGACCAACAGATTGTCAAATGTTCTTTTTTGTTTGAAGCACGAACATTCATATTTTTAGTTTTGTCAGTCGTCAACGTTTGAATATTCCACACCCTCTTCGTAACACCCAGCTGAAGTCTTACACATTGCCCCACTCGCAACTATCAATCATTCCAAATCCTATAATCTGTGTTTCTGTTTCGATTCATTCATTCGATTCCATCCAATCAATTCGTTTCGCATTCGCTAGAAGTTCCCCTTTCATTTCGTTTCTTTTTTATTAAGCTTATCAAGCTAAACACAAAAATAGCTCAAAATAGCCATTTTTATCAGTTTTATTTACTAAAATCTTACTTGCTAGTTTTTTAATCCTATTGGATTAGAAAGTACTATGGTCATTTTCTTTCCGTTTCGTGTTACAATGGTTAGAGGGTCTCGCTCGCGAAAAAAAAAACACAAATGCCGGTGTTTTTTTTTCAACCATATTTCGTGGTGGTTGGAGAAGAACAATAAATTGTAACGAGCATAATTTTCATTTCATGAACAAGCCAAACCATCCCATTACTTTGTGTTTTATTCATTTTCAATGTTTTCATTGTAACGTTGCAAATGCGTAAATGTTAGGGCAACATTTCTATGTATACGTTGGCCTATTGATGTCTATTGATGTAAGAGCACAAAAACTTAGTATTGAAATTAAACTAATAAAGATGCCTCTTTAAACTTTATGTCTCGTTTTTAAATCGGCCAGGAAATGCTTAATTATTTTCCCATTTGTTATGTATTAATCAATTGTCTTTTTTTTGCATCGTCATAGTCTCTCACATTCAGTGTTCGTTAGTCTGGACGCAAAGCTGAAATGAAGAATCATTATAAATCTTTTCCAAATTTTCAGAAATAAAATTTGAACATGCCACCCATATATTTTAAATTGAATATTTCACATCCGATTAAATCATATAACCAATGTTGCATTATAATGTCTGCATATCTTTTTTTAATGAGCAATTTTCGAAAACAAAAATAGGAATTTGATTATTGCTTGAGAATTATTTATTGCATCTCCATATTCTTTAAATAGTTGCTGGTCTCATTAAAAATACGCGTTTTTATGTTGCGCGTCGACGTTAAATATTGAGGTTTGTTTCTAGAATGATGCGCTTCCTGAGAAAAATAATTGCATCAACAACTGAAAGATTCTAAAATAATTTTTAGTTTAATGGCAACTTTTTCGTCTTCTAGGACACACAATTCTCTTAACAGAAAGAGAGAGAAAGAGAGAGAGAGAGAGTAATTTAACTCATTCAAGAGGAATACCTTCCGTGACTCGCTCCAGCAGAAGATCATCCCAAGGACACCAATTGAAACAGTGATTATGTCGTTGTCCACCGATGTAAAATAATTAAATTTCATTCATGTAATAAGTTTCGAAATTGCAAGAAATTCAGCATTTTATGCAAATTGCCAACGTCCGCAAATCTCTTTCCTCCGTTTAGTACTATTCCGAAGGTTCTTTTCTCTAAAATGTGCTTATAACTTTATGGCATTTCACAACCATCTTATTTTTTTCTCTTGAGAACCCTTACAATTTCTTTCTGTTGTCATGTGCTCATGTTCCCTAACATGTGAAATTGCACGATTTCTAATAATCGAATTAATAACCCCGAATTATGTGTATTTCAAGAGATGATCTTCGAATGAAGGGCCCTCGTCGGACGGCAATTGTGTGGTGTCGGCCCTCATGTTCAACAACCGACAGTGTGGCTAAAAGCAGCGACGCTGCGAACACACTAAATGAACGAATTCATTATTTGTTGTCAACGCACTGCTTAGGTCTATTATTCATGGGTCGTCCTTGTTTTTGTCTCGTCCTCATATTGTTCCAAGTTTCACGTGTCCAACCGCCGGCTGTTCCAGTTTGAATGTGGCGCAGGTGTTCTGGAGAATGCTCTTCATTTCTCATTTCACACGTTTTCATTTCTAGATTTTTTTTAAATTTTATTTTGAAACTGATGAACAAAAATAATTTACATGTGGCTTCATTTTAGTCTATGAGTATGTCAATTCCAAGAGAAGTGGCCTATCATTTATTTTCAGTACACTCAGTAATGCATGTGTATGCAACTAATTTTATTTACCAACAACTCTGTCTCGATATCTCCTTCTTTTTATAATTCATTGAAGTAACTATTTTTAATAGGGAGAGAGAGATTTTCAATCTTCTGGCAATAGATTTTGTGACAATAGATGTAATAACATATGCAAAAATCCGCATATATAATCTCTTTTTTACACGTTTTCCCACGTCTTCAAAAAATTAAACATGTGACTTTTTTTCCTTGAGAACTTCCCTTCTGCTCTAACAATTTCTCATGTTTTCTTGAAGAAACTTATCAGCCGATTCTCAGTTTTCTATCAAATTCCTGCTGAACCCCACCCCTTTTCTTAGAAACACTGCAAACAAATGAATCACATTTGCGTCGAGCCATTGTTGCTTCTAGTATCATTCCGCTTGAGATTCATGCCATTGTTTCAATTGTTTCATTTTAGAATGATTTCTGCTGACGAGCGACCAATACGACAACATCCTCCTCGTTCAGTGAAGTGCGCCAAATGCGCTACGTGGCTCCTTTTGGCGCTGTCATATATGCTTGTAGTAAGTCATATTGATAATAACGTACATATGCATATTACCTACCAATTGAAAAATTTATTGAACAATTTAAAACACAAAAATGAAATAAAATCCATTCTTAGAATCATGATGTTTCAATAGACTGTAAAAATAATTTTGGCATGAAGTTTTAAATGCTTAGTTAGCGAACAATAATATCCTATTTCGTTTCGTGCCTGCGTGTATTTTAAAATATTCATAAGGGAATGTCGTCTCTCCAAAATAAATCATAATTCAAAAAATATATATGTAAAGCTTTCAAATCTAGAAAAAATCATGTAAATCTTTTAAAATCACAATTATTTTACTTTTGTATGATTACTCAAACAAAAAATTTTTATTGATATCTAATTTTGAAATCCTACGTCATTTCCGTGTTAACAATTGATGCATACATTAACTCAAAATTTTAACAATTCATAGAAATTCGAAGAGCTCGATTCCCAGAAAATTTATTTTCAGATGATCGGCTGCGTTTTTCTTGTGCTTGGAACATGGCTGGTTTTCTTCCGCGCTGAAATTATTCCACTTCTTCACAGCAACTTCTACATCTGCTGCATCTACCTGGCAGTGGCATGTGGAACCCTCAACGTTATCACAGGATCGTATATGCACTGCACTTTGACAAACAGATGTGCAATGGGAATCGTGAGCATTGCGTAAAATTTGAAAACCTCTTATGTTTCTCATTTAGTGTGTCTTCATCATCTTTGCAACAATGATATTGGAAGGAGGATTGGGATTTTTGACAACATCTTATATGGCTACATCATCACATGAGCTTGAAGTGAGCTTGAAAAATGACATATTGACAAGATTTGGTGTTGACGACATTATTACTAATGCTATAAACCATCTTCAGAAAGAGGTACGTTGAATTGTAAACTACACAAACCATCAAATTTTTTTTCGTAATTGCAGGGTCGTTGTTGTGGATCAACCGCCTTCAATGATTATCCAAAGTTGACAGATGAAGAAATTGACGAAGATCTCGCCGTTTACTATCCGGTAAAATTAAACAGCAATTTTAATTAATTTTTCGAAAATTCACATAGGATTGGCGTCCATTGAAAGTTCAATATATTCCGGATTCCTGCTGCAAATCATTTTCAAGAAGATGTGCTCGTAGTGATTCGCCAAGCAACATTTATTATAGAGTACATACATTGAAAAAAATTTTTTCAAACAAAAATTGATCTTTCAGGGATGTCTTCCATATTTACAAGATGAAGTTAAGCATAATCTGAATTTCATTTTCATCACTACTGCTGCGTCCTTTATCCTACTTTTCCTAACATTGATTGTCTCATGCATCGTTTGTGTTCGTCAAAGAGATTTCGATGATATGAACAATAATAATCAAAACAACATCGACATGAAAGATCTGGACCAGGAACTCTTCCTTTTTGAATAATACATGTTTTCTTCATTTGATTGCTTCCATTAATAGGTGAAGAGCTATTTTCGGGTTAGTTCTCTCGGTATCCTTTTGTTTTTATTCCTACTTTTCTTGTTTTATCTACTTTTCAAATTCGATCTCTTTATGGTACAACTAATTTCCTGCCCTTCTTTGTTGTTCTATTTATGTGCTTTTTCAAATTCACGCAATTTTCGATTATAACTTTGCATTATTATTTTTTGTATTAAGTAAAGCAATTATGGTTTTCATTTTCCACTTTTGGTTTAAAAAAATTAAATTTCAAATAAAGGTATTCAGAAACTAAAAAATTTCCTCGAAGAAATAGGCAATTATTATCTCATATAGAACGACGAAAACGATTATGAGAAGGAGAACAGGCCATAATTTAGTAATCAATGTGAGAATATTGTTGAGCGATTTCATAAAGTCGATATTAGTGCGGATGGGCTCTTCTATTAACATGGTGAGTGTCTTGTTTCCAATCGCTTCCAAAGCAGAGAGCTGCCTGGCCAACTGAAACCACACTGTTAATGAGGGAACGAAAAATCAAATTACCAAAACCATAATGAATTTGAGATCAGATTTGTCGTGAACTCTGAATATCGTATTACAGCAAGAAAGGAATTAAGAAATATACCGACTGTTACGGGACAGTTAAAGATTTCAAAATTGAGCTGTGCACGAAACATTCCAACAAATGCTTTTTATTAATCTCTTTCACAATGATTGAAAGAAAAGAAACTCAATCGAATTCCAGAAAAATCCTAGAAGAACTCCAATGTAAAAACTGATCAGTGTTGTTGCAATGATGATAGTCTGAAACGGAATTGAAAATTGAATTGCTTGAACATTGAGGAATACAGAAATTGAAATGGTTTCATCCTCAGTATTTTCATCATCGCTCTCATCACTATATAAACTTTCAATTTCTTCTATATCTCCTGAAAATGCGAATAGGAATTCTCTCTAAAGAATTTTCACTCGAAATGCCTTACTCGAAATTCGATCCATTTAATATGAAAGATAATGTCCTTTAACCCTAAAAAGCTGTGAAATAAATAAGACCACATCTATTGAATTAAAAAAAAAAACAAAATTACAGGAGTTAAAAATCAAATAATTTTTCTAATGTTTTAAGTCCAAAACTAGAATCCACCAAAGTTAGAGAAGATTGCAAAATATGCTAATTGAATCCTACAGTGAAAGGTGAAAATAAATGGGTAAGATGAAATAGATATAGAATCTGTAATATTCGGTTTTAAAAGAAAGAAGCATGTATGAGAAACAGATCACGTTGGCAAAAACAATCAGGAACACATCATACGCAAAAACGGATTATAAGTTGTTGGATCACATTGAACACTTATGTACATCTCTGGAAAAAAATCTTTTAAAAGTGTGAATTAACTCTTGACATGTCTAATTTCCAAAATTGAACTCACGAACAGAACAACATGGTAGACCGTAATTTTTTTGCGATGTCAGTGAGTCTTCTCGAAATAAACCAAGGTTGCTATTTTTCTATTGAACATACTATTTTTCTATTGAACATATTGTGTGTGCGCGAAATATCCTGCAAAATTATATATCTTTGCTACTAATTATATGGTTCACAACGTTCAGGTATGGGTTATATTGCTTTACTAGCACATTTAATAAGAAGTTAATGAAAAAAAACAACACGCAATTTCGATATTAAAAATGAAAAATGAAATTTATGTGCTTATTTTATTTCTAGCATATAGAATAAGTGGTTTTATCTTGAATCACAACGCAACGAACTCAAGTAGTAGTAGTAGTGATTAACCTTGTTCTTCAATGGGATTTAGAACAACTAGGATCTTCACTGTTTCCCCATTTAATCGGGAGGCAAATGTCGATGACTATTTTGTATTCCTTCATTTGTTCATAATGTTGTGGCAAGAATTCTGTGAGTTGGCAATACAGCACCAAGACGAGTACGACTGCAAGAACGATCCAGACGGTCTGAACAACAATTGGCTTTGATGTTTCAGTGAAAAAAAAATAAATCTAAAGTTACTTACAGCAAGCTCATTGATAGGCATCGTTAACTTTGAAATAGGAGATTTTTCGCAAGATTTTGGTTGGGTAAATTTAGCAATCAATGAAGGTTATCTAAATGAAAATAAATGGAGAACTAAATACAAAAACAATAATAAAAATACAAAATAATAATTGCCTTAAATAGATATCAAAATTTTAAGTCCAATAAAAACATTAATATTCTTAAAGGAAAATTGAAAATCTGATGCGTTTTTAAACTTACTGTCACCGCGATTAACTAAAGTGTCAAACATTAAATGAGAATGATTAGATTTGATAAAATCAATAAAATGACTAAAACATTTATTTAACATTACATCGTTTGTTGTGGCTGTGATCGTCTTTAAATATTTGGGTTGATGTGTCTACTCTATTAAATACATATTGGATGAATTTATTGAGCTCATGCAAAATTATCGCATTTTTGTTATTTTTTTTTTCCAATGTCAGGTATTCAAAGTTTGTAATATTCGACACTAAAATAATAATTTTGTATTAATAAGTTAATTCAAAAAATACTGTCGACAGAACTGCATACAAATATCAAAAAACAATTGTAGTAACTGTGATCTTTACAGGTGAAATCTTCGAAAAAAATACTTTCTGATAGTATAAAAATAATAAAAAAATAAACAATTTCTAGCGCTAGATTAGAGGGAAATCCGTGCAATACTCAACATTTTCAGAATATTATGATAATTAAATGTACCATAGAGAATTAAAACTGATAAAATAATTAAGAATAAATAAATTAGAATATTTATCATATGCACTTTTTCAAATAAAAAATAAAATTATGTAAAATTCAAAATGCGTACGAAAAACAAATCGATTTTGACAAATTTTTACAATGTTGCAAGAAAATCATTGAAATATTAGCTTTTTATGGAAAGATAATATACAATACGATATTGGCTTATACAAACGATTTGAAGTGGGTGTCAATATTGCTGAAAATGTAAGAATGTAAAGGAAGGTTAACATATGGAGTTATTCAAGGTTTCAATTAGGAGACTGACACTGTCTTAAACATTAGGAATGTCACACTCAGAAAGTAAGCAGTAGAAAAGTGATAAATACATCTCCGATTGCTAAATAGCAAAATTGACGCTGAAATATGAAGCGGTCTGTCTTAGTTTAGAAGAAGCGCATAATATTACTTCTATCTCGATAATTGTATTGCCATCCACGTTTGAAGAATAAATGTACAATAATGCCATCATAGTTATAAAAAATCGAAATATTTGGCTGAAAATCCAGACAAGAATCTGAACGCAATGGTAAGATTAAATAACCTTAGCAAATATGACTAACAAGATCTTTATAATTTATATTATTTCCTTCTCCCAGATCAAGATCCATGATTAACTTGAAAAATAAAAATTTGATGGTAACTAAATGCAAAATTGTTTTGACCAAGTAAATCTGGAAAAATGCACATGAGAATACAAAATGACTGAAATGATATAATACCACAGTTGTTTGATATAGATCATATGTTTCGTTCTCGAAAAAACAAGCTGTAACAATTGCTAAAAGCATGAAAGCAGAGATGCTCACATTAGTAAAATTCAAGAACGCTTCCTGTTTGAAAAAAATTTTTAAAAATGTTTACAATACATAATTCAAGCTTACGATTCGATGATTTCCGTGATGACGATGTCGAAAAGGATATTCTTGCATGATACCTTAATAAAATTGATTATGATAATCGGAACGATCAATATAATGTAATTCGTTTAAAAATATAAAAACTGTTTAAAACAGTTTTAGAATACTGTAATGTAATAAAAATAATTAGTATATATTTATTAGCACATGTAATTATTAGATTGAGACAAACTAATTGTTTATTTAATAATTTATAGCACCAAAGACCATAAGCTAATAGTGGAGATGTCACGAAGAAGCATTCCTTTCCTTTACCGAAGAAATAATGCTAAAAAATGAAGTTATTTGTATTGATTTTTCAAATTACTACCTGAATTTCAAAAATGCTCGATTCTCTCAATTTCGAAAACGAAATTATAAAGGGTACGCTGATCCATACAAATATATGAAGGAGTTGTGTTGTAATGTAGCATATTACCTGATGGAAAACGTCAATTAAACATTTGCGAAACTTGAATGCCAAAACATAAAAGTTGAACTGGCAAATAGTGAGAGAGTACAATTTTGATGAAAAAAATCTCAAATCATTTTCATGATGACTCAAATTTTTGAGTTTAATTGCAATAATACCGTATACTTGAGATGATCATCATCTGTGCGAACGTCGTGAGGTAACGTCATGAAGTTAACATTGCTAGCAACACCGTAGAACCCAAAAAGTCTTGAATTCGTCTTTCAATGAACTTCTGAAAGGAAGTTTAAAAATGTTAATACAGTAAAAACGCACAATTTGGTCTCTGCGACGTTGTTCGTCTCCATCAGTTCCTTTATAGATATTCATGACTACCAAATTCTACTTACTGGAAATGCTATATATTAGAGGAAAAAATGATTTTAAAAATATTTTCTCTGTGCTGAACAGTTTTGCAAAAAGTAAATAAAAACTAGGCAACTAATAACACATTTTCTATAATCATAACCAAAATGTATAAATAATGAAGCAACAACCATTCTCGAACATTTGAGGTTTTTGTTTTCCACAGCGGATCATCGATTATGTGATGGACAAGGAATGCTCCAACGATATAGACAATCTTGACGAAAATCAGCCGAAAAAATTAAGAATGAGGTTTTGAAATTTTAGTTTACAATGCCATGATTAACGAAAGGTTTCTCTGGTAGCTTGTTGGATAGTATGGATGATTCCATTTTTATCAAATTCGGCTGAATTCAACAACGGAAACAAAAAAAACATAAAGAAAATATTGAAACTGTTTGAATCAGTCATAGTTAAGCATAATTAGAATTAACCGGGAAATATGAAATATATAAATATTATCAATTCAACACAACACTCTGAGAACGAAATCGGTGAACTCTAGCTGTGGTGCTACTTGGCGGCTTTTGGCAAAGTGCCCCAATTACGAATATCGTCCAGAAGGCAAGCGCAACACCACCAACAAACATGGCGATACTGATAAAAGGAATGACGGTTTTCAGAGCTTCCTGAAACACCCAATGTTTTTTATCAAAAAAAAAATATTAGCTCACGTTGAAAACGTCGATGTTCTCCTCATTCAAACCTGGCAAAAAACCAGGTTTAAATTTGAATCCATAAAGGCCTAGCGCGAAGCTTAAGAATATCATTGCACAAGCAATCATCAGACAGATGATTAAAGAAACGATTTTCTAAAATAGCCGATAATTATTACTAGTGCACTCTTTACTTACGCATGCCCGATTTCTGGCAACATTCTTGAACAATGAGATGATTTGCTGGAACATGACTGATATCTAGGTTTTTGATATTTCAACAGTAGCTCAAGGATCGTCTGAATTATAGAAAAACGAATAATATTAGACAAATTGTACAAAAAGATATGAAAACTGATTTCAACAGTCAGAATTTGACATAATTGCAGACAATCATTCAAAAAAATTTATATATCAACATGTCAAAATGAAACCGCCAGGAGCAACCTGGGAAAATCTTGTTCTTTCGGCGTTCTTAGTGCATTTTCGGATTACAACGAATATGTTGCTAAGCAGAACCAGGATGATTATGAACATCGTGAGCAAAAGTGCCATACCCGTTATAAGATGGCGGTATTTCTTTGAATTTCACATTTGAAGTGTTCGAATAAAAATGAAAAACTTTAAAAAAGTCCATATTTTTCCAATCACCGACTTCCTTCAATTCCACTTCGAACTCTTCCAGATCATCGAGAGCCAATTTGAAGCAGAAAGCGGCCGCAATAAAAAGTGAAGCAAGGAAAAGAATATAGCATAAGAAATTCTGAATAATATCAGTAAAAGATTAAAAATTTTTAACTTACAGAAAGTTTCCTCTCGCGAGGTCTTTCAAGCACATCTCGAAGCCTCATGCAAATTGATGGTTCAGTCATATCTGCCCAACTCTCAAGTGGATTATCTAAATTGATGCACAAAAAAATAAACCTATGTTGAAAAAGGTATTCAAACTGATTGAAACAGTTGAAAAAAATATTGAAAGGTAAAGAAACGTATTGATTAAATTAATTACAAAATGAATGTCATGAAAAATAAAAGTAAATAAGAAATACAATAAAAAATAATTAAAAAAGTATATCGGAATAAGAAATATGGCGGACTATATAGACAAATCCCAACAAAAAAAAGAAGCAGACTAAAATTCTAAACAGCAAGTATTAAATGCTAATATTAACTTTCGGTAGCGGAGAATTTCTATACTGAACTTGTACGATATTTATGAGGCATGTGTCCTCCCGATAAATTCGATATATTTCATTAATCATTCCGACGGATATCAAACCTGAGAGAGCATAACCAAATGTGTAAAACATGTGCTCCAAAATGTCCTACGATGTTCAGTATGTATCACTAAGCAGATAAAAGCTTACCATGAATGTATATAATTGGGATGTGTCTTCCGTGGAAAGAAATGTGTGAAATCCAAGAGAAAAGACGGTTTTAAGAAGAGTTGATGTGGTGGCCAATTTCTTAAAAAGGAAATCATAGACACATTTTAAACGAAAATTCGCTCTTACATATTTTTTCGTTGGTGGGGATCGTTGGGTGCGAGTCAAAATATCAGGTCTTCGCAAAGCATGATGCTGAGATAAATTCTACAAACTTAAAAAAAAATAAAGATATTTAAAACTGATTGATACAACAGAGAGAAATAAGCGCACAAAAACAACGCAAAAACCTTTAAAAAGTATGTAAGTAAAGCATAGATCATTTTTCGAACAAATATATGTACATGGTCGTTTGTATAGATTGCGAGATTCAAATGATTGCGATCAACCCATTCCAACAACTGCATATGGTAATTAGGCTTTGATGATTTCGTGTTTAGTATAGTAAGTTTGATAACCGATTTCAAACTCAAATTGCTCCTCGTAACAAATTGCGTACAATGTAATCACCACATAAATAATCATGACAGTGATCGGAGTGAAAATTACATATGCAATAATTCTAAGCATAGTTATCTGTACTGGGCACAATCAAATATTGTTAATCCAATTAATTTTCTCACCAATATATGATGTGGAACACTTATAGGTCTTGTGATTACAATACAGCCAGCTGCGAGCGCAATAAGGAAAATCAGGCTTACAAGCAATACCACGGTTTTCTGAAATTACATTTAAAAATTGAGCTTATAATCTTACTTACGAAACTCTTATTTCTATTACATTTTTGCGACACGCAATAGAGAGAAATGAATTTTAACATGGTTCTGAAATTAACTGTAACAAAGGCAAACAAATAATGGCAAAGGTATATAGACTGTTTGAAACAGTTCACGAAACTGCTGAAGCATTATTAGTGCGCAAACTTTTTTTTTGATAGTGCTAGTAGTTTAAAAAATCAGTCAATCAGTCATAAATTCCGAATAATCACAAATTACATCATAAAGTTATAAACGAAATAATTTCTACAAGAGAAATAAAAATAAAGTGCTCCTCTAAGCAGTACTTGGAAACATTTCAGATACATTCGGAGCAATTTGCACATTTCGCCGAATTTTTTTCCAAAAAACAATTATTTTATGAAGTGCCAAAATAACCATTAATATCATTGGAGGGATTAGCAAAGATGCTGAGAGGATTTTAACCAGTCGCTATAAAACTATATTCCATAATTAAATGAAAAGAGGTTCGCTCACCTTTTGTCGAGCTTCATTAGTGGTTTCAAAATAAAGGAACATTGCGCATATTAATATTGAAGTTAGCAAACAGCCAACAACGAAGATGAGACCAAAAAACACCTGAAAAAAATGATTTTGAACAGTATCTATTTTGAACATACCGCCCATTCTTTCAGGCTATTTCCAACAGGTGTGTATACAGGTAAGTCGGTTGTGGCGCTTCGGCGAATGCCAGAATGTTCAATTTCTTCCATTTCCATGTGCTAAAAATATTACAATTATAATCAATTTTTTTTAGAAAGTGTTTCACTAAAAATGAGTAGATCAAACTTAAACCATTTTAGCGAGTCACTGCATGAAAGACTGTTGTGTTGCTGAAAAACCAAAGTTCTAAACAACACAAAATTCTAAAATAGTTATCTGTGAAAAACAGATGCAAATAAATCACATTCAAAATTTTTGCTGTTAATATTTTATTGTGTAATTAGTTATCAACTACTAATTCAGGATTTGATCCAAAATATTGGATGCCAATGTTGATGACGAGAAGAAGCGTATAGACGAAGAAAAAGCAGGTAAACGTGTGGAGCACCTAACAGTTATTCAGACCTAGGTATAGTTCAAAATTTATTTCACCTTTTCGTAACGCCGTTTCCTCTCCAAACGCTGTCTGGAAGTCGTGGTTGCGACGGTGCCACCACTCAGCTGAAATAAGATTTTCTCACCTTGTCATTTTTAGACGAAAAATCATACCTTTCGAGCGATCTTATTGAGCCAATTTCGACCCAAAATACATTAGTTCAAGATCTGTAAATTCAAAAAAAGTTTAATAAATAGAAAAACATATTCAGTTTCATAAATATTCCTGGGACGCGACAATATTGTTGAATCTGGTCTCCTGAATAACAACTCTTGCTAGACTGAGATTTTGTGGTACATCGTTAACCACGTAGATTATAGATGATACTGAAACATTTTTAAATGTTCTAGTAACAAATAAATTGACCAAACCATGATGTGCAAATTTTGTTTGAAGAGAATTTGCTATAAAAACTAAGATAATTCAATTCGTATACAATCAATAAAAAGATATATCGAACTGTTGAAACAGTTGCAAATTTTCTAAAAAAAACATGCAGCGGTGAGTCCGTTTATTGGTAGTAAGAATAATTTTAAGTGAAGTTTGTGTGAAGAAAAATCAAACACAATAAGAAATTATAGTTTTTTGAGCCGAGTTGATGTATATGGAGTTTTCGAAGATTTTTAAACACTTCAATTCTATTCAAAATTGAGCTCTTGAATTACTACTTAGAAATCCTATTTACTGCAGAATTCAGTTACCTTGATCTGTTATAGACATAGTATGTCAATTCAAACGATACCGTTGCAGCAAAGATTGCAACAACCATAAGAAAACGTAGGACTATTGGTACCCCATCGTAAACGATTTCCTGAAAATCCCTGCTTCCTTTGAGACATATGTTTTTTTTTTCATTATTGTGCGTATAATTTTTATCTGTGAGTCAACAGAAAATAGATAAGTTCAGAAATTTGAATTTTTGAATCGGCTTAGAAAGAAAATGCCATTAATGCTTTTCTTCTTTTTTTACTGCTTTTCAGAAAGTACTGAGTTAATTAAGAAGCTATTCCCGAATAATCGAAATATGTCGAATGATCACATATCGTCAAATAAACGCCACTAATATTTTTTTTAGGCAAGTTGGGCAAATTTCCTCCGGAATTTGGAACAATTCAATTTTCTTCTATGTTGAAAATAAGTTATGGGATTTTTTAAACAATTAATGTGTACTTTAAAGTGCTCTTTCAGTTTTTGTCTAACGGAGAAAACAAAAGATAATAACTTTCAAATTGGGGTTTTACCACAAAATGTATCATTTCGGTAGCCTTTGGCGATGGCGATCGAATGGTGATGTTTGCTACTCTACCTGCCGAGATTTCTAGAAGTCTTAAAATGTCGAAAGATTTTTTTGGAATCACACTCGCCACTATATTTTGTATTTCTGCTTTCATATTCAGAGTTTATACTCATATTGAGATTGCAGCGATGGATGAGAGGAAAGTATCTAATTTATGATCATTTTGCGGGGACCCTCCAACTTCAAAAATTGTTCGCGATCATTTTTTATTCTCTTGGGTCACATTTTCAACTTTGATTGCAGAACTTGAAAATTCAAAATTTTAAACCTCGAGAATTTCTCAAGATACGCATGCACGCACTTAGCGCTATTAGAAATGAAACATGCGATTTTGGAGTCGTTGGTCAATGTGCTGAATGTTGTGCAGAGAATCGGTATATCGAATCCTATTGGATTTTTAATTTCTCAAGGAATGCTCGAAGATTTTTTTACTGTTTTTTTTTTACAATTCTGGAACACTATTGACGAAAATCTCTCAAACGTTTCTTAAAAATTTTTCGAGTATTTTTTCGAGGACACACATGTACACTGTCTGTTAGCATTTATACATTTTTCAGACTTCTAGAAATATCTGTTGGTAACGGATAACAATTTTCATTTTACCAGTTGAGAATCATTTTGCATATCGCATAGAAATCTTTAAAAATCATCGGAGAACGTTTCTATCCATGCGATGATTCAACTATAGCTATTATGATTTTTAACAATCTAATATCATAATAGGTTGTTTCAACACGGAATACATTTTTGAAACACTACTTGATGCACGGACGACATTTTCAAATCGAGTATTTAAATGAAATACAGAAGCACCACACAATATCCGGAAACTCACATAAAGTGTATGATATTGATAAATGCAATACCACAAATTTTCTGTTGGTTCCTGTAATTTGTCGACGTGATGACATTTTGTTAGTTTTCAGAAATAACAATGGTTAAATTTACATACATCTTCTATGTAATTTTTGAATCTAATATGAAGATACAATAGCAGACTGAAAAATAGAAGAATCCCAACGGAAATGACGAGAAGAGGCACGAAACCGATCTGAAATTTTCGAACATGCGTGATTTTTGTATAATTTTGTGTTTATCTAAATGCAACAGTAACAACAACAACATTAACACAACAAAAACATATTTAATTGATTTTTTTGTTCGTATTTGAACAATTGAGCTCGATACGCGACGTGGATTCGAATCCATTCTCTTTCATTCATACAATGCCTTGATCATGGGAAAAGCAGCGGAACCCATTGATTCGAAGTTCACAACAACACAACAATTATTATTTGTTTGAATACATAAATATATTACCATGCGTGCTTGGAACTTAATTTCGCGAAAAATTCTAGCGACATGGTCAGTAAATGAGTAGATTTTGAAATAACCTAAGATCACCAAGATCGCAACAACAATGAGCCACATGACGAACAGAACCAACAAGATGTGAATCTGAAAACCATTATTTTTGATATATTTTTTTGAACGAAAAACTGACCCATTTACATCGAGACTGCCTTCTTTCCCTATTCCTCGAATTTGCCTCTTGCCATGGCGCCGAATTCTGTAATTAGCAATAATTTTGTGTGAATAAAGCACGACTAACCATCTTGAGAGGGAAATTCTAAGTAAAACCTAATTAAGTGATCTGTACCTACAAAATCTGCACGAAATTTAAATAAAAAATATGAACTCAAACGAAAAATATCAAACTGTGAGGAACAGCTATTTTTCAACAGTATTAACAGAAAAATATTTCAACAATTTTAACAGGATGATCGTAAAATCAATTCAGAATGATTCCAATCAAAATTTCTTCAAGCAAACAAGATAGATGAAGGCAATAATCGGGATTCCGAATCGAATAACATTGCGATCGCCCGGCAACTGAAAAAAAATTACTGGTGACGTCGTCAAATTGACAGAATATTACATAGGAGGAAACGGCATTGCAGATCTGTTCGAGTGTGGAATTAATCTTAACCGAGAATTCGAGATTTGGAAATGCGAGGATCACACCACAAATCAAATCCAAGCCCATCATTACAACTTGCGCAATCTAAGATTATTTTTATCATTAAAAAGATACCAGGAATTCACTTACTTTTTGATACTTGCTGCGATGCCCATTCAACTGGTCCGGGGTATCGGCCATTTGGTCCGGGGTATCGGCCATTGGGTCCGGGGTATCGGCTATTGGGACCGGGGTATCGGCCATTATGTCCGGGGTATCGGCTATTGGGTCCGGGGTATTGGCCATTGGGTCCGGGTCTTCGGCCATGATAAAAGCAGTGGTAGGTCTGGAATTAGTGTCAATGCCAAAATAAACTCAAATAGACAAAAAGATATTGAAACTGTATAGAGACAGTTGAAATTGAAAAAAAAATTAGTGAATAGCAACAGATAAGAAGTGTTTATCGAAGAATTTAAACAAGCTCGGGCGGTGAACGGCGAATTGATGCTCTCCATTTTGGATACTCGTTTTTTTTTCCAATTTCTATACACTTTGATGGTTGCGCAGACGCCCAATGGGAATGGTAGAAGAATGATGAAGAAGAATGCACCCGTCAAATAATTTTCCGCACAAGACTGAAACGCTTGTTCATGCATCGTTTACAACAAAAATGATAGAATACCTCTGTAATTAGTTTTATGAAGTTGGTGAATGCCGATTTCAAGGAAATCACGTTGGCATCATGAAGACAGTATATTCCTAGAAGAGCTGTGAAGACGAGAAGGGTTATTATGACGCAGTAGTTCTAAAATGTTATATAGTGAATTCAAATATTCTCAGAGATCATACCGGTTCGAAATGCAAATTCTGAATGCGAACTCTGCGATAGTGCATTTGGGGCATTTTATTAAATGAACAAACGTACAGTGATTTTTGTCTTAATAAAAAATTAATTAGACCATATGAGTGAATTGTGAATGAAGATATTCAAACTGTTGCGAAACAGTGCAAAATAAAAATTAATAAAATCTTTTAGTGTTATGCAGTGTTTATAAGACGACGTGCACAAATTCTTATGCCTACTAAATTCTCTACATTTGCTGTGTGAAAATCTCGAAATTTGTTACTGACGATTTCTAATATACAATCCGTTGATCGTGATGATGTTCATGTCGAAAGTTGTCCGATTGAGGAGGTCTTGCTGTAAATGAAAATTTTTGTGCCAGCTAAAACTATCTAACATCACCTTCAAAATCGGAAACCGCCCTGACGGAAACGTCTAACGGACAGATATTGGACACCAATTGGAAGCCGGTAATGTCTGTGTGATCACCGATTTTTCCGATCTGTTTCACAGATTTATCATTTTGCCCATTGACCATTTTTCCAGTAGATTGGAAAGAGTTATTATTTATGTTCTATAGAGGTCTAGTTAAAAAAAGAATGAACGAGAATATTAGGCAATGATATATGAAGCGATCTTGAACAGTGTTCAAGTTGAAATTTAAAATCGTTCTCAAACTGGAAGACTAGAAAATTTCCTACCTCTGAAAAGAAGACAACGATGATTACATCTTGAAATGATCCGGTGACTACGAGGAAGCAGAATTCCTCAAAAGCTATCGATGATAAACAATCTGATATCTTGAAATTATACCAAACCGACCAATTGTGGTGTGTTTAAGATGACCTCTCTGGACATTGTAAAAGCGCTATCATTATGAATGAATTAACGCTCTTGACAAGCAGCTTCAAGTACCACTGCTAAACTTTCTTTAAAAAAAATTGGGCTTTGCTGGAATCTCGAATGAAAGCAAACCAGTTTTTGTTCGGACTGTAGCGTCTCAACTACGTGACCAATAAAGTACGTTGTCAATGGAGTTATTCATCCTGTTAAACAGCTATAATTGTTAATTAGTTTAAAACGCCTTAAAGATATTTTGACTGTTTCGAACAGTTTCGAAATAACAGAGATAATAATCATAATTAACATGTATTTATATTCAAAATTTCTCAAACCACGGGTTGTGTGTCATCTCCGAGTCCATCATCGAGTTCTTCAAGTAGTTGGCGTGTCTTCCATGTGCTTAACAAGTAGAATGCGAATGCGTAGAACTTAAGAGCAAAAATGATCATTGCAGATTTCAAAGTAAGAAGCTGTAAAATGATACAATGCATTCTTATATTCTTGAATCATAAGCATACTGTTGCCTCTTCAATGATACTGTTTTTGCTTGGTTCGTAGCCAGTTAGCATAATTCCAAATGTCAAGAGCAAGAGAATAATGTTGAGAAAGACTGTTTCCCAAGACCAACAACAGATCTATAACGAGAAACCAACAGTAGACAGAACATTTTGATTTAGACAAGCTCACCTTGAAGTTGTCCTTGTCATCTAAGGAATGTCTTTCAATACGATTCAAATTTCGAATCGCCATTTCAAAATTAAGCTGTAATCAGCGTTAAACAAAACGAAAACTATATGAAGGATATTGAAACTGTTCGAACAGTTTAGTTAACGACGTTTCATCGAGACATGCATTAATGATTTATAAAAGAGTTAATTGTTAGATGATGCAGCATTCGCGTGCGCCAGCCTCCAATTCCTCATGCTCAAAAAGTTCGTGCTCTTGTGAAAAGTTTGATGGTACAATTCCAAACACAAAAAAGCACAAAATCACCAAAATAGTGATAATCGCAAAGAAGCACATTTTCTAAAGTGAAAAATTTTCAAGCTTAATAAAACCTATCATTTGTACCTGTATCATATTAATGAAATTAGTATCTAAGTCCTTGAACAAAATTGGAAAGAGCCCAATCCAAATCACTGTGAGAAATATACTGATACTCATTTGGAACCACACAAAATAGCAGCAATACTGAAATCGCCATCTAACCAACACAATATATCTTCAAAACCTTTTTCTTCGATATGGTATGGTAAAATCGCTGGCATTCGCGACAATCATTATCCATTGTTATGCGATTCAAAATCTACAAACGTTATTAGGACATTTTCGTTACGACCATACAAAAGTATATAGACTGTGCAAAACAGTTTAGATTTAAAACGATCAAAATAAATTCTTCCCGAGACATTTAAAACCATAGGACATAATAAAATTACAACTTTAATTTGGTGGTGGCTTTTAAGCCACACGCACACTGTAGTATTGTTGAAAATATTATCGAAAGAATTTGGCACAGATTTCGGGAACAACAAAACGAGTAATAAATATGAAGGATGAAAGCAATTTTTAATGAAAAACCAACAGAAAAATCAATAAAAGGATGAGACAAAATTGCAGATCCATCATTGATGAGAAATGAAAAATCTATATGATGACTGTGATATATGAAAAAACGTCTTTTCGAACATTTTGTCAGAAAATCGAGAAAGAAACATTGTACTGAGGAAGAAAGCATTAGGACAGTTATTTTGCAATTCATGGTTGACGTTCACATACAAAAGTTGTTTATCGAAGATAACAAAATGTTTTTTTGGGTGAAAAAATCTCTATTTGACAAATTAACTTAATTCCTTAATATATCAAACAGTAATTGACTGATAATATTAAAGAATCATGGAAGTAGGAATAATCAAAATAAATTACTCGTGTTATTTTGATATTGAATTAATGAGAGCTGAAAGGGCTACAACAATGATAATTCTGCTATTTTTCTAATTTGATCAAACTAAAACACATTTTAATAAATACTACCGAGGCGCAATGCTCGCTTTCAAAAGATTTTTTGTTTTCGATTGTAAATGGCATCTCTTATCTCCCAGACAATGAAAAAACATTTTTTTTACATTTCTGCAAACTACAAAACTACTTAAAAAAAAATAATAGAGACATGAACCAATTTAGCATTCGCAACATATTGATCTGAATTTTGAACTCACGGATGACCAAGGAATGCTCGCTAGCGGTTGCTCGAACATAAAAATGTAACATTTCGGCTTCATCGTCGTTTTCATCGATGTCATCATTTTTCGTCTGAAAAAAATCAGTGTTAACGAAGAAAATTTTTTTAGCGTTTTCCGTGCTGATTCGATCTTCTTCTTTCGTTTCAGAAGACTACTATTGCAGATCTTGTGGGTCTGAAACAAACAAGCTTTATAATTAAAATATAGCGCGGAATAGCTCACCATTCTTCAGCTAGAAATGAATTACGATTAGGAAAATCGAAATTCAAAATAATTGTCTAAAAAAGAATAAATAATCACTAAAGAAATAACTAAAATAAAATTTAACACTGGATCTGGAAAAAGTGTAAAATTCATTGCGGTCGGGTCGAAATTTACATTGAAACACCATAGAATAAAATGGGGTGACCATTTAAGATTATATCAATTTAGGAATAATTTAAAATGTCTTAAAAGATTGATGGAATATTGTACTGACGAATCAAACGGTCAATGAAAAAAGTAACAATAAGGAGAAAACAGTAAATTGCGAGGTAGTCGAGAAATCGATAATCCTCGAAACGTTCTTGTCTTCCATGCGCTCCATGGATTTCAATATTTTCATCATCTTCCTGAAAATATTTTTTAGAATAATTTAATTAAATTCATAGTCTAATCACCTCCTCAGAACTGGTTTCCAGTTGCTCCGAATCACTTTTGTCACTGTCCTTTTCTTTCTCATCTCGACAGTTCTTGTTTTTAGACTTTTTGGATTCACGACCCATCCTAATTTGAAAAAAAACAATAATATAAAAACGAATTAAATGAATAACGAAGATAATGTAACTGTTGTGAACAGTAAATCAAATACCAGTTAAAATTCACAATATTGAAATGAATTTATAAGTATTAAACATGCAAAATGAACATTTCAAATGTTAAAATTGAGATTTTTTTTTTAAATTTTTAGATAATTGAAAATGATTGAATAGTGTGAAAAGTTTTTAAAGATGAATATAAGTTGGAACTATGAGTAGAAAGAAAGGAAATGAATGCCGTAAAATTGCAAGGAAAAACATAGGAGGGAATATAAACATTAAAATAATCTTGAAAAATCCAAAATGTTTAAAAAATGTTTCGATTTTTCCCATTTTGAAAAATGCTTGATTGTAATTATTAAATACTTGAAAAAGCCAATCATTTGCCGATATAAGTATTATCGGAAATTTCAAATGAAAAAATCAATTTTTTATTATTTATTTGCAATCGGAACCACGAATTCTCCTTGATCAGAAGTGTTTGCAAACGTGAAAGAAAACTGAAGAAAACAATTTTTCAATCAAATATGCAAGATGGAGACACTGAAATTCAAATAAATATTTATCGTTTATTATGTACATAGGTTACCGGAAAAATGAGCAAAAGAATCATCATAACTGGATTTTCAACGGTCTAAATATATATGTATTTAATTCTGGTAATATTATCTGAAGATATTACTATTTTTGGGTTTTATTATATTAAGAATTATCCCGAAAAAAATAGCAAAAATTGTTCAAATCGATTTGTTTGAGTTTGTGTATTTAATACAATCAGCAAAACCACAGTTGCCATTCAACCCAAATTGCATTGATTTGAATTACCGTTCCCCACTTATCAGGTAAGCGTTTCAATCCCTCTAAAATCCTTTCATTTCATAATATATATATATAACCAGACGTTCACCATCCCGCCTCTTATACATACTGATCAGATCGCGAGCAATGTTGGGAGTAACTCCGTTAAAGCAATTTTCGATTAAGCAAAAAAAAAATTGGCTTTCTTACGCCTTGAGCACATCAGTTATGGCGGTCGATGTCTTTTTTCTAGTACTTGGTATAACCATTGCTTCGTGCTCTGGCATCCAGGTCGCGCTACCATCAATGATGAATGAAATCGCAGTTGTGTACGTTGGAGAAGACGACAAATGGAATAATACTTATACTAGCCACGTATTCATTGCAACGTTTTTAACCCAATTCTAATTCGTTGTGGACGCCTGGGTGAAGACTGAGCAGAATCGGTTAAGATAACGTCGCACGCACCAGATCGTTCTCAGCTCATATGAGTATCACGTAGTTCAAAAATTTGCCGCCAGTGACTTTTCCACAAATGGTAGTCATACCGCCGTTCGTTCCTCAATCAAATGTGCATCACTTTCAAGATGTCATGACGATGATCCAAAAATTTGGCAAGCCTGACTTCTTCGTAACATTCACGTGAAATACGAAACAGTGAGAAAAGAAGAAAATCTGCGAGAACGTGTGGTGGCTGCTGATCGACCTGCCATTGTGACAACCCCGACGCGTATAGACTAATCTTCGCTGAGATTCCCTGACCAGCGGATCCTGACTTCTAGGACGTCGTGACTTCCTGCCTTGTTTATCAACTCTCAGGCGTCTTGCATTTCAGAAGGCACACACGCAAAACACTTCATTAAGCGCTACCGCACGTCGACGAGCAAAGAAATCGACGGTTATACGAAGTACCGAAAAAGGGACGTCGAAAGCCACGTCACCTGACCATTGACTCGACAACCGTTCTGTCGTGCCGTACAACTTATGCCCAATTGAAATCACGAGTAGTTGAGCGTAAGTCCATTTTTCTTCTCTCTCTCGTGGGTACGTAAGCAAAAGTTGTGTGAATAGAATTACGCCTAACAATGATCGCGGAGCGATCGGCATTGTCGGATGATAATCAAGTTATAAATGTCTACAGAGCGAGTTGCGCGTGAAAATATAATCAAAACTCACAATTTTCTCCTCAACTGCTGAGATCGTATTATTTTCCAGACGATTCACCAAAATCCATTCGTCACAGCTTACAGTGTCGAACTGAAAATCAGATGACTTGGGCTTAAATGTTCTGCTTCACCATGTCTACCTCATATTCTTCTACGTTCTCTTTCTTTATCTCATCCTCATTGGTTTGTTGGTATTCTACATCATTCAATTTGTCGAGGACCAATTTTCTTTCCATTCTGGCACCTAAATTTTTTTATTTCATTTGTTCCTTCAAATGAAATATTTGCGAAAATAAATATAACGATGTAATTATTTGATTAGAAAATAGGGTGTATATGAGGAAGTAGAAAAAAAGTAAAGTGATCATCATGAATTACATTTCTTGATATTTTTTTAGTAGTGGATAGGTAGTTTAGATATCTTAAGGATAGATACGTGAGTTGGAGAAAAAAATATCCAATTGCAAATTAAATACTCAAGAAATATGCAGAAAAACAGATTGATTATTTGAACGAATATGTTTAAAAGAAAAAAAAGGGCCATAAGGGAACTTTGGCTTCCTGAGAGAAAGATTTGTATTTCATTTAAACGATATGACATTCCTTACCAAAAGAAATGTACATATATGGCAGTGAATAAGAGTATAATGTGTATCATCGCAATTAAAGTGAAATGTCTATCAATGAAATCTTTGTCACTAGGCATTTCCTGAAAGTTGAAAAAATAATTTAAAAATAATGAATCACTGACTTGATATAGAGAATTTTCCGCAGACTTCTCGATCTGCTCCAGTTCGTTTTTTTCGTAATTCGTGCAAACTTCTATATTAATGAATGCATCCGCCTAACTAAATGTTTTAAATAGACGTTAATATAAGCAGTAACCAACCAATACTTGATCGGTTGTTCCTCCATTTGGAATCGGTTGCATTTCTGGTCAGTGATCACATGATTGCGTCGCCTTCTCGATGTGCGATTTCCAATTTTGAACTGTAAAATATTAATAATGTACAAAAATATAGTTGAAATTGAATGGAGTATGTAATTACTAGCAGCATCAGAAAAAATACCAGATATTGAAACTGTTTTACAACAGCTGAACGAGAAAAATAAATAAATGAATGGTTGTTGGTGCTTTACTTAACAATTAAACAATTTTAGAAAGCAAAATGATTTAACGCCACTCGAGGAAGTGTTAAACCCGACAATTCACACGGCACAATGAACGCGATTGGTAAGGCGGGTGCAATATTTTTGATAGAAGTATAGCAATAAAATTTCAGCAAAGAGCGCCACTATCAGAAAATACAATATCGCCGGCACCTGGAAAATTGAATAATACGATTTCTCGAGTTCGAATAGCAAACCAATGAAAAAACTTGGAGAATGCGAACAATTGGAATGATGTTGAGGATTGCCATTGTCGCGAACAACGCAATAAGTAGGATCGTGATCATGACCGAAATACGTTTGCAATTTTGCTGAAAACAAATTTTTTTCGTAATAGAAAAACTGTTTCGTTTTTCCATGCATTTCCCGAGGCGATATCAATTTCTTCGACCATGATTTCATCCTCAGAGCCATTGCTAATGACAGACGTATTGTCGGGTTCTTCCATATGAGCGTCCATAATCACCATCGTGAAAGTTGTCGAATCTTGATGGGAAGCTCCTTCGACGGAGTCGGCATCTTTATTAATGAGCTGTTGGAAAGCTTGTCTATCCTAAATGAGCGATTCATTTAAGTTTTGCTTTTGCACTGACCATGTTTAGCTTTGTGGATGGAGAGATGGTTAAACCTGAATTCGCTTTATATTATAAAACATAATGAAAAAAATGAACGATGTAAAACTGTGAAAGACAGATGATCGAAAGTATGCTTGAAACTACATTTCAAAATGATTTACTTTAAAACGATATTTAGAAAACGCAGCAGATAAAAACCGTCATAGTGTGTTATCAGAGTTTTAGTTTCCCAGGTGAATTCCAGAGAATTCCTAACACAAAATAGGATGTGAACAACAGCTATAAAATACTATAAAATATTTCGTAAGATGAAGTGGTTCGAATTGAAGGATGGACTGATTGGATCAAAACGATTTTTCAAAAAGTGACACGATCAACTAATTTTGGTGCGATAAGATCAGGAACCAATGAAAATCGCAGAGGATCGAACATGACACTTTAACACAACATCTCCAAATCTTGATTGATTTTAATCACTTTTAAGTCAACAAGTATCGCGTCCAGTGCTACATTAAATCGCCGAACTCTCCATAATCATTTAATTCGATATGGCGTATGCACATCCTCAACAAAAATCACCGTTTCACATTTTGATCATCAATGAGCGAAATGTGCTCATTCACGTTGTAATCCTGGTCTTTGTTACAATCAAGTTTTTTAGAATTCACCTTAATTTCAGTAATAGAAACATAAGATTTACGTCCAACTGAACACAATTTAGCAATTTTGAATTAGTCATTTCAATTGGTGAGTATTTGACTTACGATGGTAATGTTTGTAGTACTCGCTGTCATTTCGTTGGACTCATATGATTGTGTGTGTGCCATGATACTAGGACAGCTCTCCGGAATAAAGCTAAAGCCTGATAATAGAAAGGAAAGTGCAGAATTTAATAAACGTATTCAAACGTAACATTAAGAACAATGAACAATCGAATCATGAGATGGTAGTGCAACAATTTATAGAAAAAAACAAAGAGGAATTTGAAGAAAACATTTTATAACTATGAGCCTGCAGCTGATGTTCAATTTGGTGTGGTCGTCGAAAGATATTCATCTTAACTTTTTTCAACGATCTGCGTGAGGAAGTAACTGAACAACAAATAAACCATCACAACAGCTACCACAATAAGCGTAACAAAGATCTGCAACTAACAATTGAATTTGCTTAATTGATATGTGGTACCCGTGGATCAATTTCTTTTCCGTCGGTCCCGGTGACTGAAAAAAGCGAGAAGATTGAACAGGAGCTTCCAATTCTACGATTCTTGCGGCGCTGAAGAAATTGTGTTTTGTTTCAGAAATGCATGAAGAGAGTCTTACCGATTCGTTGAAACGACTGAAATCAATGGAGCCGTATTCAATTGTGTAGTTGTTCAGTCCAGCTTTTAGAAGAGGGATGCCCTCTTGGTTTTCGACAATCATTGGAATGAGAGTAGATCGCGTATCCAAATTGACGGATCCGTACTCGACAGTATTCGACTTTGCTTCATTCAGTAAAAGCGGAACGCTTTCGATGTCGTGCTTCGGCATTTTGACAACGACAGCGAAAGAATCAACTGGAAGAAAGCATTAGACAAAAACTTGGCACGAATAAGATATGACACTGTTTGGCAACAGTCCAATGGTGTTATAATATGAAATATTGGATTGAATTATGTTATTTTGGACAAAAACAACATTATATTATTATTATTCAGCCAAAAAACTGTAGAGAATCCTTGTGATTCTCCACGAGATGTGTGTTAGGACGGTGAGCACCGAGAAAAGAATAATATAGAAAGCCTGTAAACAACCAACGAATTCAGACAAAATCAAGCGCACCATGCCCTATTCGCGGCTCGTCTGGTCCTCTGTTCTTCAAACTCAGCGAGATCCTTTTCAAGTTCCACACGCTTCAAATTACAAGAATCTTGGTTAGTGATTTACGGTATTCTCACCAGATCTTCTAAGCCAACTTCTTCAGCAAACTCATCATTCGAGGAACGATTTAGCGATGTTTCCTAAATGCTTGAAGTCACGTTACAAAAATTTGGCAGACATACCATTGGAAGGGACGTCATCTAGCAACTCAAGCACAACAAATAAAAAATTTCAAGAATATGAATATTGAAGATATTTACAAACTGTTAGAAAACAGTACAATGAATATGTGAGACAAAATATGTGAGACAAAACGATTTATGTGTTGAATCTCTAGGCAAAAGTCCACAATATCAAAAGATTTTCTGCAGCTAATTTTCGGGGTAAACAAGCCACGACAACAAGAACTTCAGACCGATAAACACTGCACACGTGCCCAGATGAGCGAGAACTGTTTTAAAAATCACCTTGAGAAGCCAATCCTTCTGTAAATCAATATTCAAGCAATGCTATTTTGGCTTATAATAACTTCGGCCGCACGGATATCTGCAGCGAATTCGTTTTTGGTCCTCTCGTAGTATTGCCGAAGGCGAATATGATCCTGAGTGTTTGAATCAAATTACAATTAACAAAAAGTGATTATTTTGACTAAAACGCATAGCACAAAGAAGATTTCAAGCTTGAGAACTCATAATTAGACTTCATAAACACAAAAAATGGGAAATGTACCATCGACTCTCCTGAAATCATTGTGGTCTCTTCTTCCGGCTGGATTCGCGTTACTTCAATGTTTGAACGATCGTTCATCTCTATCATCTCCATTTTTCGCAACTCCTAAATCAAATATCTGTGAGATTGATTGGAGAATCTATTACCCTCAGATGTTTCTCAGTTAAAACTCATTCAATGCGAAATCTTCCAATTCGGGACGAATTTGTCGGCCATATGTTGAAAGGAATTTAAAATCAAATGTTCAGTGTTAAGTGAAACTTGCCACTTGAAACCTTAAAAAACAGTAGGACAAATAAAAACACATCACAACATATATGAGGACTGTTGAAAAACAGTTAATATGATCAATTAGGTGCACAGAGATCAATTATTTTGTTAAATAAAAAGTGTGGTTTGGTTTGGTTGGAATGAAATTCTATTTGGTGGTTTCTTCAAATTGAATAGATGAAAAAATATACATACAGATGAAAAAATATAGATACGGAGGAATTGGGGATTGAAGAATAAAATTTCAAAATGTTTCAAACTAATTGAAACATCTGAAAAAAGGAAACAACAAACAACAAACACTAGGCATTTTAAAAAGTGAAATTAATTAAATATTGTGATGAGAAAGGAAGAATACTTGTAGGAAATCAAAAACGAGTTACAATGAAAAAATTATAAGAATGATAAAAATAAAGATAAAGACGAGAACAAAAATGCAGAACATTATATTAGTTTTGCTCTGTAAAAATACAACTTAGACCTAGCTCAATATAAGCACCCACCACAATGAGCTGTTCGCGATAGTCATTCAACATTTCCAAGTGTTCTGTGAATTCTTGTAATGCCTGAAGTAGTTCTGGATTCGGAATTGAACCAACTTCGAAGTCTCGGTCCTTTATATTTCTCGCAAAACTCTGAAATAATGATGCTTTTTTGACTATCCACTTCTGATTTTGTACCTGCTCTGACATTTTGAGAAACGACTTGCTGTTGCCGCATCCACTTTCCTTGTTGTTAGCCGACAGTTGCTTAGTTCTCGCAATCGCGATGTATTTGTAGACTAGGTTGTAGATGCTTTTGGCATTTTCATTGTTGTGAGCCTAAAACAAAAGCGGCAAGAATTAGGGAACCTCCGTAAATCATCTGACCATTTTTTTTAGATCAGCGTAATTGATCCGAATGAAATGAGGAAAACTAATCCTATTACCTGGAGAGATAATTGCAAACACGAAAAAATGCATTAATGATATGATAACTGTTAAAAACAGATTGAAAATTCAAACAATTAACGGAGTCCTCTAATAATTTATCATGGGGTTACAATTTTACCACATTAGTCTCGTAGAAAAAAGAAAATGATGTCGCGGATTGTCATGTAGACTGCGAACATGACCGCGTAGCGTCGCATAGTATTCAAACTTCTCAGTAATTCGAGTATATCTCTGATAAAAACAATCGCCTCAATTCAATTATTTGATTAGTAAAAAATGGGGTAGCACACCTGATCATAACGCCCGTCGCCAAAAACTGGAGGTGGTCCTTCGAAGAAGTGCTTAGAGTATTTCTGCGTGTTCTGTAAATCAATTGCATACGCGTCTGGAAGTTTTTTTTTCAAGTCTCACAATGACAACTGGAAACGGAGCCGGTCGATGTGGTAGAATGACATAGCTTGCCGGATCATCCAAACCTCGTGAACGACATGACATTCGTTGAGCCTTAAAGCAAGTGAATTTGGCTTTCTACAGTCGGTCTCAATGAACCAACCATTTGATAATGTCTCACTTCAACTTGTTAATAATTAAGCTGAATAATAGTAATTACACAAAGAGACAAAAGAAAGAACAATGAAGGAACAAGGATAAATATTTAACTGTCATGAAACAGTTTTAATGTAAAGTTAGTTGTTGGAATTAAAGAAAAAAAAATTCATACAATGCAGTAGATTAGTGCAGAAAGGAAGAATAGTACGGATGTTACAAGAAAAATGAGAAATACAGTGAGCCGATCACACTCATAATACTTGACTCTGATGATCATCTTTAAGAGGAACGTTTGTGATATTTACTGAAAATTTTCAACCGACCCGTTCAATCCACGATCGGTGCACTACTTCGTAGTAATTCTCATCATCAGTCTGATCACCGATATATTCAATTGTGTATCGTCTTGGCTGCAATATAGTGATGTGATCGTTGTGATTGACTAAATCACACTCCATATAATCCCCAGTTTTGAATATCGAGCTCATCAATATTGTGGAGCTCTGATGAATTTTCGATCTGCTGAGCCTCTTCTGGCTTCTCGATCTTTCCCGATGGTTCAGGCTTCTCGATAGTCTGCGACTGTTGGGACTTCTCGTCCAGCCTCGCATGATGGGACATCTTGTCCTGTAAACTTAAACGATTTTTGTGAAAACTGGTCGCTATCGAACTTTCTTCTGTTTTGATTGTTTAACCTTCGATTTCTTCTTTGTCATTTTTTTAATTCTAAAAATTGCAAAAAAAAAGAAAATGCAGATAGAAATGTATAAATGTACTGTAATCTACAGATTTCTATACAAAAGATCAAATTACCCAAAATCTTTAAACACAAATCACATATTACAAAAATGCAAGCAAATGAAGTGATGATAAGGCATGCAAAACGGCAAGCTTTCGGAAAATCATGTTTGGCGTAAAAGTTTTTTACTTTTTTTGGTCTAATTTTTTGATATTTCAAAAACATCAATTATCTCTAGTCAAATCGAGTGAGAGGCTGCAAAATGTGAAAATTTGGAAAAATAGTAAGACCGTGGAAGTGCATTTTAACCACAAATTTATGCCCGCGAAAACGAAAAGTCCGCGCATGAGCATCAGGTGATTAAATACATAACCCATACAACAAAACGAGTAGCACACTATTTCCCATTTTGTCGATTTTGTGGTGCGTTTTTTCGGTTACATGAATATGTAGAGCAATACTGCCTTGAGCAAGTCCCACATGACTGCAATGATCACACTCAGCCCAAAATACTAAAAATTTCTAAAATTATTTGTTGAAAACTTAGTGCACTACCATAAGGAATTCGCCAGTGTCGCCGATCAAAAGATACCAGAATCTCGCCATATTGTTTCGAATGACATGGCGACGTGGAGTCAGCTGAGGTATAGCGGGTGGTGCAGCGAGTGTGTTTGATATTGACGTCTGTAAAATGGATAGCTGAAAAACTATAATATTGAGTTGATGGGTATTTTAACGTATTGAAAACTACTCTATGTTGGTAAATCTCGCCTGATTGACGTCCGTTCCTCCGATGTCGTTGCCGTTGAAGTGATTGTCATTCATTTGGTTCAAGTTGTTTGTACCATCCAATGGCGACGTCATGTCTGGATGAAGCTTAATCAAATTATTCGCATGAAGAGTTATTTTGGAAAAATTTAAATAAACGAAAGAAACACAGGTACGTACACTGCATTGAACAGCAATGATAGCGTGAAAAATGTAGAAGATGGACCAAAATTTATAAAGAAAAACAAAGAGTTCTAATTCAAAGTGGCATGCAACCTACAAAAATAGAGATCGAAAGAAATTCAAAAACACATGACCGTCCAATTCTTAAGTAGTTCGAACAGTATCCTCGATCGGCAAGGCCCAGGTGAGGGTCTAAAAAAATGTGATGTTTGATAATATAAATTTCATTCTAACTGCGTGAGCGCGGTTTTCCTCGTCAAGTGGGACATCCGGGCCTATTGTGAACAGGACCCTAGTCAAAGAGGGGATGTCCGTTAAACTCTGATAATGAAGTCTTTCAACCAACGCCAGTAAATTAATCGTTGAGTCGGAATCTGTCTCGTCCGAGTCGCTATCTGATTCATCCGAATTTTCCGGCTGAAAATAAAAAATGTTGAATGCAGCATTTCAAAAAATTGAAACCTCAGAGTCTAACGGAATCCTCTTTGTGTGATACAACATATATTCGAGATCATCGTTGTCTTCGAGATCATCGTCCTCCTCGCCAGCTTTGATATTCTTTTCATCCTTGTTTTTATCATCTTCAATCACGTCCTTGTTGTCAGCCATCTCTATAGCAATGTTTTTTCAAAAACCAAGTAATTATAGAAACACAGGAAACATGAAATATTTAACTGTTATTGGACAGTCATAGAGAAAAACAAAAAAACAAATAAGTATGATTGGCTGGCATTTATCGGCAAAATAAAAAAATTGAAACCGAAACTTTTCGGTTCCGGTTAGGGCCAGAACGTGAGAATCACGAAACGACAGAGATGGTAGACGATGAGGACCCACATCAAGATCACAAATGCGGCCGAGCTCTACAAAGAATTCCCTTTCATCAAAAAAATATTCGTTCTTTCTACTTTCGAAATGAAACGGAGATTGGCAAGTAAATTTCTGGCCGTGCTCTGAATAGATCGTTTGACTCTCTGTGTACGAGTTTCCTCGCCTTCACCGCTCAACGGACGAATGATGAAAGCGCCTTCTTCCTGAATTGCATTTTCGACATTGTCCCGGTTGACAACCTCTGTCTGAAAACCTAGAATTATTAAAGAAAATTTCAGACAAATATTGATTCCAATTGTGAAAATGAACGAAATATTGCTCACCACTCCACTTTCGAGCATCGGAATTTCGTCAATGTCGTTGTCGCGTTCTTCTGCGATAGATCTATCATGGGCAATGAGATCTGCTATAAGTCTATCTAGACCGTTCACTAACCCTTGATAAGCGGGAGAATTCACGCCAAGGTTGGGCACTTCCTGTAATTATTCCAAAAAAATTTGGTTAAGATCTCACAAAAACGTACGACATCATTATCGGCGACGGAATTCGAATCCGAATGATTGATGATATCTGACTCAGCCATCCTGATTGAAAAAAGGGAAGATTGAATAAAAAATATTAAAGAAAGACCAGATATGAGAACCGTTGAAAACAGTTGAAACTCAAAAATTAAGGGAAACAAAAATTAACATTTATGTCAACAAAATAATGGCAACGCCAACACAACAATTCCATTGCAGAAAAAGCTTTACAGCTTCTTCTTTTCTTTGTTCATGCTGATGATTCCCACAACGACACATGCAAGCATACAAAAAATTGCAATAATTATGATCAACGCAACAATGGACTAAAATAATCATAAACTGAATTTTGTTGAAAACCTGAAAACGTACGCGGTCGCGGTGACGGCAACAATAGCTTCCTTTTAAGCACGAGCACAACGACGAGCATCCACACTTACCAATGCATTCTGAGTCCTGTAAATCCGATGCGTTACGTAAAATAATTCATTCGTCGGTAAATTTTGCTAACGTTTTCAGGAGCATCGACGAATGTGGGAGGCGGACACGTTTTCTTGCTCACCGAGCACGGGGCGACGTATCGAGTCATCTCCTGAAACAAACGGTAACTGTTTGTTAATATGAAGAAACATACGATGTCGTTTAACATCGAAGGGCGTTTTCTGGGAGTGTTGCGATTGAGCGAGATTCGAGCTTCGTGAGGGTCCTGCAATAAAATTTTATTAAAATTAACTAAATCTTTCTTACCATTGCAGCTACTGAGGTGAAATCACTGAAAAGGCAAAAAAATAAGAAATTACAACAATGCGATGAAACCAATAAGTATAAACACTGCTATTGAACAGCTATGCAAAAAATAAAATACCACACAACATCAAACACACAGTGAACCCTTTATTAAATATCCCCAAAAGAAGAATTCATTCAGATCAAGTGTAACACCACAATTACTAAAGAGTCCATCGAAAAAATCCACAAAATCACACTGCATAGCAAGAAAACATTCTTCGTGAAATTCGACGTGACCCATATAACTTCTTGAGATCGATTTGGAATTGCCAAGAAATTCTAGCTTCTAGCAATGAAAAAAGCAAAAAAGCAAATTGACAAAATATATTATAGTGAAATAGGACTGGAAATCATTGCAGTAGTTAGCGTCTGTTAGGAGAAATCTGCGGCTCGTCCATTTCCTCGCCGCCTTCTCGATCTTCGATTTCATCAGTAATCATCAAAAGAAATTGACAAAAAAGAATAAAACCAATCAAAAACACAAGTAGAAGCGAAAAGTAGAATGCGATCACGCAATGCTAAAAATCGATGTTAGCACTTTAAGGATGAATTTGAAAATTAACTTGAAAGCTTTTATGTGAACAGTTTAACAAAAAATGGCATTTCAAACAAACTAAAGAAGCTTTGATGATCAATCATGGTTAAGAGTTTTTTATCATTGTTTCTTAATAGAAAGACTTACCAATTTCAAATTAATTAAATAAAGGAGCTGCGTATGACGCGGCATTATGATTTCTCTCTGATATAATACATAAAATGGGTATTGAACTTTTTCTGAAATTAGAGAGATTTGAGCTACATTTACGTTATTATTCACCTTTCAGAAACCGAAAAATTCTGAGAACAGATACTCTAATTGGTGGTAATATGACACATTGACGCTGGACGTTTTCTTTAGCGATAGACTTCCTGAACCAAGAATAAAAATACAAAAATCAATCGATTAAAAGTATTTAACAGTATTTAAACCGGTGGATGAAACTCAAAAATTAATTTAATGGGCCCTGTCATCATCTTTATTGTACACGGGGGAGGAGAAAAAGAGAATCCGCGGTGATAATAAAAAGAAGAAACTACATAGTAACAAAAAATAAAGGAAATAATTTTAATCATGAGTCTAGTTGGATTGATAAAATATTTAAGTAAATACTTTCAATACTTGAATTTGAGGGACAATGTGATTGTAGTGAATTTCGAAGAACGAACTGAAGCTCATCAGATGCAAAGATATGCTCCAAATATTTTTGAGGAGCTATTGACTTGAGACTGATACTTGTTTGAACTGAAGCAAAAGAAAAAAATGTCTAGATTGATTTGAAAGTTGAAGAGTGGAAAGAAGAATTCTGCAATAGCTAAGAAAACAAAATGAAAAAAAAAACATTAGATGACGGATACAAACAATTAAACGATTGCAAAAAGAATTTACGGGAGACTGATAACGGAAAAAAACAATGTTCCGGTGACAACGAAAAAGACGAATTCTGAAATTGCAGAACTCATTTTCAGGTGTTTTCTTTTTGAATTTTCACTTAACCATTTACCAAAATATCAAAAATTTCGCACACGAATTTCCTTAACATTTCGATAATTTTGGGGCTCTCTCTATTTTCATCACATCTCGCTTGAAATATCTCAAAAATCAACTCCGCCTCTTTACTTTCACTGCGCGTGTCATTTCTTTATTACTTTTCTTGCAACTTTCTCTAGCCGTCGTGCAACTCATTAAAACCTCACTATTTTCCTATTTTGAGACAAATTTGCAGCTACTGTCGGCAAGCTCTACTTAATTGGGTTTTACTCAAATTTGGAATATTTTAATTTGAAGTTTGATTTTATTTAAATTGCGCCACTATACAGGGTGAAACGAAAATAATAGTAATATATTGACTAATTATATTTTTTAACAAATTAGAAAAAAAACAAAATGTTTGCATATCGATAAATTAAAGAAATCATCAAAGAAATAAAAAAAAAGAAAAGTTTTAAAATAGTGTGAACATTGTGCCTATCCGCTGCCACATAGCGCCGATCTTTATTATAGGTAATTATGCACATCATGTTGTGTTAAATTTCCATGAAAAAACTAAAAAGAGGTGAATTGGTTTCAAAATTGAAAACTTATCGAAAGCTTTTAAACATTTAGAGGTGCATTGAACTCAATAAAATAATTTCAAATTGTATAAACTAACTTGAAAAGGAAACGTCAAAATTGATGAGATCATCAAAATTGTTGCTTCTTACGGCTAGACCTCATCCATAGTGAAGTGTTGGAATTCGGTAAGCTCTTGGGAGGTCATTTCCACCTCTTGCTCATCCTCCACTTCCTCCTTTTCATGAACATTTCTGGCTAGTTCGATTTCGTCGGAAATATCGCGCTGAGTTTCCAAAATTTGGGGGCAGTCCTGAAAAATGGTGCATTAAAATCGGAAAAAAATCGCTTCAAAAACTGCGATTTTTTTTAATAGGCGGATTTCGGAAATAGTCTTTGATTTTTTTAACTTACGCGATAGAGTGATCTGTCTTCAGGGTGCTGGTAGATCTCCGAGGGTTCCACCAAAGGAACAACAAAGCGAAAATGGTCTAAAATAGCCTGCGCGTGTTCGAATTCATTTCCATAATAGTCAATACTATAAGGCATTTGGAAATTCTACAAAAAGTGTCTATATTTTTCAACATCAATATATTTTATAATTTTAATATTAATACCATCGAGCCAAGTCTCTGTTGTTGCTCAATTTTCTCCAGGTGCTCGGGTAGGTAGAATGGCGTCGGCGGACGTTGAGTTTTTGGTTCTTCTGGCGGTGTGCTTTCCTGTGGCTGTAATGCAACTTGGTTCAATTCGGCATTGCCCTTTTCCGATGGCGCCGTGCTTTCCTATAGATTTATTGTTTTTTGTTGGATATTTCAGAGACATCGTGTCAATTTGCTAGTGCAAATGTGCATTTTGTGGCAGCTCAATAAGTCTATTCTACTAACAAACAGAATATGTAGATGCTGGGCAAGTTATGGTTCACAATACGTTTTGTTCAAAATAACAACACATAATCTCACGATAATGCCAGCACTTGCCTCATTTTTTAGCTCGATTTTCCGAATAAAATTTTCGGGCACAACCGTTTCTAACATTTCGCGCAAACTTGAGCAGAAACTGATTCTTTTACCCTCCACGCCCTTGTAAAATGTGCGTGAATGATGTCTCGAAACGAATTCACCAGGAATTCTGGTAGTTGATCTAGCTCCGCCACAAAAAATTCTTTTTTGGATGATAGACATATTCGTTCTATTCCTTCTCTTTTCTCTTGACTGAAACAATAAAGGTGTCTAGGTATTTGGCCTTATTGTTAAACAGTTTCTAGATCGTTATTCTATATCACTTTTTGTCCTAGATGTGGAGCGAATTTAGTACATGTCTAAAATTTCTACCTGTTCAAATTGACGGAATCGTTGCTGAACGAAATCATCTGATTTATTCTGATCAAGAGAGCCATTTTTCCCAGATACTTCAATTGGCGTATCTTCTTTCTGAAATAAATTTATGAAACACATTTCTGGTATCATCACAAACATCAGTTGAATCTTGGGGTCCAATTTCTTGTTCATTCAATGCGAGACGTTCGATACCAACTTCAACAATATCCGGGTTTATTGGTTTCTAAAGCGAACTTTGAGGATGTAAATTAGCTATATGTAAATTACCGATAAACTCATAATCGATCAGGAAACAGATTGGAATTTCTAAAAATTTCAATGTTATTTACAGTATACACGAATTAAAAATGCATGAAATAACGCGAAATAAAAATTTCAAAATATGTAAAGCGTTTTAAACGGAATTAAGCCAAATTAGTGATCCAATGAAGAAAAACTTTTATCTTGAAGGAAAAAGAAACGAGGGAATCGGTTGATAAGCAAATTATATCATCGAGGAAACTACAATTTAAAGATTACCCTTTTAAGATTTAGGCCAAATTTCAACACACTTAACCTATTACGCGTTTTTTATAAAATTGAAAATTTTTGTTTTTCTAACTACTTGATGAATGAGGTGAACAAATTCAGATAAACTTTGATAACTTGGAGATGTTAAGCAACTTTCAAGTGAAAAATCAATGATTTCAATCTTGGACCGCTTCCAAATCTTCGGGATTTCCCATCTCTGGTGTTTCCATTTCACTGTTTTCCTCCTGAAATGTTTCTTTTGTACCTATTTTTTGCAAAAGTTCGATTTTACACAGAATCCCTTTTGCAGTACACATTTTTTTCCCACAAAAATTCCCAATCTTTGTCACAATATCGCATGCGTAATATCACATCGACTGGCATCACTTCACAACACATCTGCATTACATAAATTAAATTTACAAATGTAGGAAATATCGAAATAAATGAAATGGAATGATTCGACGATTTTACTGTTTAATTTCATATTTTTAAAAATTGTATGATTTTGTACGACGGCATGCCGATTTCCGAAACTCAACTTTCAAGAGACACATAAAAAGTAAATAAATCGATTTTTAGTGGTATTTTTGCATTTTTGGCAAAATAAAAATGTCTATATACTTTCACGTAAATCGATTGAATTTTGGTGAAATAGCGCAATACAATTAACTTTTTGAGAATTCTGCAGTTCTCGTTTTTCTAATCTGTGTTTTTTCTAAAAATTTTAATAGCAATATTGAACGTCTATCATTCTCTTTAACATTTTTTAAATCATTGAATTATTTAAATTACATGTATATTTATATTTTCTTCGAAACGTTTAAGATTCTTTATACTATTTGGATAACGTGTTTATCTGTTCCACGCGTTCCCTAAAATACATTATTATTATATGCATACATTATTATTATATGGTCAAATTTGTGAAATGGCATAGGATCATTATCGCTAATTCAAAAACTGTTTGAGTAAGAATTTGGCACGAACTCTGAAATTTTAAGAGAGGGTTCTCGCAGTAATTCGCAATTTTTGAAAGTATGGTTTACGCAGGAATTCAAAATTTGCTTAAAGAAAAGCTTGGCTGGAATTTGAAGTTTTTGAAAGTAAGGACTGCGCGGGAACTCAAAATTTGCTTAAAGAAGGGATTGTGCGGGAATTCAACATTTTTGAAAGTAAGATTTGCGTGGTAATTCGAAAATTGTTTAGAAAAGAGTTTGGCGAGAATTTAAAATTTTTGAAGGTAAGCTTTGCGCTGGGATTAAAAAAATGTTTTGAGGGTTTTAAGCGGAAATTCAAAATTTACCTAAAGAAAAGTTTGCGCGGGAAGTTAAAAAATTTTGAAGGTAATATTTGCGGGGAATTCAAAAATTGCTTTGAGAAGGGTTTTGAGCGGAATTTAAAAATTTTTGAAAGTAAGGTTATCGGGAATTCAAAATTTACCTAAGAAAAGTTTGCGCGGGGAGAAAAAAATTTGTAATTAAGATTTGCGGGGGAATTCAAAATTTTTGATGGTAAGTTTTTTTTGACATTTTATGACGTGGAATTCAAATTATTGGTTTTTGCGTCGCAAAAAATCTATTACTAAGTTGACTCGTTCTCAAATCACAACAGTTGAAAATATTAATTTGGTTTGTAATTTGAACAGAAAAGCAACTTTTTCCCGCAGTATTCAGGACAGGGTTGGTAAATTGAAGCCGGGGCCGAAAGCCGGCCGGCCGGCCCGGCTTTCGGCCGGCTTTCGGCTTTTTTTTGAATTCCCGCTTCGGCCGTGCGGCCGTAAACAACGGAGTTGGGGGCCGAATCGCGGGCCGAAAATTTGACAGCGAAAAAAGCCGGCCGAAAGCCGGCCTCAGGCCGGCTTTCGGCCGGCCGGGCCCAAAATTTAACAACCCTGATTCAGGATGTTTTCTTGGACTACGTTTCATGGCTGACAATGATGTTGCGGCCGCGGCCGAAGCAGCAGCAGGCGGGGAAAACGATGTCTCTCGCCACCAACACTTTCTAACACTCTCTTGCTCTGTCTCTGCTCTCATGCTCCAATGTACTAATTCGTTATGCGATCAAAGACCAAATTAGAGATAATCATTAAAAATTGCACTTTTAAATTTTTTATCAACATAATGAAAAAATCCTTCTGAAACAACTATTGTAATTGTAAACTTTTGAAAACATTAAACTTCGGTGCGTCGACAAATTACCAAATATCACACAAATAATTATTGGGTTTCTCTTGTCTTTACGGTCTAATTTCTTAGTTCAATTTTTACCTATAACTAACCTCAGTGAAGAAAAAGGGAAAAGTGTAGCAAACATTGATCCTATTCCTGAATCTTATCGCCTATATTTCAGAATCGATGTGATGTTAGGCCACAATATCCGTCACATGTTTCGTTCTCACCTCACAAAATAAATTAATAAACCAGTCACATAAAACAATTATCATGAAAAAGATATTGGAAATCCGAGAAAATGGAATAATTGGAAAAATGCTTAATTTTGATAAACGGGCTTGTTTTGTTGAAGAGATGAAAATAATAAGTGAGAGATAGTAGTAGAACAATTACTATGCAGCACAAATTTTATTATGTGTTGTGTACACGGGATACAAACCTCAAAACAACAAGTTTCATTTTTTTTCAGATGTTTCAGGATAATAATAGGGGAGTTTACATATCAGTAGGCTTTCAACTCAAAGTGTGAAAATGAAGAACAAGCGCAATAGGAAATATTTTGTTATAATAATTAAGTAACTAAAATTGATCTCTTCAGCCTTTTGATTTTTATGTGATTGGACTGCTGGAATATGGAATGAATTTAGTACTACAACGGATTAGTGGTTTTCGTTGAGATTCTGATCGAATTTGGTATGTATACCAGAAATGCAAATTAATCGGCTTTGCTAACTATTGGCTTTTATTGTCTATAATCAAAATTTAATTCAAAATATATAATAATCAAGAGTATATATTTTTGCGGTTTGAGAGCTTCAAAATTCATAAATTCGCATTGTGTAGTGGTCATTTCGGTGATTTTATCAAATATAGTTTGGTTTCTTATATAGCAAGAAAAATGGTTCAACTCAATTGATAGCTTAGCCTAATCAAAATATAAGCAGGGAAATTCCAAAAAATTATAGCGTTTTTTATTTAGCATTCTAAGAGAGATTGCGGGTTAAAATTGTTTACTTAGTAATATTTAGTAAGTAATTTTTAGATTACTAATTAAGTAAGTGAAATGAGCTATTTGGTGTTTCTATATTTTAAACTTTTTTTTTGACAAAACCCTACTCTCATATATTTCTTCAATGTATTAGAGCTAGGCCGAAACGCTGCAGAAACAAATTGAAAAATTTACGACGGGTGTAAGAAGTGTTAAAATATATGTCCACCGTTGGTTTAAGAAGTTTCGTTCTGGCAGAGTAAGTCTTGAAGATGAACCTCATGGTAACTGCATTAACAATGATCGTTTGAGTGTGCTAAAGGATGCCGATTCACGTACAGCGATTTAAGTACTCGCAAAAGACCTCGACGAACATCCCTCAACTGTCATCGACAAATTAAACGAATCGATCTGATTCCTTGTAATAAAAACCCGTAGACAGCTCTTCGGTTCCATCGTTCCCCCAGCACTGACTTAGGAGGAGCGACATGGACCATCAAAGATGATTATTATGAGAACAGCTGCCGTAATCACACTATGGTCCATTCAAGATAAGGACTGAAAAGCTTGGAATGCAGTGATTCTCACTTCAAAAGGCGAATGACGAGCCAACTAATCGACTAAATAGGTGACTATTGTATGCTCTTTACGGTATTTAAGCTTTAGTTTGGATTTTTGAGTGTATTAGAATTTATTCGCATTAATGATAATTTGTAATGCATAATTATTCATGAGATACTTTGAATTAAAGTGCAACAATTTTTTGGTCGATTAAACTGAATACGGTAGTTTAATCGCCCTATTTAGCCCCATGAAACATTTGCTTTGAAAGAAATAGGCAACAAGCATTTATCTGCTGTGCTGATCTGTGTGGCACTTGCCATTTGCTGTTATAGCCAACTTTTCGAGCACGATAGCGCATTGGCTAAAGTTTTGAACAACTCATATTCGTGTAGATCGTGGTTTCGGTTTAGCTCTAACGCGAAGTGTTTCGCTGGCTGCGTCTCCTTCCACCGCATGCTCTCTGGTTGTCTTGCGCTCTCTTGATTGTACATCATCTCTCAAAGCGCAGATAAAGAAGCACGCCAGACGGTTTTTACATATATTTTGATGATATACATATGAAAAAAAACGTCTGTCATGGGTTCCAAAAGCGATGCGGAAATTTAAAGCCATTAATGCACCAAGAATGTAGCGCCGCCATTGGTAGCAGGCAGACAAATAGCAAAATTGGATGAATTCTGTGAGTTGTTTTTTTCCTTGGAATATTCAAATAAAGCAAATAAATTGAATAACGAGGCGATTCAAAAAATTCATATTTATATATTTTTTAAACATCACATTTCAAACAAAAAACAATTCACCATATTTTTTATATTTTTGTTCCCAACTTTTTTTATCCATTTCTCTCTTCGAGTTACTCTGAAATCAATGTGGTCCCCGTTAGGAATATTTGCGAGACGAAAAAAAAAACGCGAGTGCAACTCGCCCGCTCGCTCCCGCGAAAACACAAAACCAAAATAGCACATTGCCCGTGCTGCCAACAATATTTTTTTCTATGACGCAGGGCGACTCTAAGCGGGCAAGCGGTTTGCGCACGGTTTGGGATGCCTTACTCATCGAATTTTTCGCGACAGCGCCCAGCGCGGCGACCCGATATACTTTAGAAGTTCCCTGAATTATACTTGCGTTTTTGTTGCTGCCTTATGAATTGCATCAACACGGCAACTCTAAGATTCTCACGATGAATGCTACATATTCATGACCTGTATTAAACAGGGCGCCGAATGCACCGCCATATTATTGATTTTATGAGCATTTATTGGCAATCGGGGTCACAAGCAAACTACAAATATCAGAGTGGCTACATGTTAATTTTGATTTTAAATTGTTGCGATAGAAATATAGACTGTGAGATACCCTCAAACAGGACACTTCCGCACATCTGCCTCCATCGGAACCCCATTGCTCTCTTGCCATTGAACGTTACCTCACTCATCCGTTCAATAGCCTAGGGTTGCAAAAGTTCTTACGAAACGAAAAATTGCGCGCATTTTCTCAATTGAATAGTTTTCAGCCGTAAGAATTGCGCAGGCGATTTTATGAATAGGGCAGATGTTTTTGGTCCCCCGCCCCTATCCCTTCATTCTGTCCCTACTGCCCCATTGGCTTAAATTTGAAAACCAACCGCCAAGAGTTTGCTACTTCGACCCTTTGCCGAACAAATGCCAAACGTTTTTCAAAATATTAGTGAGCATCCCTCAAAAACAAAATCTTTGCGACGCTCGCGCTCACGTCGTTGGTCGTTTGCTCACGACGACGCCTATAAATGGGGACACTTCGTTTTTAATACCGTATAAAAAGAGCGACAAAATCGGCACCGGGGCCTCTTGCTATAATCTAATGTGCCTGGGAAAATGACTGTTTTCAAATGGTAGATGCCATACTTTTGAATTCGGTAGTGGGAAAACGATGTAGCGTTGGATGCAGTTGAGAAATGACAGACGCATCCGATCTCACAATATTCCATCGATCCCTCATTTGAAATTGTTATCAGAATTCAAAAATGCAGCCCGTTCTAATCCATCATAATAAAAGCTCAATAACAAAGGCTCACATGTGACTCTTTCGAATTTGCGACCTATTGTTTTCGGACAATCAAAAAATTTTCGATTTCAAATTTTTTATAGCCTAAATGGCTATTTAAACAGAAATGATGTTTAAAAAAAAAATAATGAGCAATGAAATAAAAATTTAAAAAAACGGCGCTTCGAAACACGTTAATTAAGCGCTCTTTCGAATTATCGTTTATCGAAAATGGACCTCCGTGAGTAATGTAACAAAGGACGCTGACAATGGAGTCGCTAAGCAACGCGTAAAGGTCTATGGTAAAGATTAAACTTCAAAGCGGCGGATTGTCCAACATTTCAAATGAAAGATATTTACCGGGAAGGTTGGAATTGAGCTAAAGTAAGCATTATGTGCTTTTGGAGTCGGAACTACTCCTCTAAACAATCCAACGGGATGGGCTGAAAGGTCAAAACTAAGATGATAGGAATACCCCCATGTTGTGAAAAAAAAATAAATGTGGAAGAGAATGTATATCTAGAAAACGAGACCCAAATTAAGCCTTGAACCTCAGTCAATCTCCATTCAAAATCAGTGCCTTAAAAGCCCCAAAATTGGATATTGTTGCCTCTCAGCCAGTACTCATTTGCAGGCATTAAATGCTTTGTTTTTTTTTCTCAAAAACTAATGGATTCGATTGCTGCCACGTTGTCCCTACTTTCCGGCATTTTTTTTCCCTGGGTATCTTCACATGCGTCTAATGAAATCAAAACATCAATTTTTAATATTCGAGCATAATAACAAAGGTTTCAAGCCATGTAGTGACAAACACCAGGAAGCATTGTGTACTAGACATCTACGTGCATAATATCGTGTTCATTAGGTTTCATCAGCTTGATATAATGCACAAAAGGTGATAAAATTTTAACGCAAAAACAGTCACAGACTCATGCATCGTTAGATAAACGATTTCACGAATGAGTGATCTTTTTCAGTGGTTTTAAAATCATTTTTAGAACCTAAAAAGTGCAATTTGAAATCTCCTCAAGTGCAATTTGAAATCTCCATAAAATTAAATGATGACAAATTCAAAATTTGATCAGTTCGTCGTTTTGGTTGGCCGCGGCCGAGTATCCGATAAAGATGAAATTGAAAACGAACTCAGCCGCGACGAATGCTCATCGCGGCTGACTAAGCGCGCGCGAATTAAAAAAAAATTCTGATATGTCAGAACCGTTTAGTCATCACTAGATTCTATTTTTGGCCTACCGTATACGCTAATTAGGATTATCAATTTTCGCTTGGTTAGACTTGATCACGTGTAAATTGATGAGCAAACGAAATGCTCTCAGAACTATGACGTTTGATCAATCAAAATTTTAAAATATTTGAATTTTGCTGGATTCTAAAAAAAATGCAAATCCGTTCCTTATAGTCCTATTTGTGAGTTAACTCATAGCGAGCTTGATTTTTATATATCTAACTTGTTGACAGCTCCCCAACAAAAAACATCACATTCTGCATACAAATAAACAAGCATGCAATGCATCGTTTATCGATTGCCAATCAGTCCTCGAGACGAGCCGCGGGTTATCGGAGTGACTCCAAATCCCCATTCCTCCTGAAAATGTGACCATGCATGAGAGAAGCACATGCAATATCATTCTCCGTTGAACACTCTCTGATGTTGAGCAAATGGATGTTGATAGCAATGGGTTGTCCGAGCGCGTCTTCTCCATATTGCCACGATGACGGCGACGACGAAGAAATTGAAAAATTGACTAACCTGTCCCGATCCTTCAACAGAATTCACCGCGTTCTTCATTTTGTCAGCCTCAGCAAGCTGGGGAACGTAGACCAATACAAATGTCCCTTTTGACATCATATTCATTCGATTCGATCCATTCTCATCGTCCGTCTGAAAAAGGAAACCTGTGAATTACTAGGCCCATGTAAGGGAATATGACTTACCTCGCTGATTCCAAAAAGAGCAGCTAGTTTGCCCATGTCTTCTGGATTCTGAACGGTCACAACGTATCCTTCATAATAATCCGGGCCAGTTTGATTTTTGGGATCCCTCCCGACACCGCCTTCAGAAGCCACCACACCTTCATTGGAGCAATGCATTTGTCGGTTGAGGAGCAGGCTGAAATCAAGACTTTTGTGTGTTTGAAAGAAGATGAGAGCGTCGTATGAACACGGCGACAACAATGAAGCCGAATGACTACAAATGAGCGGGACAACGAGATATGGGCGGGGCATGCCGTTGCTATTGGCTCGTTGCGCCACCCTCTCGTGGCGAGGGCAGCGCGCGCGCGAAGCGGTCGCGTGATCGGCAACAACAACACCTGAACAGAAAATCACAGCGGCCCAATTTGGAAATTGATTGAAATGGTCCTTATCATTTATTTCCGGAAGCATTATATAAATAATTGAAACTTGAAACATATTAAAGGAATTCGCAAATCGCACTAAATATGATCGATTTTTGGACAATTGTGCACATCAAAAGAATATGACCATTTTTAGTGAAGAGCTATTTCTTTCGACATTTTAATATCGACTAGTTGACAGTCTGAACGATAGGAAAAATTATGTTGTGTAGATTCTAGTAAAGTGCATTGATAATTTCTGAACATCCCATCTCGTAAGTTAATAGCGTCTCTTTGCGCCTAAGTTTTTGGGAACCCGGGCCGCGCCTACGACACCGCTGCGCGTGACCGCGACGCAATACGTTTCGAAAAATTGTGCGTTGTCGGTTGAGACGCTTTGGTGCATATGATTTTTAATTCGATAAACGCGGCCGCCGGAAAGATTCGTTGATTCCTTCGAAAATGGTATTGTGATTCATCGAATTTAATGAGGAAGAAATGTCGAAACAAGGAAGACGATGAAAGATGCGAATCGAGCAAATTTTGCCCTTAAATACATTATTTTAATGAGGTCGTCATGATGTCGAAAATACATACAATGCCCGTCGACGCACAGTTTTTGCAAAAAACCATTCATAAATTTAATTTTGTTGTCACGACATCAAATAATGACGAACTCTGCCAAAATTATGTTGGAAAATGGCTACAGTCTTCCGCTATTACCATCAACAAAAATGACTCAGAAATTGTGATTTGTTTTGAAAATAGAATAAATCTTCTTCAGGCTGATGAAAAAAATTGGGTTTTTTTGTTTCACAGCTGCAGCTTGCGGATATTTTTTTTGAAACAAATGCGCAATGGACAATAGAACAAAACAGACAAATGATTCTGTTGATCGTAAAGTATACACGTGCGCGGCTTCACATCTGTTCAAGTTAGCAAGATACTGTAATGACCCGAATCGGCTTGCCGCTTCTTGAAAACATATGTCTAGGGGCAGAAATATGAGTACGGTTTTGAGCGGCAAATTTTTTGATTATAAGATAAACTACTTGCCGCAATAGAAGCGGTTTGGCCATAAAGACGCGCATATATCTAAATGCTTTCCCGTTTATATATAGCAGAGCAGAGAATTTGGCAGTCAGCATCTAATGCAAAACAGCCTCGCACTATTATGATACCTTTCATTCAATTTCAATGGCGAGGCTCACCTTCACGTAAGCGTATTATTTGCCAGGCAACAATACTCTATGTTTCCACACTGCACCTCTCAATTATAATAATTTTCCCTAGCATCATGTTAATTTCCAACATGTCACTTTTGCTACATATCTGCCAGCATACCGATTGCGCAACCGCATATGCTCATTAGTTCTCGTTTAACAGTAACAGATACATGTAATTTCATATCTTGTCTATCGAGGTCAGATCGAGGGTCAGCACTAGGGAAAACCAAAATTTTTAAATAAGCACCTTCTAATCAACGAAACATCCGACTCGAGCGAAATTGTTGAGACCCACACGCGATGAGAAAATTGCGTGAAGGTGTGACACAATGCGGCATAACACTTTGATGTTCAAATTTTTGCGCTGCCGCCGCCGACAACGGGCTGCACGCAACTCGTCATCTTTTTGTTATTCAACTTATTCGTTTGAGGGTATTATATTTTGGGAAAAATATTTATTGAAATGATGGACGATTGCGAACAAAATAAATGAATTAAAATGCTCAAGCAATTGTGATGACAGGTGACAATGTCTAACGACGACGAGTTCCATCCTCGATGAAGATTCCACCGTCGATGGCACAGTATCTAAGATTTGAAATGAAAACTGTTGTAAGTCGGAAAACTCGAATTACAATTTAAACTTTATCTAAAGTAAGCGTTAGACAACAATAACGAACGAAGCTCAATTTAATTAGTTAACGGATAATAATAACAATAATGGCTAGTCGGGGGAATGGATAGTATGTGAATACAAATAATAATGAAGCAGCACGGTAGGAAAATATAAACAACAGCGAAAACCAATCAAGTAACTCGGGTCCGGGCCTAAAACAATCCAACAACTCAACTTCGTGTATTTGCGCGCCAACTCTGGTGTGTGTGTAAACACCGTGATATTCACCGTAACCGCAGGATTTAAATTGCTAATATCTTTCTTCATATTTTCTTGCTCCTCGCAACATCTCCCCCGACAAAAGAAATTGGGGCATCCTTGCTTGGTGTTGGCGTTGATGACGTCGATGATATGACGATATAGCGACTGTGCACAATGACCGTTGACTGGTTGCTGACTGATAACTATGGCTGCTGACTGATATAAGTTGGGTCTTCATTGTGGACTGGGATCAAATCGTACGATGGGTTTCCGAACTCTTGCACTGCGTCGTAACCTGACTTCTGGAGCGTCCTGGTTCCGCTTTAGAATGCTTGCGGGTACGTCCTTGGCACGATCCTCAGGGCCTGCCTGGGTGTTCGGTTCAATCTTGGGTTTAACACACACCGTACGCTGGATACCTAGCGCGTCACATACATTTGACATAGATCTACTATCCTCAGGGGGACCTATACAAGGGGAAATATTTTGTCTCTGACCTTTTGTACGTGTTGATCCTGCTGACTCCTTTGCGATTGCTACTGGTATTTGACTGTGACGATGTTTTGAACTTGAGGGTTGACTTTGTCCATGGCAAGACTTCTGGTTGGAATGTTCGTTTGACTTTGGCTTGTCCGGTGGCGAATGGGTATTGTCGTTGTCACTGCTTGAACTCGACTGATTGGTGCACAGATCATTCACTGGATTTCCTGAAATTATCTCATGTGATACGGGTAACATGAAAATATCAGTCATTGTCTCAAACCACCTCTCTTCTGGACTCTTTACCAATCTATTTGGTCTCATTTGATTGGCGTGGAACTTTTTTATGTGTCCTTCATGATCCACCATGTAGATCACTGGTCCCACCACCTTCGTCACTATACCTTCTTCCCAAGTCCATCGATTTCGACGATAGATTTTTACGAAAACTCGATCATTTACCTGGAAGTGTTTCTCTTTAACCCCCCTCCCGTCAAAATGTTCCTTCATGATCCTTTGTTTGTCCGACAAGTTTTGTTGGGACTTTCCTTGATCATTCCCTGGTAACATTAGTGAGAGCTTAGTCTTTAATTTCCGACCTAAATGTAATTCTGCTGGTGAGATACCTCCAATTGAATCCATCGGTGTTGAGCGATAGTATAATAGAAATTTGTCCAGTGTTTCCTGTGATGTGATCCCTTCACCCTTCAACTTCCTGAGTCCGCGTTTGAGGGTATCCACAAATCTTTCTGCCAAGCCATTACTTTGTGGATGATACGTTGGTGTCTTGATATGTTCTATGCCATTCTCCAGGCACATTTTTGATATTTGTTGAAAACCTACTTTGGACATATTCCTTTTTCTCCTGCTCCTCCTGGATTTCCTGGTGGTCCTGGTGGTCCAGGGTTTCCGTCTGGTCCTGGAGATCCTCCTGGTCCGGGTGGTCCTTTTGGTCCTGGCATTCCTGGCCCACTTTGAGCACTCTGTCCATCTGGTCCTGGTGGTCCTGCTGGTCCTGGCGGTCCGGGAGGCCCTGGTTCGGCGCTTCCGCTTGAGCCGCTCTCTCCTGGCTGTCCTGGTCCTCCTGGCTGTCCCGGCTGTCCGTCGTTTCCTGGATTACCTGGCGGTCCTGGAGGTCCCGGCGGGCCTGGTGGAACTGGTGCACCAGGAGATCCTGGCTGTCCCGGTCCTCCAGCTGGTCCTGGCATGCCGTCGGGTCCTGGGGGTCCTGGAGGTCCAGGAGGACATGGTTGACATGGTGGCGGTGTGGATGGCTCACACGGGGCAGCAGCCCCTTTTCCTGGAGCGCCAGGCATTCCTGGTGATCCCGGTTTTCCCGGCTTTCCAGGTTTTCCTGGAGACCCTCCAGGTCCTGGTGGTCCAGGGTTGCAGCAACCCTGGCAGCCGCCGCCTCCTCCGCCTCCGCCTCCGCCTCCTCCTTGAGCATAACCACCTCCACCGCCTCCAGCTGCACCTGAATATCCGCCACCACCGCCTCCGGCGTATGCGTTTCTAGCGGTTCTGTTTTGTGGTACATTAGCAGTGTTTACTTCTGACCACATGTCATGCACGGAACTCTGAAAGTAGTATTATTATATTGAATATTTTCAAAATGATTATTACCGAACAATACGAATACTCTTTGGCCATATGCGACTTTGTGTTCTGCGCATAAGCGTACATCATCGGAAGGGTGAGGCAAAGAGATACTGCTGCCGTAACGGAAAACGCAACAGCTCCGTATGCAACGAAACGGTAGGCTTTGAGGCGAATATCTATGTGGGACTCCATCTGAGAGAACTGTTTCTGCCTGCTGGAAAGTGCAGAACAGTTGTTGCGAATAAGCAGCTCATCACGTATTCCCTTTTATAGCGCCGGTGGCAATCAGTTGAAACCAGTTATTTTCGCTTTGAAGTAGTGCTTCATCAAAACAGAAACACGATTTCGTTTGTCTCTCTTAAGCGGTTCCACAATCACCAATGGTGATACTGCTTTATTAACATTGTTTTCAAATTGTTCTGTTTTTGTATTCGAATTGCATTAATGACGGCCTGTATTTTCGTTTGCTTGTTTTTCTCATTCCTTGCGCGGGCGCATATTCCATTGGCATCTTTTCAATGTTTATGGCGCTCACTGTTTTCGGGCGCTCGGTAGACCGGAGGAGAGTGTACACTATTCGCGCAGAATTATGCAGTTAGGCGAGCGCTCACGTGCCCGCACAACAGAGCGATCCGTTCGAAAGAAAAAGACGTGTGATACAAGAGCGACGAAATCAAAAAAAAATCGAGCCTGCTTAGCCAACAAAAGGGGTGGTTGCAACCGCGTATTGCACATCTCTCCTGCGAAGACATACCAATATCATAGTAATACGGCGCATAATGCGTGGTCTACGAAAATGGGGGTCGACGAAATTAGTTAAACAATCTTAAGGATTCAGATATTATCGTTTTTTTTTTCAAATGTCGTTACTTCAGATGTTGTATCTACTGTTGCTTCGTGCTTCAATCTTGTTTGAAAGTTTGCATTTCGCTTAAAGCATTGAACCGCGATGGCCGTATTACTTCATCAAAAAATTGTTTACGGTGATATTTCTAAGAAATTTCGGTTCATCATCTTTTCTTCCGCTTGCGCCACACGTGAATATTCGGATCATTCAACCATAAATAAGCTCTCTCATGGCTATTTTGGGAATAGGTCGTCAAAGATTAATTACGGTACGTTAAGCTGATAATGACGGCGTCAATTTTCAAACCGGGCAAATTGAACAATTAGGATAATTGTTTTGAGCTACCTGGAAGAGCAGATGGCGGCTCTTCACCTTTGACAGTAAGCATTATATTTCAAAGGATCGACTATAATGTCGGCTAGTTTCAACCCAGATTATCCAGTGCGCGCTGATCCGATTTTTGAATAATGGCCAGTAAACAGGTGGCTCGATGTGGTTTTGCTGTCACTTTCCAGCAACTCCCTGAGCTCGATTTCCTGTTCGCATTCTCATGCTTATTAAACATTTTCAATGCGCATCACCAATCATTTATTTTTGTGAAGAAGGTAGTCGGGTGCTAACGTCGATTGTGCACTGAATAGACTACATGCCAAATCGTGTGATAGGACGCCAAGGAGCTCAAAAGAGCAAAATTGGCTGCGCGCCAACGTTGGTATCACCATTGTTTTGCACTTTCATCTTTCATGGCAGGCATGGGGAGCGGGCCCGCGTCGTCGCGCTTGTGAAGAGAGAATAGAGGGGAGCAGACAAATGTGGGCGCTCGCTAGAATATTCGAAGTGTTGTGTGGGCGAGGACATTTTTGTGGCAAAGTGAAGGCGGTTTGCACGGAAAGTCGAAATATCAATCTTTTTGTGACTTCATTAAAGATTTGTGATTTTTGCGAATGAAATTTTCGAATTAGGACAAGTTAAAAACCAGTATGAAACATCGTTTTGGAATAAATATGGATAACCAAAATAAGTAAATTCCATTGTGACCACAAAAAAACGCTGAGAAAAAATTGAACACTGCTTAGAAAATTAAACAAAGAAGAAAGAAAAACATAAAATTTTATTGAGTAAAACGGAAAAAAATTTTTCCCGCATTAAAATTTTCTCTATTTTAAAAATCTTTTTATATTTTTATACATTTATCTTCAAGCAAAAATTAAAGTGTTTGGGGTATGAGAATGCTGAAAAATAGTAATTTTTGAAGTTAAGTGAAAATTTCAACATTTCCTAAATACTTGTTTTGCAGAATTTTCCCAATTGTCTTTATATCCAGACATTTATTTTTCCAGATCTGGTCACGCCTAGCATGAGCAATACCCCAAAACGAGCATTGTTGTTATACTCGTCTACTTTTTCCCCAACCCTTTATGACTCATAAAATTTACAATTTTCTATTCCATTTCACTGGATCAAATTCAATCACAATCAATTTCCCTATTGGTTTCGTTCAAGATGAAGTCATGTTTTTTTGTCTTCAAGTCATCATCAATTCGATTTCAGTCCGTCAACAATCGTCGAAAACGTATGAAAACTGTTTCAACGAGACGAAAAAATTGCGGAACTAAAAGAAATATAATCAAAATGTTGGAGAATCGTTGAGACTGCAGTAACATCTTTGGATGTGATTCTTTTTTTGCCAATTTTTTTTCAGGAACACTGCGCATTGATAAGGAAACTGTGACCGATGGCGGTTTTGCCAGTATAAAACGCGGCGATTGCCCAATGTTCTACACGACTGTTCTGTCTTTCCTGAAAAGGTAAGTGACGAGTAAGGCAATTTCGGTTTCTAAATTTGCCGCCTCCTATTCAGATGTCGTACGCGGTCGCTATAGCCAGTACTGCGTCCATAATCGCAACCGGACTTCTGCTGATTTCCGTTGGAAGTATCATTTCGGATTTGAACAACTTCCAACTTGAAATTCACGATGGAATGACCGATTTCAAGGTGATGGTGCCCCATAAAGAAAAAACCATGACTGTGTTATTTCTAGATGAAGTCCGATGAAACTTGGTCCAAGATTCTTTCACTTCACACTAACCCAACAGGCGAGACGGCTGCGCCATTGAACTTCAAGACTCTGTTCGGAAGACACAAACGTGACAACAGCCAGTGCAACTGTGGTACTCAGTCTCAAGGATGCCCAGATGGACCACCAGGACCACGTGGACCACCAGGAGCGCCGGGACTCCACGGAGTTCCAGGGCTTGACGGAAAGCCAGGACTTAACGGCGCCAACCTCGTTTACGTTCACCAAACCAATGGTGAATGCATTCCATGCAAGGCTGGAGAAACTGGACCACCAGGACCAGATGGAGAGCCAGGACTTCGAGGACCAGACGGACCACCAGGACCAAACGGAAAGCCAGGATCCCCAGGACCACCAGGACCAGTCGGACCAGAAGGAGAACCAGGAAAGCCAGGAAATCCAGGAGTTCGCGGACCAGCAGGACAGCCAGGACCGAAGGGACTTCGTTACTCTGTTGGAGTTCCCGGAAAGCCAGGAACGCCAGGAACGCCAGGAAAGCCAGGACCACCAGGACCACCAGGAGAGCAAGGCCATCCAGGACGTCTTGGTCAACCAGGAGAGCCAGGACCCGCTGGAAATCCAGGTGTCGACGGACCACCAGGAGACGATGGTGCTCCAGGAGCTCCAGGACCAGATGGAGCCCCAGGAGATGATGCTGGATACTGTCCATGCCCAAGAAGAACTATGTTCGAAGCCTAAAGTGTCCTCGCATTACATTTTTAATGAAAAATTGCATTCCAAAGTACTTGTTATTGGCGAATTGGGCTATAGATAAACGAAGAAGGAAGTAAAAAAAACCTGAAATGAAAACTGGAAAAAATGGCATTGATGAGAAGAATGCAGGAACAAATTTACAAGAACACAACAGAAATTAGGAGAGACGTAAATACTTAGGGTGTAAATGAATGCAAATTGTTATTTTTTTTTTGAAAAACAAAAGCTTCAAATTTTAATCATAAACAGCCTTCGTCTTATTTCCTCGAAAACCGTCTTTCTTATCTCAATTTTTTTTGCATATTACACACACGCCAATCAACTTGTGTACGCTTCCATTAAAAGAAGAGAACACAGAAACGAAAGAGACTTGGAGTTATTTTATACATAAAATGTAAGAGGAGACAGACATTTCCAGAAAATTCACCCTTTTGTTAAATGGAGCTCTGAATAAACAAAGTCGTTTCAAATACCAGTTTTTCCTCATCAACTCTACTTACTACACTGTTCAATAAAGGCACCACAGAGTTAAACTGTTAGTTTTTCAAAAGTGTAGCTATGTTTTCTTATCATTTAACGCATTTAAAGTGTCAACAAATTGCACACACTCTCTAGCTCGCCAATCCACAAGCACCTCGTTCAAAAATCAAACCATTTGTATTGATTTTTGCCATCGCGGCAAGCAAGTTATGGCAATGTTGCATACGGCAATACTTGCTAGACGGAGATGACCTAGAGATACCCGTCCACGCGTTGCTGTTTTCTCTGCGCCGCCGCACACAAGCGTTGCAATATGCATGTGTTTTTCAGGTAATTGATGCTAATAGATGTCATTCTTCAACTCATCCTGTACATATTCGTCATAGCCGAACAAAGCCAGAGTTTATCTCGTCTTCAAAGATCTCTTTCGCCAGAAATAAATCACTTCAAGGTAGTCTTTCAAAATTATTTTTCGTGAAATTAAAAATTTTTACGTAGGCGCACAATTTGATTGAATCTCCGCTCAATGTTTCGTGTTCCCAATCGGTATGCACCGGACCACTTGCTCCAATTTACTGTCATGGACCAATACTCTACGCCGCCTGGCAGTTTGGTCTTCAAAAAAGCTGCCCAGGAAATAGACTCCGATTTCCTGCATCTCAAGTTATCGAGAATTTCAAAAAGTATGCGCTATTTTGGGGAATTTGGCTAATTGCATTCATTTTAGGATTGCATATCCGTTGAAAATTGAGGATTTTAAATCATTTTGTCAGGAAAACTTTGAGAATCGCCCCAATCTTCGCATTGCAACACTTCAGGATTTCATAGATGATCCCAGTTTTTTAAATAGCATTGTCAATCAAAAACACAGGTATATTTTTACGATATCAATCCGCTCGGTTCTAAAATATGCAAACTGACGAAAAAATAATTACGTGAAATTAACAAGATAAAATCTTGTAATTTCGGTAGTTCATCTACATTGTTTTTATTTGAAATTCATCTACAAAGTTAAATTTGAAAGAAACAATTGTTCGCTTTTTCTCTTCGTTCAAATTCCAACTATTTTGATTAAATTGGACAACAAATAATGAGTATTCGAAATTTCAGACAGTTGGCTTCGGAAATTCACAAGAAATGGAAACTTCTTGCTCGTGAGTTCAACGAAGATGCCTTTGAAAATCCAAATATGTCTCCCGTTCTACCAATCAAAAACCCATTCATCATTCCTGGAGGAAGATTTGATGTCTACTTTTATTGGGATTCATATTGGATTGTAAAAGGTTTGACAATGCAATAATTTCTCGGAATGTTCAAAATATCCAAGGACTCCTTGTATCCGGTATGACGAAAACCGTAAAAGGGATGATCGACAATTTTGCCGATATTATTCGCGAACACGGAAGCATTCCGAATTCGGGAGATCTTCAGCTTTCTCAGAGAACCCAGCCCCCGCTTTTCAGTCAAATGGTTTGGCAATACACTTTGCGAACCGGAGAATTCCACCGAGAATGGCTGACGAAAATTGATGACGAGCTGCGATTCTGGGAAACAAACAGGACTATTAAACAACAAGGAAGAACAATGTTTATCTATAAGGTTTGTTGATTATGATAAAATCAAATAACATTTTAAAAATTTGTTTTCAGGCAGTGTCAGATTGTCCACGACCAGAAAATTTTCTGGATGACTACGTCATTGGAATGAAGGCATCAAATCCAACGCAGGTGTGGAGAGCAATTGCTTCAGCGTGTGAATCCGGGTGGGATTTCAGTTCTCGTTGGGTTAATCGAACAGGAGAATGTTTGTCACCATCACGATTATTTGTATGAAAATCAAATGAATTACAGTTGATATGAAGACAATTCATACAGATGAAATAATTCCGGTCGATTTGAATGTTTTCGTCGCCAAAAGTTATTGGATTTCGGCAAAACTTCACGAACATTTTGGAGAAAAACAGTAATTTATTCATAATTATATTTAATCAATGAAAATTGAGAAAATTCATTTCAGATTGTCATTGGAAAACCTGCGAAAATTCGAAGAATTGAAGAACGCGATAATGGAAGTGTTGTGGGATGAGAAAAGGGGAGCATGGTTCGATTATGACATCGTTTTTAGAGCAAAAAGGTATTTTATTGATTTTATAAAATTTTAAAACTTTTATATTTTGAATTTGAATTTTGAAGGTTTTTTTGCAGAAACGTCAATATTTTAACAAAAAGTAGGAAAATTTATTATTTTAGTGTCGACTTCTATCCTTCGAACGTATTCCCGCTTCTCCTTGACGGATTCGAAAAATACGGAGATAACGTAGCCGAATACATCAAAAATGAACAGATTCTCGATTACAAAGGTGCTATCTATATAGATATATATTAGAATAACTCAAAAGATAATAAAAGTTTATATTAGGAGGCGTGCCGACATCTAAAAAGCAAGTCACACTTCAACAATGGGATTTTCCGAATGTTTGGGCTCCAACACAACATTTGCTGATTGAAAGCTTTCTGGCGTCAAATAATTCCTATTTAATTGAGGTTTTTTGAGGAATATGTGTTACAATGTTAAGTATAATTTCAGAAAGGAAAATCTGAAGCATTGAAATTTATTGAAAATGTCTACAATGGGTTGCTGAACCCACCAAAAGGCTTTACTGGAGCAATTTGGGAAAAATACGATGCACGGTCATTGGATGGAGTGCCAGGCGGAGGCGGAGAATACAGCGTAAAGCTGAATGTGTGTGGTTTGACACAGTTGATAATTTTTATAGGTGCAAGAAGGATTCGGTTGGACGAATGGTGCAGTCCTCGATTTGATTTGGATTATGCGACAAGACGTGAAATTGGAAAAACTGATGGATATTCATTTTGGCACCCGAAACCAAAATATTATCTTGTTCTCTTCATTCGCCTTCTGTGCATTTATTATAATATTGTAAGATATTAAATTTGATTCAAAGGAAGATGTGATATTCAGATTCACAACACGAGCATTTATTAAGCGAAGGACACAATCACGAGAAGAACGAAGTGAAAGCCGAGGGCTGTTGGAGGAAAACTCCGACGAAGACGTGTAGTCCGACAAAGACGTGTAGCGATTCGTGCAAACCAACTAACTAGTCACTTCTCGATTTCACATTCCGAAACAGTTACCCGGTATTTAATTTACTATACGGTGATTCTTTTTTTTATTGTTCTAAAGAAATTTGATTAAAATTCATATCTAAATAAATACTTTATACAAGCAGTTTTATTTTCAGTTGATTTTTTTATGTTTTTGAAATGTTTACTCATTCCATTTTGTTTCATTAGGTTTAATTTCGACTTACAATTTTTGCTTGAACTATTTTTCTAGCGTCGTTCAATCTTTCGGCTTACGGAATTTTTATATTGTTCCGGAGTCCGGCGAGTGCTGAACTTAGATTAACGAGCATGTGTTTTGTGTGTAATTATGAGTGAATACATCAAAACACAATCAAAACGTCAAAAAGCAAACACTTTCAGTGAATTTCCGTAGATAAATATTTAGAATTTACTAGTCAATTGTGAAGAATCCACAAGTTCTCGTTAGATGTAGTTGGAATTCAATTGTCCCGCTTTCTTTTTTTTATTATTTCTCAAATCAATCGTCAGTATTTACCAGTATATTCTTTTCGATTGGTTTTTTCTAATGCTTTACTTATTAAATGCTTTGAATTTCAGAGTTTTAATTGGTTTACTTCTAGACATTTTTCTTCTATTCGTTTAGTTATAATTCATTTAATTCCGATTATTTGTTGAAGATGATTCATTACCATTAATGAATAAGAATGGGCTGAAACGATGAGTCTGTGTTACCTTTTTTTGTAATTAAGATCTTATACCGATTGAGATACTAAAAGTTTAAAAAATAGGTATAAAGAAAAGTACACGTAGTGTAAAGTTTTCATGAAAGATGGTAGAAACTCATTTATTCACAATACATCAATTTTAGATATGAATTTAATTTTTAGCATGATTGCTGTGGAAGACTTGGAGGTGGTGATGCTCGGATATCCGGCATGAATGGTGGTACGAGCTCTTCATCTTCAACCAGTCCAAGATCAAGATGACCGAAATCGTGGGAATATTGATAGCAGAACACACTCAGCCATTCGATATCATAAATTGTTTGTCCTTCAGCAAGTCGAACAACCATATGCTGATCGACAATGTTCTGATGCATCGCACATATTCTGTAAAAAAACTCAATAACGTAAGCTAAAGTTTGGTTACCGATTAGGGGTGTCGCGTCCAACAATCATTGCCTTTTTGCCAGATGTCGTATCAATTGTAGGTCCAATTCCAGCAAAGAAGTATCCGTCTTGAAACGTATTTTTTTTAATTAACGTAGGTGTTTAGTACCAGGAGTCTCTGACGCCTTGTATGAAAAATTTGGTATTCTGAGAGTCTTCGAATCGAGAACTTCAATCGGTTCCGAGAAAATGCCGTATTCGCCAAATAATCCAATGTCAGATTCCCTCTCGAAACAGCAGAACGGTTTTGGTGCCGGTTTGTCGATGTTAATTGATGCAATTGTTCTCTAAAAATATATTGGATCATCGAAAAAAAAACGTTTTCAAAAGAAAATTCAACTCCATTAGTGCCGATGACTGCAAATTGTTTCCACTGCGCAGCTGAGCCCGGCAATTCAAGAACAAATCTGACCCCACTTCTTCTGTTTCCTAACGAACTACTGAATCACAATTGGCTAATAGAAAAAAAAAATAATTCAATAATATGGAATACAGTTTCAAAAGCCAATCGCCTGCTGGCGATTCTAAATATTGATAGACATTGCTGGCCAATGTTGGTTTGCCGAATTGATCAAGAGTTGCAAATGGAAGGGGTGCCAGTTCTGAAATAATTGCAGAAAATAAGTGAAATGTTTGCTAGTTTAATTAAAATGTCTCATTTCTACAATCTCTCAAAAAATAGTTATTTGACGAAATTTTTTTTTAATAAGAATTAATATTTCTTAACGGCAATACGCATTTTATTTATTTTTCAAAACAATCTTATCTACCTCCTGTTTTTGTTCTGAAATTGACAACTTGAATATGGCTGGTGTTCACCAGATAAACCTCTGCTTCTATTCCATTCGTCGAAATTGAGCCAATATAGTTGCCATAATACTCAATACATTCTCCGAATTGAACTAAAACGCAAATATATTAATGGATATTCTATAATCGGATTTAACCTAAAATTGATAACGATAATACTACGAAAAGATATCCGCGGTGCGACATTTGAATAAGAGGCGAGAATAAATGCCGAGAAATTTGTTTTGTTCAGAATGACCTAGATGATAACATTGGACTAGGCTGTAAGCATGGTCAATGAGAAACTGGTTTCGTGCAAAACTTCCAATTGCGTTGTAATAGCTGAAAGTTCCGTTCATTAACAAAGTAATGGTCTTTTTTTTTGGCCGGTCATTGTGTCATTGTATGGGCTATTGAATTTCGCATTTGGCCATCGGCGAACTTTAACGCATCATGATCAATTTGGGCACGAGAAACCGAAAACGAATTCGAGAAATATCGCCAATTTACATGTCACTCTTTGCGCGCATTCTTCCTCTTTTTTTCATTAGAATTGCTGGGTGCGTTTCTAGATGGATGGGAAGTTCGTTTTTTGTGTAGTGCATGTTCAATGTACTTAGAGGATTGAATGAAACAAAGAAATAAATTTGACGCAAAGAAAGTTCAAGTATCAGAGCACTCAAAGGAACGTGAATATCTGAAATATGAGCTCCCCTAAGCTTCATTTTTTTGGCGAAATTCATTAAACACATATATATAAATTTGAAACATTTGCAGAAACTTCTAGAAATATAAAAGCACAATGAGAAAATAATCCGATTTAAAGAGGGGAATGGAGCCAGATCTCATTATAGATGCATTCGAGAATCTCGTAATTATTTATAACTAAAATTTAGGACCACTATTTACTGAATTCGTACATAAATTAGTATATATGTATACATAGACATTTGCATGCAATATTGTCAAAAAATAATTTTTACACAAGAATACCATTAAATAAGAAACAATGGATGTTATTTTAAAACTATGACTTTGTAGTAGCTTCATTTTCATGATTCTCTAAAAACAGCTTGTGTCATAATATCGATTATACACGTATGTCATTCCATATTCATTTTTTTGGAAAAAAACCGAGTGCAATGTTTCATATTTATGTCCACAGAGTTTATAAGTGTTTTTTGCTTTTTTTTTCACAATGCTTATTTTGCTGTTAAAAAAAAGTTTAATTTTTTTAAGAACTCAAAAAGGAGATAATTTGGTGTGATGGGCTTAAATATTTAGTTTTTTTTCCAATTTCATCTTCATATGCGGATATATCATTTCATGAGGAGTGCTTTCAACAAATGGCATGAATCCTTTCAACACATTAAATAAAGTGTGGGTTCTCATTAAATCGATACGTTTTTCCCTTCTTTCAATTTGAATAAAAGCCTGGGAGGGGCAAAAACACATTATTCAACAGCTGCTCACTTTAGGGGCTTCCGATTGTGAAAAATGAACGAGGCTCAGAGTTCTTTCTTTTTTTGCTTCTTTTCCTTCTTTTTTCTTTTTTACGCAATTCTGACAGAATATTTCTATTTACATAATCCATGCTGCGTAATCATGGGCGTTGGTGGAAGCTTATTGGCTCATGTAGCATCCCAAGTGTACATCATTAATTACCGCATTTCCTATCGAACCCCCCCCCCCTCCCCCGTTTTTCGTGCTCGTTCCACCCCAACGCGTACTCTCTCCGGGATTTGGTTGCTCTTTTCGCTGACTGACATTTTTGCTGTTTCATGCACATGCACACATATACAAACCCAATGGCCATTTCCACTTCAACATGCACAATTGGCTCACACATTAATTCACGTTTCTAATTCAAGCACATTCATAAATATGAGGCCAATGCTCAGGGTTCTCGCACACTCAATTTCGATACGTATTGGTCCGTTTTGCAAATGAGGTGCTGCTTCAGCTCTCAGGAAGAATTTGAAATGAAGGCCTTCGCATGCAAATTAGTGATTTTGGAGGCGAACAATAGTGTAACAAATGTCGACAGGTCGGCTAACAACAGAATACGAAATGATTCAATTCAGAAGCGTCCAAAATTTTATTTCTTGCCGTTACCGGTGTCACGGCTAAACGATTTTGTTGTCGTATTCTTTTTCATTTTTGCAAATGCATGCTTGTAGCAATTTCTCATGTTTTGTTTGCCTCATTGTCCGAATAACGAGTCCCCATAGAGAACCTAAATTTTCAGTTCAGTTTTAAAGAATCTCCATTAAGCTAGATAATGAATCGATTATCATAGTGAGTGATAGATATTTTTCTTTAAATATCTAATGCAAATTCCTTGCTGAACCAAATAACAATATTTTCATTCAAAACGAAATGTGAGAATCTGTCATTAATTTTTAATTAATTTTCTTTTTCGATTTCTATAGGTTGCATGTGTATTCTTATATATTTCATCGTGCCGAATCTGAAATTTTGTTTACATGCGACAAAGTTTTGGATTTTCACAAAAAAAATTTGGTTGATATTTTTGAAAACGTAAATATATGCAAACAAGTATAAATTTTCTACAACAATTACACTGCCGTGAAATTTTCTCTCGATGAAATTTACAAATTTTTAAAAGAAATATAAATGTTACGATATTTATTATAAAAATCCTTGTCGAAAGTTAAAAGAATAAATCTGTAGAAATCCATAAATTATGTCATTGTGTTGTTGCACTTTTACTTTCCAAGATTGAAATATCACAAAAATATTTTGTTGCGTTTCTAATCCTTCAATTGTCTAAAATTTCTAATCATAATCCAACTTCTCAGCCTAACCGTGCAAGTTGATTTGCTTCATCCCATGGCTTATGAATTAAATTTTTTCTATTAAATTGAGGTCAGCAATGCTTCAAAATAAGTATTTTCTAGTGATTAACATGGGAGTGTGTTTTGAATTGAAACTACAAACACCTCAAAAAGTATTTGTTTCGCTCATCGTAATATATTTTTGTAACAGTCCATTTCTTAAAAAGAGCTTGGCGACGAGGAAATGATGAAAAGTTTTGCGCGGATATGAGCACAGATACAATCATGTTTCTCTTAATGATGCACCACGCATCCTTTGCATAATTGGGATCATGTCTCAACACTACTTCTCCGAGTTGTTTTTGCAAAAATCGTATAGTTTCTAAATCCTTGTTATATAAAAAGCCGTTTACTGGAATATTGTTAAGTCTGGATAATATGTTTCTAGTTGTTCTATGTAATGAATTAAATCAGTATTTTGTTATTTTGTCAATATTAACTTGTTTCGAATATTTGGATACATAAAATTAAGAAGCTATCAAGAGTGATATTTTCGTCTTAATTTGGAGCCAAATTTATTCATAGAAATGTATTTTATGGACACTCAAGTTTTCGTTTAATTTGAAATGGCAATTCGGAAAAATTGTTCCAATTTTCTTTGAAGCTATGAAATTGTCGAAAAAATTGATGATTTTCTATTCGCATATTTAATGACTTTCCTTCATTTCGTTATGCATGCTTTGAACGTTTCAACTCAATTGTACTTCACGCATAGCTTATTATTTTAATTGAAGCGAGCGCCTCGGGATGGTCGCTCGGCTCAGATCCGATTTTTGCCGAAATTCTTCTTCATTTCTTCTTCTTCTCACGCGCACTTCCTCAAAATTGTGCACTACTGGTGCGAGCATAAGTAGTAAAGCGAGCGTGTGTTCATTCCGAACTGATGACTCCTCTTTTTCGCAGCACTTGGTCTTCTTGGCCAGGATATGGAGAAGAAGTGGAATCGACCGCGGGGGGGAGGGTGCCGCGAATGTCGTCTGAGAAGCATTGAGGAAGACCTGAAAAACGAAGAAGAAGAAGAAGTGTGCATGCATCACGTCGTCAGGCTGCGCAAATAGCGCGCAGGCTTCAGAGTGGCTGACGGACGGCCTCAATGAGCGCATGCACACCCATATATGCTAGCCTCCAAGACACGCATACAACTCAGGCCCGAAAAGCGTACTGCGCGCATAGCATGCCAGATGTCTATGTTCTCTAGTTTTCAGTATTTTGGTCCATTTCTATCCAGTTTTTGCTTTCTCATCCATCTTTTCCACCTTCTTCTTCTGCTCCAATGTTTTCACCCTCTTTTTTGGAGATTTAAAAAAAATAAAGAAAAGAAAAGAAGAAGAAAAGCGAAACGTCATTCTTTTTATCGGTTGTTGAGTCTGCCTATTAACAAGTCGAAACTTTTCTTTTAATTTTTTTTTGCTAAATAGTACTATTCAGTAATTTTTTTAATTAATGCATTATAGAAATTTACCGTATTTGTTGTTTGAATTTAGTATAACGTTGATATTTATTCTGAAATAAATTAACATTTCCAAATTAAATTTATTTTATGCAAACTGTGATAATTTCGTGAAATTTCATATTGCAAAACAATTGCGTAAATTCGAAACTTGCCACAGAATCGATTAAAAAACGCAAATGTTTTTAATTATTTCCCGTCTACTTTATTTTCATATAACAAAAAAAACTTATTTTCACGATACCTTAATTGGCTAATTGTATGAACAGAATGCCTTGGAAAATAACAGTTGTTACACCGATTGACCCAACGGATTAATTAAATTTTACCAATTCAATCATGCTCGCCATATGCTGTGGGTTACTTACCATTAATGAGAATTCTAATAATCGGCATGTACGCAAAATACGAGAATATTTTCTTGCTCGATTACATTATTAACGATTTCAGGCAAAAAATCCATTTCAACTGTTCATAGTTTATTTGTTATGAAACATATTTAGAAAATGAGTATTATTATGAAAAATCGATTTTACATATAATTTCGTAACATTGAAATGTTGAAAATTTCACAAAGCGCTTTTTTTTTTCATTTTTTGGCATACCACTTTTTTTGAAGAAAAATAAAAGCATTGAATCGGCCAGCAATATAAATACTCCATGAAATATCCCATAAAAAGCCTAAAAAATCAAGCGAAAAAAACTTTTTTCTGTAATGCTCAAGCTTCCATGAAAATCATTTGGTTTTTATGGGTGGCGAGACCAATCCGTCGGAAAAAACCACTTTCTCGAAATGTTTTTATAGGATTTTATTCAAGATTGGTTGCCGAGCATCTCCAGATTTGGCAGACTATCTCCAATCGGGATTCCAATTTTTTTTTGCATCGTTTTATGAGTGGTCCCAAGAGTCGAAGAAGCATCGACCAATGCGAAAAACGGAAAAACTCAGCCAAATTCATTGGCTGAAAGAGTTGCGCGCCCGGCGACTTTTGTGTCGCGCGCACTTCGTTTTTTCTTCTTCTTCTTCTTCTTCTTCTTCTTCGTCTTCTTTTTCTTCTGCCTTCAACTCCATTTTCCTTCTTTCACACCGCGCTTTTTTCGATCAGCCCTCCTGCTGTTGAAGCTTTTCATTGGCGACGACACAGAAAAAATGTCGTCGTGGGGGGGGGTTCATCTGGCGTTATGGATAAAATAGTAAATCGCAAACTATTTTAAGATAATGCACAAATATGTCCTCAGTATAGCCATAAACATAATCCATTTCAAGATTCCAATAGCTTGGATATCGTATTAGCTTTGAAATATGATATTTGAGACTTTCGCAGGCAGGGCGACCGCCTTCAGAGCCTTGGAAACATCTAGGAAACAGGAATGTTCAGCTAGGGAATTTTTTTGAAACAATCGTATTGATATCCTGACGTCACAATTTTTAGGAAGTATTTTTCGAAACTTTAGCCCACTGCCGTTTTTCTTCTAAAAAAAAGTTGTTAGGAAACAAGCTGAAATTAAAGAGTATAATTCAAATGTGTCTCGAGATATTGCGTGCTTTGTCCGCTCTGCGCGGCATATTTAATCAAACTGTTGCCCATGTTTATTTTGAGAATATTTTATGACTTTGTCGTATTGTCCTTGTTCAACTCAAAAAGCGTTATATTTGTTGTTATTTCAGGTGGTCCATAACCAATAGGAACAATCAAAATTTGTATGACAGCGCTCGCCGAACGGGCGACGTTCGCATATGTTTGAAGCTCTAAAGGTAAGAAAAAACGACTATACTTCTGATGCCAAATGTTGCTATAGATTTATTTTGAATCTTGGAGACATTCAAAATATGATGCCAACATCAAGTTTTGTAACAAAAATAAAAATAAATGCTCCCTCGTTCCGACACAACTTGACCTCCCCAACATTTCATACTATAGAAAATTTTCAGAAAATTGCTTTAAAATTTATTTAAAATCCGATAAAACAGCTTATTAGATAGAAGTAGGCAAGAAAACATTTGAGAAATCTCCCGCAAATTGTTTTTATTTCGAATATTCAATGAAATATTGTCATAGCATGATGAGAGATTTTATAAAAATAATGGGAATTACGAGAACTATTTGTGGGTTTGTTCAAAATATTCTTTGAAACGCTATTGGACCAAAAGTAATGAATAAGGTATCGACGTCAATGTTAATATTACGATCACCTGCTTCATCCCAAAAATTTATTTTAATCGTGATATTTTATTTCAACGTTCATTATAATCATTTCATATCTGTTTTGATTCACTCGGTTAGTTTTTTGATAAAATCTCTTTTTACCAAAAAATAGCGAAAAAGTTTAAAAGTAATTACCTTCATATTAATTTGCTTCTCCAAAATCGCGCTGTTTGCTTTTTGTGCAATTTTTACTATAGAATTATATCTTATTTTCGCTCGGCTTCGTTGAAGAAAATTATATGCTAGTGTTATTTTCATAAAATAAGTGGAGGAGCCATATTCAAGAATCCGCATTCGATTTTTCAATAAAATGACAATACACTATTTGTCCACAAAACCATAATTTAGTGAAATAATGTATAGTACATTTTCTTAGAAAATTCATCATCTTTTTTTCCTTGTATGTCTTTTCTAATAAATGTATTTAATAAAATAGACACTCTTTCATTGAGATTAAGCTTTTAATGGAAAAAAAAACTTATTTTGTGAATCGTAATCTAGAAAACACTCAAATACTCGTAGTCCATTCCATTTTTGCTGAATAAGATTAAGATTGTACGAAACAAATGAAATGGATGTCATTGGACGTCGGAGAGCCGGAGCATGGTGTCCATTATCTATCAACCAAAGGCACTTCTTGAATTGGATTCCACAAATCACTTTCAACGAGCTTCAATGTGTTTTTTTTGCGTTGCACAAAAAGAGTCTTTGACAAATCGGTTCGAACCTAATCAAGATTTTATTGCTAGTAGCGTGGCAGTATTGTGGTGAGCCACAAACACATTCTCGTGCTTTCGAAATGTTAAAATTTGTGAAATCAAAACCGTCCACCAAAAAAAAGAAATGCTTGTGAGGTAATTTTTATTTGCTTTCACGTGTTTATAATAATCGTTATTGAGCGACTTAATTAATACATAATAAAAGAGTATACTAGAATTCTGAGTAGATTTATGGGATTTGCAAAAAATCTGCTATGATGTCGTTATACGTATGTGTCCCCCCCCCTATATGCGTATATGCTGCCTAATTGATTATTTTTCCTTCAATTTAATGTTTGTGCATTATTTCAGGAAGTTCTCGGTGAGATAAACAACAAGTTGGCGGTTGTGAATAATGAGCTGAACTCGAAAATGTCGGAAAATCTCGTATCTCGTCCGGCACCTTCGCCATCGCAATACTGCGGGCCGTACAAACTTGAGAAAACACTTGGCAAAGGTCAAACCGGTGAGTTTCCGTTTCATTTATTGGATGAATTAATGCATCTGCGGGCACGTGTCACCTCATCATCCTTCTTCTTCTTCTTCTTCTTCGTTTCCTGACTCATTCCCTTCTCATGGGGAGCATTATTCACAGTAGCGACGAGGGCGATTCACGAAGGGATACATACATTTTTGCATAAGAAATGCCTCAGTCATAGAATCCGGGAATTTAGTGTGAAAATGTTCATGAATTGTGGTCCCGTGAAAAAATGTTTCAATAAAGGTCAACTCGCGCACGCCAGCAACTCGATTACGTAATTATATATTTCTATATCTTTGGTGGGAAAAGTTTTTTATTGAAATTCTTAACGGGGTCTGGACAAATTTAATTGAACTATATACTGCTGCTTTAAAAACTAAAATATACCATAAATGATATATTCGAGGAATCATTAGATTTTTATATTAACTTTGGTTTAATTATTCAGATATTCTATGTGACATGAAAGTAATTTTGTTATATAGGAAGAAATTAAGGTGGAATAATGTTATTACTATTAATTCCAGTTATTCTACTTGTATACGTCAGCAAATCCATTTGCAATGTCATTCTTCCCGTCTGCTATTTAGCAACAAGCATTAGCAAAATTTTTATCTCGACCGAATTATTATTATTTTTTCCTTTGCCAACCATGTTTCAAGCTGTTTCCCATGAGGATTTCTTTGAGGCTGCCGCTTCACATGCATGTGAAGCAAAAATTTTAGAGCAAAAGAAAAGGGAAGAAGGAGGAAGAAAATGGAGCAATTGAGAGAATATATATGCAGATGGGTGTTATGAAAAGCCTAGTAGCCTTAGGGTACCACGATCAGGGTCAATATTCAGTTGAGGGAGCGAAAATATGTTAGACAAAATATTTTGAAACGTTTTCCAGGTTTGGTGAAAACGGGAACACATTGTATTACGGGCCGCAAAGTTGCTGTCAAAATTGTGAACAAGGAGAAGCTCAGTGAATCCGTATTGCAAAAGGTTGGTGTTCGAATTTATTTGTTTCGTCGTTTATTTCTTGAAAACTCTGTCACTCGCGCAACAAAAATCATTCTTGGAAACGTGTAATTTCGTTCGTTTTTGCCTTCTCGCGCATTCGTTGATAGACGAGCTTTTGAGACTCAAATGTAATCCTTTTTGAAAAGTCGATTTGACGTCGCAGCCGGACGCAGTCATTTTTCAAACTTCCACATTCGACCACGCTTTTTACTTTTTTTCCCTCCCACAATTCTCGGAAAATAAGGGAATGAAGGATCACACTAATCAATCAAAAATAAAAAACGAAGATTGAAGGAAATATAGTGGATGGAAGATTTATCATGGGTTGAATTGAATCGCATTAATAAAGAGGTTGACATTTCACAAGAAAATTATTACTTTTGAAAAAGAAACCCTTAATTTTAAAAACAATAAAAACGTCATAGTTTTGAGAAAAAGCAAGTTTTTTTTTGAGTGTTTATAGTTTTCCTTCTGAAATTTGTCTAGCGTCATATTTATTTATACAGCATGACTAATGCATTGAAGAAGCTAATTTTAAAACATAGATTATAAAAAATAAGTTGTTCTAATTATATAAAACATTCTCAACTCTAAAAAAATTCAATTGATGAGGAAATTTTCACAATTTTCTGTCACGAAAGTGTCGAGATTGCTGTTTGATTTCTATGCGCCTCCACCCTCTCATTTGTCTGTGTTAACAATGCGCGTTGGAAAAACAACGATTCTGTTGTTGGCCCACACACACACGTATACAACAACAGTCTCAATGCCTACCAGCGCCCTTATAGCTCAGTGGCAGAGCGTTGGTCTTGTAAACCAAAGGTCCGTAGTTCAATCCTGCGTGGGGGCACAAGCCTTTTTGCGAATTTGATATTTTACAGGTCGAAAGGGAAATTGCTATAATGAAACTCATTGAGCATCCACATGTTCTTCATCTTTACGATGTTTATGAAAACAAAAAATATTTGTGAGTTACATAAGAAAAATAAAGCGATATTGGGATTTGATGCAGATATCTTTTGTTGGAACACGTAAGCGGTGGAGAGTTGTTCGATTATCTTGTAAGAAAAGGACGTCTAATGTCAAAAGAAGCGCGAAAATTCTTTCGTCAAATTATTTCAGCTCTTGATTTTTGTCATGCTCATAACATTTGGTAAAAACAGAAAATTTTGAAAAATTTTGAAATCATTTTATAGTCATCGCGATTTGAAACCTGAAAATTTGCTGTTAGACGAGAGGAATAATATAAAGGTTGCCGATTTCGGAATGGCATCACTTCAAGTAGAAGGATCAATGCTTGAAACCAGTTGTGGCTCACCTCATTATGCATGCCCTGAGGTTATAAGGGTAAGCTGTTTATAACAATTTTTCTTAATATTCTTGTTTATCGTTCAGGGTGAGAAATATGATGGGAGAAAAGCCGATGTTTGGAGTTGTGGAGTAATATTATATGCATTATTAGTGGTAAATGTCGCACTTGAAATACTCGTACTCAATTTATTTTAAAGGGAGCTTTGCCATTTGATGACGACAATTTGAGAAACCTGCTTGAGAAGGTTAAGAGAGGTGTTTTTCATATTCCCCACTTTGTTCCTGCCGATGTTCAAAGTTTGCTGAGAGCTATGATTGAAGTTGATCCCGCTAAACGATATTCGGTTTGCCGGAAATAAGATTGCACAAAAGAATTTGCGATTTTTAGCTAGCCGAAGTGTTTCGTCATCCTTGGGTTTCTGGCGCGTCAAAAGGCGATCCTGAGTTGGAATTGCCAATGTCACAAGTTGTCCAAACTCACGTTCTTCCTGGAGAAGATAGCATTGATCCTGACGTTCTGCGACATATGAATTGCCTTGGATGCTTTAAAGATAAACAGAAACTTATAAATGAGCTTCTCTCACCGAGGCACAACACCGAAAAAATGGTGTATTTCCTGCTTCTTGACAGGAAACGAAGGAAGCCGGCACATGAGGATGATACTGAAATTGTTCTTCGAAGTGCTGCTCATATGAGCGATCCGCCAAAGAAGAGAACCGACACTACAAAAACAATACGATATCCGGTCGGTAGCATTGCTGACGGAAGTCCAATTAATCCGCGGAAGTCATATGGAAGAAGTAGCAAAACAGGAAGGCATTCGAGCCTTGGAGGCTCCCCCACTGAGTCACCGCGCAGCTCCTCAAGAGATATGTTCGGTAGCTCGGGACCGTATTCGGCGAGAGGAGGGCCAGAAGATAGAGAAAGAGGAAGATCAGTATCGAATCGCACTAATAATAGCTACCATTACTACACACAACCAGTTGATCCTCAAACATTGGCAGAAGCTGCTAGACAGGTCAGAGAAGTTCGAGAGCAGGAGCGTCGTGGTAGCCGAGATAGTGGAAGAAGTGTATCAAGAAAAAGTAGCAAAGATGGAAGAGTTGAAAAGGAAACTCCGAGTACTTCGATTAATAAGGATGATGTAAGAATATCAGTTTCGTGCTTCTTTGGAATTAAATTTTTTAGCAGCATAAATATAGTCCACCCTCAAAAATGTCTGAGTCAGTGGTTGTGGTTGGAGCTGGAATGGGATCCAATGTGTCATCTACTAACAGTTTGATTGCTGGAAATAGTCAAACCAGCATTGGATCAAGTAGCGGTCCGTGGCGCTCAAAGTTGAATAATATTAAGAACTCATTCCTGGGAACTCCGCGATTCCACAGAAGAAAGATGTCGAATGGAACTGCTGAGAGCGATGGAGAGGATAGTCAAATGATTGACACTACTGAGTACCTCATTTCAGTCAATGTAAAAATTAAACGCGATATTTCAGTCTTGTCAAAAAGTCATGGTTTGGATCGCTTGCTTCCAGTATGAGTGTGGAAAGGGAAGACACTCATTGTGTTCCAGTTCAAGGCAAAACTTTAAATGGAATCAAGGCTGAACTCATTCGTGCGTTCCTAACGGTATAGCTCGATTTCAGAGTTAACAGAAAAATTGATAGTTTTTTTTTAGATTCATGAATTGAGTCATTCCGTAGTTGGGCAGAACTCATTCCGCGTTGAGTACAAACGGGGATCAACAGTTGGTGGAAGTGTGTTTAGCAGAGGTGTTAAGATGAACGTAAGAAGATAACTGTTTGTCTCATTTTTTTATATAATGAAATTAAGGTTGATATAATTGCGTCACCACAGCAAGTGATGACTGGAGATACACCGACATACGTTGTTCAATTCACACTTCTTGCAGGTGCTATTTTCACAGTGAAATTTAGAGCAATGCCTATTTAATTTTTTAGGACCTGTTCGTCGATTCAAACGCCTTGTTGATCACTTATCAGCAATTCTTCAAAATTCCACACAGCAACGGTTATTAGTGGAAGTTGACAACGGATCTCAACGTGTTTTTTTTTTCAGTGCTGAACGGCAGCAGCTTGCGGCATTGATGGTTAGACCTCGCAGACTCAGCGATTCTAGTGTTGGAAGTGCATGTTCAGATAGTGAAAGTAACGCAAGTAGTATCAATATGATAACTAGACATAATGTATGATTATTTTTAATTTTTTTTTGAAAATCAAGTAACTATTAATAGGATAAAGCTGAGACGCATTCAATGAACGATCCGTATAGCCAAAGTCCTTCAATGCGTTCCGTAGGAAGCAGTACAGGTAAAAATTAAAGTTACATAAAATTCAAATAAAATCTCGGAGAGTGTTTCTAACCCTCACAATGCTTCATTAATTCCTAATATGCTTATTTAGGAATTCCATCGTAACTCATTTATCAGGTAAACCCACGCTGTTTGCACGCTTTTTCTTCTTTTTTCAATCAATACATAGTTTTCTTTAATCCCCTTTACTAATGAAACTATTAAAAAAGTGTTAGTCAATCAACAGTAAAATTATCACTAAAATCCCTAATTTAAAAATTGTTGGCTTTCCTTTTTTGCTCACGTATTTGAAAAGTGTCATGTATGGTTTTTTTGGCGATTTTGACAAGTTTGTGCTGGCAACCAAGTGATGTTTTAAACCATGATGATTCCGTTTTAAAGCACGGTAGATGAACCGAGTGAGAGCCATTTAGATTTAGAAAGTGGCCTGTGATTTTCATTTAATTTTCGTGATTCCCTTTTGAGTTGGGACGTTTCAGGTTCATACAAATCGCCAACTCCCCACCGTCGTAATACAACTGCACTTGTTGATAGAAATTCTTCAGTGAATGCCGCTTCAGCATCATCGTCGCCATCGGCGCATCGTTATTCGAGTGCTGCAGCGACGACCGCATATCCATCAGCCTCGGACTACTCCTATCATTCAGATTATAAGCAGCGGTAAGAAACAAACTACAAACGACTTTTTTGACTATTGTTAAATAATAGAAAAATAAGTTTATTTTGTGATATTTATATTTTTAGTGTATTATGATTAAGCTTTCATGTTCAAAAAATCTATTAAATTAATTAATTAGTATTACGCTCAATAAACAATGGTATTCAATAAGACAAAAAATCATTAATAATTTCTTTTTGATATAAAATAATAGTTAAAAATTTAAAATAAATTAAAATAATTTTTTACGTCATTTGAGTTGATTGATTATTAAATACGATAAATCAACTCTGGATTTTTGAATTAAGAGCGACCAAAACTAATTTTTTTGTAGCAAAACTAATTTTTTGTAGTATTTATGTTTTTCTTTCAGCGGCTCTTCCACAAAGGCTCAATATAACACCGGATCTCAACGCGGCTATGCATTTTCAGTATTCAACAAAGCAGACAATGTTTAACCACCAAGTTGCCTAACATTATTCCGATTACCAAACATCATCAATTAATCGAATTCCACAATCCACAGCCAAATGCTTTTTAACGTAAAACTAAAAAATGAAAATGAAAACTTTAAAAAAAGTATCGTGTGTTTCAAGTATCTTATCAAATTCTCGTAGTTCACTTTCTGTAATTCTTCACTTTATTTATTTCTGACCCTTTCCTCTGCATCTTAATTTATTGTTTCCTTTAGTTTCTTTTTGCTCATTTCGGTTCTTTGCAACATTCCCATATATTCGATGTATCATTTATTCATGTTTTAAATATAGACCTGAGCGATTTTGATTCTTGTGTTCTTATTCACTCCCCCTCCCCCTTAACCCGTTCCCTTAAACTTAACTTGTCACATCTGAAAGGTTAGAAATCTTTTCATAATGGATTGCGGAATGATTTTTTGTATCAATGGCATAATATAAGGCTTATTGACTACGGTGTGTTCAAAATTCCTAGTCCTCTAGTCCTCCTAACCCATTTTGTTTAAAGAAATACCCTCCCCCTAATTCAATATAACTGAAACAATCCTAATGTTCATTTCTTCTGGTCATTTTTCGGTTTCCGTTGTACTCCTTAGATGTCTGAATATTTTACATGAAATGAAAACATAATATTTCTTTTTTATATTAATCATACTATATAATAAATAATAAAATGTATCGGAAAAACAGTTTCGTCAGTTTCTAGTGTTTTTCTTATCGCTCGGATCCGCAAAAACGTTGTGTCTCGTCAAAATCGGAACTCGAATGCTCGACATTTCTTCGCCAGTTATGATCTGATTGATCTTCAACATTTATGCAAATGTATTAGGACTAGATATTAATTTCCAGAGAACATTATAACATAAAATTCGTTATATAAAAATAATTTTATTTTGACAAAATATCAATAACAAAAAAAACGCGGAAATTAATTTCTAGACTTAATAGTTATGTCTTTGCTGTTCTTCCAGTTATTGAATCCCATTGTCATTGAGACAATCTTATTTAAAATTTAAAAATCAAAAATAATATAGTCAAATTTTTCCTTGGATTCTAATACTGAAATTGAATTTGGCTATAGTATTTGTTTGAGTTCATAACGAACATAAAGATAAATATTTGAAAATTCTATGTTTTAACCGATTTGCCCAATTATCATATCAAATTTCACGTCACAATCCGTTATTTATTGTTTACAAAATAATTGTTTTTTTTTTACGTTGTAGAGCGTGAAATTCTGTCCAATTTCCTTTTTTTTTAATCATCGAAATTAATGGGAAACAAAAAAGTTTGAGCTTTTGAAAGCTATCACATAGCTCACCGTCACTCTGAAAATGCTCGAATTCTTATATGCAATTTCAGTCTTGGCGAAATGTGCCGGTGTGGTGTAATGGATAAAATGTGCGATCAGTGATCGTGGATCGTGGACATCTACACCGGCACGTCCCAATGATGGATGAGTCCTCGGGCCAAAAGGTGGTAACGTGGCACACCAAAATGTACATAATGGAAAAAAACAGTTAGAGTGAAGGGGGGACGACTGAGGGACCTTTTTGCCTTTTTGATCCCTACTTTGCTGTATACGGAGGGTCGTTGGTTCAACCCCGGTTGCCTCAAATTTTTTTTTCGACATCAAAAGTGCGTATAAAAATAGGTTTAAATATTAGGAAAGGCAATTCTAAAAGTAGAAACACGATTCAAAGTCCGTTTTACACTATCTGAGCTACAATTAATGAATCTGAATAAGGGCAGGCAATGTAATTTTTAGTCGGTTCGGGCCGAAAATGAAAGCACGTATAAAAATAAGTAAGAATAATAGCAAACATTATGAAATTGATAGAAAAATTATCAAATCCGGAGCGTCTAAAGTAAACGATTTAAAAGAAAATGGGAACCTTCATAAAGCTTAATAGTTCTATTTCGTTCGTTTTTTTTATTATTTTTATGCCGTCTACTGCTAACCCTCCTGTTTCAGCAAATTTTTGAAGTTGGTTTTTGCTCAATAATCTGCTTGGGGTTTACGCGAAATCGAATTTATTGTTGCGACAAAAGGCGTCGATTTTCGTACCCAAACGGATAAGAGAGGTTTTCTCAATGGCGTGACTCTGGGAAAATTGGAAAATGTGGAAAAAGAGTAACTATCCTAAAGTCTTTGATAGATTTTGAGAAATACCGCTGTTATTGATAATTTTGCCATCTTGGTCCGATCTGCGAACGTCAAAAAACATATATAAAAACGGTCATTGTGACGTGACCCGCTCAAAACAAAACGAAGAAATGACACTGTAATTAAAAACTGAATGATTTACAATCTCAACGTGACCAGCAGAACTTTTTGCCAGAATTTTTGAAAATAATTGTCTGAGAATTGTGATATACATATTGCGTTAATTTATTCATTATTTCCGACACGTATGTAAAGGAAATTGAAATGAAAAAATTTGATTTTTTAACAATATATTTATAAAATGTTTGCCTTTTGAAGAAACTAGTTGCCTTCGAATTTTTCGATGATGCCGTATGATTGGAGTGTGAATATGCTGGTTACAAGTATCGTTTTTATATTTTTTTTACGTTTCTTCAAAAATCAAATCGTAAATGAAATTAGAGCATTTTTCAGAGAAAGCAACTCGTAATCGATCATTCTCTGCAGCTGCTCGACATTTTATGAAACTTTTATCAGAAGAAGCTAATTATCATCACAGATGGTGAATATTATCATCACAGAAGAAATAAGAAGAGCATAATTTAAAAGAATGTTTTGTTAAACTACATATCACCAATCCCAAATTTTTCAGACACCACGTTATCGAGTTCAGTAAGATCATTTTTTCGTTTGCATTAGTTAACATTCCCTATATTTATTTAAAGTTTTTGACATTAGTGAACATATGTTACCTAAAAACTTCCGTCTCACGCCACTGTAGTATGTCTAAACTTCATATTCTAGCTAATTGTTTTTATAAATTATGTTCTCCTCTCAATTTATTTGCAAATTGGGTTATCTCATTTTTCAGACAATCTACATTTTAATAGATATAACTATCACTTACAATTTAGTATTATTATTAACCATCGCAGAAAAAACGAGCACCTTGAGCAATTTGAATGTTTTTGGTGCTAATTTATATTCCCTTATATATATGCATCCCCGACTCTTTCCATGTACATGGGTTCGTGTTAGAAACAAACAATAAACAACTAAAAGTTTATTTATGAACTATAGAAGGAGTAACCAAATAGTGTGAACTTAAAGCATGTCTCCCGGTTTCCTACCTCCCCGTTCGTTTCCCGAGCATCGCTTGGATAATTGCTTCCGTTCGGACGGTTGATTACATATATATGAATCTCCTTCCGGTCGCTGGTAGACCTGATATTGCCCCCATGACTCACTTACAATAAATATATATATATATGATATACATTCGAAAATTCATATTAACGTATATTCCAGTTAGTGCATTCATTAGTTTTTCGCTTTGAATTTTTAAGAGAAGATTCCAGCTTAAATCACATTCCTCAATTATTTTCATTTGATTTCACAATATTTTTCTTTACTGAAATCTTTGTTGAACCAAATTATGATGAAATGAATTAATATATCAAAAATCATGAAAATTATTATAAAACTTTATTTTAAATACTTTAATTAATACGTTATTTTTACAACTGTAAACCAAAAAAAAAAAAGCACTTTTTGGTCACACTAATGCATGTTTCGCGAGTTCGATTCATAATTTGATTGTGTTTTATTCTTGAATGTACCTTGAATTAGAACGAACGAGAAATTTAATTAACCCTAGAGTTCATTATATTCGGCCTACGGCGACTGTTGTAGATTTATGGGCTTCTACATTTTTCACGTTGGTCTCACTAGAACTAACAGATAATTTTACGTTCTAATAGTTGTTTCGATAATTTTTAATGACGCTATGAATTAAAGAAAATGACAAATATTTCAAGATAAAATGAAATATTCGCGTGAAAATATAAGCCCTCATGCATGACGAGGTAATGACAGGGACGCATCCCTTGAATCTGTCAAAACATAGCAATGACCGGATGTCGGCAATAAATAATCAACAATAACCTAACACCAATATATTTTTATCAATTAGTTTATGTCTTCTTCACACAACTGTAGAAAATTGCTTTAATTCTATTAAAATTTGAGGCGGATACCTCTGTACGTTGTACTACAAGATAGAGAGAGAGAGAGAGTGCGTCTTTAACGTATTCTTAGTTTAACATGTATATCTACAAATTTATCTTTTTAAATAGTTTTTCTTCAAATTTGGCCAATTTTCCGCAGTTGCTCAACAATATTTCAATTTTTCAATGCAATTATACCTCATGTGGATTTTTTTGGTTACCGAGTTCAATAAATTAATAGAGAGTTGCGTATGTTCGTTTGATTTGCATTTTTTGTTGAGCTGTGAAATGTTTTATAGGAATTGTATTCTTCTTTTCTAAGCGCTGCAAATTTCTGAGATTTGACTACAAGTATTTTCCCATGCAGAAATCTCACGCAATTTTTGATTGTCTACTTGAAACACAGTTGTTTATGTTTATTTACAACCCGATATCGTTTAATAAGAGTGGGAAATTCTGGAACAACAGTTTTCTTATGACTTACTTTTTCCTAGTTTTTCAATTATGAAAGTTATGTGATTTTGCTCACACCTCCTGAGTTTTATTGCATCTGTCTACGAATAAATTATTTTCAAGTCAATTATGCTATCCAGACTAAACTATATCAGATGATTCGAAATGGCTTCATCGTAGGCTCGAATTTTACTTATAATTATTCGTATCTTGAAAATAATACATACCACTTTCCCAGTAAAAATACAATGAAAATCTAGATTTCGGTTATTCATATTGTCAAATATTTAATTTCCCATTATTGTTTTATGAAATGTAATCTTCTCTCCAATATATATATCATTATCAATGCGTTTCCTATTATGTTATCGACGTCAAGAAATTACTTTTAATTTTGCTCAAAAACATGTGACTCGTTTTCTTGGATAATCATACTTCATATATTCGCATATTAAAATTATAAATAACATTAAAAATAACATAGACCGAACAGGAATTTGAAGATTGGACGTCTCTGACCCAAAGTGAGAATATACCATTAGGACAAACAAACACAAACCGTGCAGCCTAACGTAACTCATTTCTGATTGATACTGATCCTCGAATAGTCTAGTGGTATGATTCTCGCTTTGGGTGCGAGAGGTCCCGGGTTCAATCCCCGGTTCGTCCCATTCTTTTGGTTTCGTATTTGACAATTTCTAAATAATAAAACAACAATGTTTTAATGATAGTATTTCTTAAAATTAAAACGTTACAGTTAACAATGATTGATGAAAAAGATCTTCAATTATTCTATAAAATCTATTTCAATATCTATTTAACAGTTTCGTTAGTAACGAATATAATATTCCTTTACATAATGAAAAAAACGAATTCGTCGCTTCTTCGTGATATTCAATACTACTTTTTAAACACAACTCTTTTTGAATTAGCATCGTCAATTTCGCATTATATGGGACAATGCAGGTAGGATCGGATAGGAAAAATTGAGTACGATGAGTTTTTTTCAGAATGGTGAGTAATCGCGAAACATTAGCTGTAATGTGTTTTGGCCCGTGCAAAAATTACGGGACCTGGGTGTGCAACATTTTCTTCATTTTTACCAACACATTTTTGGTAGCCGCAATTTTCTCAGTGCTTTTGTCATTTTACTATCGCTACCAATTGATGAAAGTCGAAATTTATAAAAAGTTTCGCCACATAAAAAATTTTGCTCTATTTGCAATTATTCCATTGTCATCTATGGTAAGTCGATGATAAATATAATTTCTGCTTTAAAAAAAAATTTCACAGTTTTTTCAAATTTTCACGGAAACAGATTGGGATGTCGTGCGCCAGAAAACGAAAGAAGATCATCCATTCTATGATTTTAAAAATTATGAATTATTCGGCTATTCAAATGCAAAAAAGCTAGCTGCAATTTTAGCACAATCATTTATAGCTATTGGGGTCTATGTAGTTCCAATCGTTGCCTTATTTTACAGAAGGTAAGTATTGGTTATTTAAGCCATATTTTTGAATATTGATTTCCAGAAAAATCATTAACATTTTGAGCCTTGCTACAGGTCGCAAGTTCTCAGTGGAATATTGTAAATATCTAGTAACGGTCTGCTTGCCAATGTTAAGTTTTCAATGATAATTCATTTAATTATAGGGTCTCACGATTGAAGCCATATTACCTTTTTTTCTTTATTCTCCTGCGTTTACATATGTAACATATTGCCAAATGACAGGTGAACGAAACAGTTTTAGAGTGATGTAACTTAACATTAATCATTTCAGGTGTTTCGGAATTAAGTATTGAATACTTGTTGGCAGTTACCGGAACATTTACATGCATCATTGATCCAATTCTTCGTATTTATTTCGTTCTTCCTTATCGCCGAGCGTTCACCAAATTGTTCCACAAACCATTCGATTCTGTTGTGGATTCGCTACATCAACATACTAGCAGTCATTTTCCATCAAGAAAGAATAATAATAATAATAATATATCAATTGTTGCTACGTAACTATAAAATATATATGATTTTCTTCTTTTCATCTTTTGTGTTTTCCTATTTTTGATAGGATACATATTCCATAAATTTGGATGCTATAAATTTATTTGACAAATACTATTTGATACACAATCGCGAGTGAATGCACTGACTCACGCGATATGAATAATGAAACAATAGAAAAAATTCGAAATGGAAAAAAGGAATTAGCGGCGGCGAGTTCCGTCTTCGAAGAAAATTCCACCATCGATGGCACAATATCTGAAATTATTCACAATGGCCAAAATTTACAATAATTTGTTACTTTGGACATATTCCTTTTTCTCCAGGTCCTCCTGGATTTCCTGGCGGCCCTGGTGGTCCGGGGTTTCCATCAGCTCCAGGTGGTCCTCCTGGCCCTGGTGGTCCCTTTGGTCCTGGCTCTCCTGGTGCTGGTGGCGCGGCATCTCCATCTGGTCCTGGTGGTCCTGGAGGTCCTGGAGGTCCCGCTGGTCCTGGTCCAGCAGGTTCAGCGTAATTCGATTCTCCAGCCGGTCCTGGCTCTCCTGGAGACCCTGGTTGCCCGTCGTTTCCTGGAGGGGCCGGTGGTCCCGGTGGTCCTGGTGGTCCCGGAGGGGATGGGTAAGCTGAACCTCCTGGTTCTCCTGGTCCACCGGCTGGTCCTGGAGGCCCGTCAGGTCCTGGCGGTCCCGGTGGTCCTGGTGGGCATGGTTGGCAAGGCGGTGGTGTTGCGGCTTCGCATGGTGCTCCGGCTCCTTTACCTGCGGCTCCTGGTGCTCCTGGTGCTCCTGGCTTTCCAGGCTTTCCAGGCTTTCCAGGCGATCCTCCTGGTCCTGGTGGTCCGGGATTGCAGCATCCTTGGCAAGATCCACCTCCACCGCCTCCACCAGCTGCCGCTCCAGTTCCAGAAGCATAGCCACCTCCTCCAGCTCCTCCAGCTGTTCCGGCACCACCCGAATAAGCTTGTCTTGCAGTTCTGTTCTTCACAACGTCCTCAACACTGTTGATCTCCGACCACATATCTTTTACGGAGTTCTATAATTATGAGGTGAAATAAGGAATCGTTTAGAGGAAATCATACTTTGCAGAAGAGTGATTCACGTTCGAGTTGTCCTTTAGCATTTTGAACATAACTGTACAAAAGTGGAAGAGTCAAACAAAGTGAGACGGCTGCCGTAAGAGAGAAGCCAACGGCAGAATAAGCGGCAAATCGATAAGCTTTCAGACGAAGATCGGTTGGTGAGTCCATGCTTGCCAACCAAGCCAATGAACTGTGTCTTTACTGTTCCAGTGTGACGTTTTTATACTATACCGTCGTTCAATCTAAACTGGTAATGTGATTTTGATCATTTATGAGATATGCAGATCTATATGAATGATAACGTGGTACAATTGTTCTGAGAATTTTTATTTCAAATTGCCATTCAACGAGGAAACAAAGTTAACGAGTATTACTTTTTCGACATTTATCTACGAGTTCCGTCTTCAATGAATATTCCACCGTCAATAGCGCAATATCTCAAATAATTTGAATACTAAAAGCGAACCGTTGTTTTTTTCTTACTTTGGACAAATTCCTCTTTCCCCTTCGTGTCCATTTTTTCCTGGTTTTCCTGGTGGACCGGGGTTTCCATCTACTCCTCGAGGGCCCATTGCGCCAGGTGCACCCTTTGGACCAGGCGGCCCATTACTTCTCTGTGCTAAATGGCCATCTGGCCCTCGTGGTCCAATGGGACCTGGTGGACCTGGAGGTCCGGTGGGAGCAGGTAGTGAAACTTGACTACCACCTGGCTTTCCAGGATTTCCCGGTTTTCCAGGTGAACCTGGTTTACCAGGAGAACCTTGGTGTCCTGGTGGTCCAGCAGGTCCCGGTGGTAATAATTTACCAGGAAATCCTGGAGAACCAATTTTCCCCGGAATTCCAGGTGGCCCAGAAAGACCTGCCTTTCCAGGCGGACCACGAGGACAAGGCTTACACGGTGGCAGTGTGTTTGGAAGGCATGGTGCGGAAATCACCCGCCCTATTCGGCCTGGAGAGCCATGTGGTCCGGGTTTTCCTGGTCTTCCCGGTTTCCCTGACGGCCCAGGTCCTCCTGGTGGCCCGGGAAGGCAACATCCAGTGCAAGAATTCTGCGCATAAGCTGTTCCTCTTCTGATATAAGCGTGTCTTGCTGTTCGATTTTGTGGATCTGTTGAATAAACCTCTGTGAGCACGTCATCCACAAAAGCCTACAATTTGAATATATGCATAATGTCCATAAAGCGACAATCGGCCTTACATGGCAGTAAACCGCGTTTTTATAAATGTCATATTTCATTTTTTGCACATGAGAAAGCATCATTGGAATAGCAAAGCTCAGCAAAGTTAAGATAATAATAGAAATGACTACAGAAGAATATGCTATGAAACGAAATACATTGAGCCTTACGTCAAACGTATTCATAATGACTATAATTACCTAATTGCGTGCCGTATTTATACAAGTGCATAACAATAACAAATCTGGTTTCTGAAAAGAACAAATGAATTGCGGTTAATGTTGTTATAAGTGATTTCCAAATTAGGTGAAAATGGCTTAATTGATAATCACAAAACACTTGAAATGACCGTACATGTGTGGTCACTAGTCTTTTTATATATATAACATTTCAATAAAACATTAACTTCAAAGTACCAACTGAATATAATTTTTAACCGGGAAGTTTATAACAAAAAAAATTGCGTATTCAAAAAAAATGTTTTAATTCAACTTAGAAAGTAGCTGGTTTCTTATGTGACCGTGGCTGAGGTCGCTGCAGAAAAATTTCTAGACCACCATAAATTTTCCACCAAATAATCTGGTAATAAAAATTGTTTTGATAATCTCCGCCTGGTAGAATTGTTAACTGTAATAATCCGAAATAGAAGTTTACAGGATATAACAGAATTTATTGAAAATAAACATAAATAAGTGTTACAACAAAATTTTGTAATACATTGGCAATACTGAGATCTGAAATTTCATGTTGAATCTTAAAGACGTAAAGGGGTGTAATAAGAGATTAAGTAATCAACCGGTATATAGAGTATGAGGTTGGTTCAGCTGAAGGAATATCAAACTAATAAACAAACTATATAAAAATATAAAACACATTTGGAACTTTTAAGATTGTGATTCAGACATCACGAACTTTTCCATGAACTCGAAGACGATACAAGCAGGTGAATGGGGCTCCGTAGTTGCTCGTCACCTCGAGCTCAACAATCTTGACAGCAAAATCTGGTTTGTTTTTAGCAGGGAAAAATTGCAACTGGGGTCCTTCAAGATCGTATGTGTATTCTCCAATGAGAACTCGTGAATGGATATCATCAACGTGTTTGTAGGCCCAAATCTTGAAATCCTTTGGAGCACTTCTGCGATTTTCAGCTGGAGCTAATTCCTTGCCTAAAAATGAAAATTTTCCATTGATATTTTTCATGATCAATCTCACTTATGTGTTCATAGCTAACACTGGTCAGGTCAATGTGATGGGATAGATCGATCGTCAAATATCCACGGTCGTTCTTGAAACTCCAGCATTCTCCAGGGAAGAGGGTCTTAGAGTTTCGCTAAAATTGGATGAATTAATTGTTGTGGGGGAATTCAAAATTATTACCTGAATCACAGTTCTTGGGCCATACGATGAATACCACAATGGAATATTCCAAATTTTCTCAAGTCTTGAGTAGCTGTTGTACGTCTCCGAGCACCGCGTTGAGATTACCGAAGCTCCAGAGCTTTCAAGCGCATAGTCGACTTGCCCCGTCTTATCAGCATCGTATTGGTAGATCATTGTCCGAATAATCTCGTGCAAGCTTGAATCGTCGCGGTCAATATGAACGTTCAGCGATTTGATTTTCTCAATCAGCGCGAGTTGATTGGCTTCGTTCATCGCAGCCACTTCTTTTTGGAATTTTTCGCTAAATTCCTGGCGCAACTAAAAATGACGCGTTTAACTTCAATAAATTCATTCGGAACGTACCTTCTCAGTTATTTCCTGAATAACTTTTTTCTCATCAATAGTAGCTGGCGGTGTCTTAAGCACAATTGGAATTTGTGTCATTGGCTTCACTGGATCAATGGTTGGAATTGGAGGCTCAGCGTTATTCATTTCTTTGACCGGAACGATTCTTGGTAGCTCTTCGTCTCTCTTCAAAGAAGGATGATCTTGTGTTTCTTCACGAGATATCACAATCTCCTTAATTTCAGATGAAAGATCCAATATATTATTTGTTGTAGTTACCTTTTCAACTTGTAGATTTGAGTTTCCGAAAAGCGGCTTAACAATCCACTCATAGAACGCTACAAACCCTCCTGATATATATCCTTTAGTTCTGCGTAAAGTTGATTCTGCTTTCACATCCCACTCCGTTTGAGTCATGGCGTCCATTGCATTAGTCGATTTCTCACGTAGTCTCGTGTGTGATATTATACAAACTCTTTTCAAAAAGTTCCACAAGTCGCGAAGAAGATGCATGGCTGTGGTCCCTGAAAAAAACAAAACAATTTTTTTCTTTTATGTTGTCTACACACCCATGTCTCGAATTGTGTCAAGAAAGAAGATATACCCATCGAAGATCCAGGTATACACTACTGGAAATTGGCTAACTAGCGTATTCACGGTCTTACGAAAGTTGGTAATCGACATTTGAGCGTTTTTGTAGGCGCTCGCAAACTTTGTTTCGACTTTATGATACATTGGGCCGAGAACTGTGAACACTCCATACTTTCCATAACCGATTGACTGGATTGTATTGGAAATAACATTTGGAGTTCCCGTAAAATAAGCGTAGAACTCGAAAACTAAAAAATTGTTATTTAAAAGACACAAAGGTGTTATTAATACCAATGTTGGTCAGCTTTGTTCCAATCCAGCGACTCAGATCTACGATTGGTTTCGTCAAAACGTGTCCAACAGTTTTCAAATTGACAGTAAGGTTATTGAAGTTCTGACGCGTTCTGTTTATCTTTGCTTTTGCCGCTGTGATCAGTTTCTCATCTAAAATATTTATATAATAAATTCCCTAATTTATCTTGATATTACCCGTGGTTTCTCCAGCTAACAGCAGAATAATCAAAGTCAAGAAGATGAGGCCAAGCAGAATCCAGAATAAGGTAAAGTCTCTCTTCTTGACCTTGTCGTGAACATAGTTGGCAGTAAAAGGAACGAAAAAGAAAAGGCTTTGAATAGTCAAGTAGAACACGGTGACCAATTTTGACGAAATTGAATGATTCGATTCAAAAACCTTTGGAATGACGAAAAGGTTGCTCACTGATTTTCTGGAAAATTATATATTAGCGAATACATTTTTAAATAAAAACTGTACGCTTTTGCCAAAAGAGCACGATGGGTGAGTTTTGAATCAGTATTTTCCAATGCCTCCACACGGTAATCGTTCAGTTCCGGCTCAGATATGACCTTGCTTCTGTAGTAGTCGTGAATCATATAGAAAGCATAAGAAGCAACAAAGTATGGAATGAAGGCAACATAAAGAATCCACTTCAAGACAAGGAAGAAAGAGTCGTACTGAAAAAAGGTACAATTTAAAAACAATTTTCAATAAAGCACTCCTACCATAATTCCAATAAGACCTGATGAGCTACCACTGAAGGAAACATTGTGCTTCTTAAATGTTGCACCGCCCTTTGATCTTCTAAGAATCGGAGTCAATTCTTCTGTTGGCTCGGGAGTATCACTTTCAATAAAATTGCGTGATCGAAGTCCATAACTCGACAACGGAGTATCTTCTTTGTCAAAAACAGTGTATTGCTCGTTGATTGCTCCCGCGCGATTTCTAACTGGTGTGATCGAGCGGCTAGACACATTTCGGAATGAACGAAGTGTACTGGTCAAAGGCGAAGCACCGCTATCGGATTCTTGATATTTTTGGATGACTTGAGTTTCCACAATCTGCAACCATACCAAATATTACGTTTGTACTCATTTCCAACGAAACCAACCTTCTTTTGGACGGCTCTTCTTGGAGTTGGGTTTCTTGCTGGGGACAAAGACGGACTGTTTTTCATCATACGTTGTTCTTGAATCGTTTTGCGAGCTGTCTTCCGCGACTCAGCAACAATTCCATCAGCAGAAGCGTTTTGAACGGCCAGTGTCCAAATTGGGTTCACAACGCGATCGTTGACAAAATAGATTGGAAACGTCAAAATCGAGACAAGAAGATTCCAAAAAGTTGATTGTTGTTGATCGCTAGCGTTTCGATTCGGACCGGAAAAAATTTCCATAATCTTCCAAATTGTGATGTAAGCGTATTCATAGAAAGTGACTGCCACCACTTTAATTGAATTAATGATTGTTTGAGCCATATAGATAAACAGAAGCCGCACCAAGGTTACCGGCAACATAAGATAGTAAAATATCTGAAATTTTATACAACATCACTCTCTTAAAATCCAAATTATAATAAAAAAGATACCATGTTCAAAATACTGGCAGTGGACCAATGCTCTTCAACCATTACTGGGGACTTTCGTCCAAGGTTGGGAACTTCCCAATGATCCGGCAAGTTCGGATCGTACAGCTTGCTGTAAGCGTACGTATAATTCGTTTCATACGGCAAATTTCCGGTTAGAGCGTCTAGTTCTTCTTCAGTGAACTTTGGTGACTTCAGCGTTCTTACAGGTGGCGCGGTGAATCGACGACGAATTTTGGCGAACATGCCGGGCGACTTCCTTCCGGTACTAAAATAAAGGTACTGCATAGATTGAAAAGTTTAAAAATTCTTACATTTCAGCAGCAAAACTGCTTTTCCATTGATGGTTTTCAAAAGAACCCATCTGAAATAAATTAATGGAACAATTTTATCTTTTCGAATGTAAAGCAACTCAACTTGTATGAGACTGCTTGAAAAAGAGAACGATAAAGCGAAAAGCAAACAAACATTGAGAAAGTGGATAAACAATCATGGCAAAAAAAAGAAGAAAATGATTGAAAAATTGGTTCATTTTTATGAGGGAATCTAGCATAGTGACCCAGAAAAATAGGAATTGGCAGATGTTTGAAAACAATATATGTACAGACAAGAAGCGACGAATTTTCGTATCATATTGTTTGAAAACAAATTCTGGCATGAAATACAAACATGGGACAACAAAATTGGCAATGATTCAGATTCAAATTCAACGCGTTTTGCAACCAATAGATAGCGTTGAGTGGGGGGAACAAATTTTTTGAGTTTCGGAGGGCAATGTACGCGTGAAAATAGTGAGCGACACCGAAAGCGCAGAGATGCAAATCGCGGCTGAAGGTCAGGTTGCGACAACAACATCAACAAAATGCTTTTTTTTCACTATTGAAACCAATGAAAAGAAAATGCGCTGATAAAATAAAAATTGAGCGACCGTTAATTTTCAAATTCAAAACAACCTCAGACAACGTGTCCATAGAGCGCGCTTGTCGGTGCTTACCAATTGGATGGACGCTCGCACACATGTCGCGTTGAACAATTAACTCAATGTGGAATGAGGAAAAGCGATGAGAGGTCACCACCTCTCGCTCTCTTTCTCTTTCTGCCATCTCATTTCTAATGAATGATCCAAGAAGATGGCAACGCATTTAATGAAGCGGGGTTGCGGCTTTCCTGCAGCTGCATACCAAATGTTTTATGCTTTGGGGACTGACAAATATTGGTTTTTTTTAAATAGGAAAATGAAAAAAAAACAAAGCAGCAACATATGTCTAAAACTGATGATCAAGACAATTCAATACTTTAATCAAAAAGTGAATGCTTTGTGAGAAAATATTTTTTCAGCGCGTCCAAAAATTAAAAATGAACCAAACGAAATCATTATAATTTTAAAGAACTCAACTATTATATTTTCGTCATATCTAACATTTGCACAAAATTAATTTTAATTCGGTGCATTTGCATTAAAATGACTTGAATACAAACTCAATGTTTGTTCCATCAATAACAGTTTTGAAATTCACAGCAATAGGTATTTGAAAACACTAAAAGAAATTTCATATTTATTTTTTAAACTAGCAATTTAAAATAACAGGAAAAACGTAATTTGAAGTTCATGAAGTTGTTAATTAGCTCATCATTTTTTTCCATAAAAACTATATTTATGACTGATGTGCTTCAAAAGAAAACGAGCTCGGAAACGATATTGTGGGAAGAAAATTTGATAGGCTATTTCACCAAATTGGAGAATGAATCTTTGAAAAAAGAATAATGTTCAAAGAATTCAGAAAGAGTGAATTTTTTTGCACTTTTGCTAGTTGAAAATGACTGAGTTTTGTTAAATAAAAAACGAAACATCGATTTTGAACGGAATGCATGCATGCAGTAATTGGAAGTGGCAAAAAGCTAGAAATTGGAAATGGTGTGTACATAACAACGCATTAATTATCCAAACGCACTCTGAATATCGTAATTCATCGTGACTGGATAAAATTGGAATGATATACTGTGGTCATTTCTGAGAATATTCAATGACGAATTGATCTGTGATGAAGGTCACGTCATGCATTTTATGAGTTGGATTAAAGCAATGCACTTGTATCCTTATGATCTTTTTTTCAAAAAGATCGAAAGAGAGAATAGCTGAAACTATGCAGAAAGCAACTATTTCTTTTTTTCTTATTAATTAAATTTTTTTTGGATAAACGTCGAATCACTTTGCCGAATCCGAATAATTTGAAGAACTCAAAGTTTTACGAATCTTCGCTTCTATTCAAACTTGATGAATGATAAAGAAATCGCAAGTTGAGCAATATATTTAAAATTTTTGAAATTTTGTGTGCATCCCTTATGAGCTTCGTCGTCCAATCTATAAATTCTAAATAATCTACCAGCCTGTATTTTTCGAAAAAAAAATATGTCATGCGTCTAAATCAATAAATATTTCCTCATTGCCTATCATATTAAGAGAGAATAATGATTGGAATCAAGCGGAACGTAATTGATATTAAAGAATGCAGGTATTCCGGTTGTACAGCCTTTAAAATAGACTTTCAACGCTTTTATTAAATATAAAAAAATTTTTAAAAACGGTATTTACAATTTTATTTTTGTTCTCAAGACAGTCCTGTACAGTACGTTTATGAAATAATCGTTTTTGCTGTAATTTGGCGGGTAACAAATCACGCTTAAAATTTCAACGTTTGTTTCAACAAAATTTCTATTTGGTAAAATTTTTCTCATTTGTAAAAACAACGCGCATTGTCTTCTTTTAATATCTTTCAGCAATAATATTCTTCGAAATTTTATATTTTTCTTAAACTGTTGAAAGTTTTGGAATCTGTTGGAGCCGTGACCTCGACACGTCACGTGACACACCACGTGGCACACGTTTCATAGGAGCGATATAAAAACCCCTTTTTACGCTCAATAATCAGTTATTCATATTGTGTCTAATAAATATATTCTCTACGTTGGCTCGTTCACAAGGACACAACAACTGGCGATCAGGATGAGATGACAACTGGCGATCAGGATGAGATGTCAACAACATCTCCCTCGCTAGTTCGAAACATAGGTGTTTCGGGATGGATTGATCTGTAGTCGTCTGACCGGCTTCGGGATCCTTGTTGAACAACTGGCGATCAGGATCTACGCACCATGGACGTCAACACAGTCAAACTGCTCTTGGCAGAGCAAGCGAAGCAGCACCAAGACTTCGTTCGAGAAATCACCAAACTGCTGATGGAGGGACGACCAGGCACTTCACCAACCGCTCCCGCACAACCAAACACCCAAACAGGGCTTATCGACTCGCTGACGACTCGACTACCGACATTCTCCTTCGACCCGGATGAAGGAACCACATTCGAAATCTGGTATTCACGGTACGAGGACATTCTGCGACTGGATGGATCAACATTGGACGACGGCACCCAAACCAGGATCATCCTATCAAAGCTCGATGCCCCCGCTTTCGCCAAGTACGCCGACAACATCCTGCCAAGGAAACCATCGGATCTGACGCTCGAAGAGACCATCACCCGGCTCAAGACTCTCTTTGGACACTCGAAGTCTGTATTCCGACGCCGATTCGAATTTCTGCAATCGCAATTCACTGGTTCGGATCTTGTTCAATACACTGGCCAAATCAAGAGGAAGTTCGCACAAGCAGAATGGGCAACGACGACGCCGAAGCAAACCCAGATTCTCGTCTGGATCATGGGTCTCAACGGACCGGAATTCATGGACGTTCGCACCCGCGCTTTGCAGCAACTGGAGTCAAGGCCGAGCATCACTTTGGACGAATTGCAAGCGGACGTACTGCGCATTCTTGGAATCAAGGACGACGCGAAACTCCTCAATTCGCCAACAATCAAAGGACCTCAGCACGACCACCAGCACATCTTTGCTATGTCGAGAGAGGACAACCACCAACAACGATCAACGACGTCACGAAGAACCTCGACCCCGAAGGCGAGGACACCCGAACCACAGCCAGAACAGCCAACAACGCAGCAGAAGCCACCATCACCATGCAGACATTGTGGAGGACCTCACTGGAATGCTGACTGCAACCGCAACCGAACGGACAGCAGACGAAACCCGAAATCCCGCCGGGAACGCCAAGGATCCCGCAGAGGACGTCAAGGAGGACATCTGGGACTCATCTCAGTCAACCACGCATGGATCAACAAGAGCAACCGGATCTTCAAGAACGTGAACATCAATGGAACCGACGTCAAGATGCAATTGGACACTGGCGCCGATATCTCGCTAGTCTCAACAAAGGATTGGATTCGACTTGGGAAACCATCGCTCGAGCCTGCCAACGTCAATCTGAAAGCCGCCAACAACAACAGGATTCGCCTCAAAGGACGGTTCAACTGCAAGTTCATCATCAATGGACAACACGGATCCGGATATTGTCATGTAGCCGATACCGCCGACCAAGTTCGTCATCACACCCGCATGGAACCGCTTCTCCGCCGGATCATTGATTACGTCACCACCGGAAAATGGCCGAAGCTCACAAGGAAGCAACCAGAATGGAACTACTTCAACCGACGAGAAGACCTCAGTATAGTCAATGGATGCCTCATGTTCAACCACCGGATCGTCGTACCTGCTACACTCCGAAGAAGAACTCTCACCGCACTGCACAAGGCTCACCCTGGAGGAACCAAGATGAAAATGCTCGCTAGAAGTTACGTCTACTGGCCATCGCTGGACCAGGATATCGAGGATCTTGTCAAGAGTTGTGGAAACTGTCAAGCTGCCGCCAAGAACCCCATCAAAGCGGAACTTCAATCATGGCCTGCCGCCTCTGGACCATGGACACGCGTTCACGCCGACTTCGCTGGACCCGTAGATGGATCGTACTACCTGATTGTAGTGGATGCCTACTCGAAATGGCCGGAAATTCACGAGACGTCAACCATCTCGACGACAGCAACGATGACAATCCTGAAGAAGGTTTTCGCACAATTCGGAAATCCGGAAACCCTCGTAACGGACAATGGAACACAGTTCACGGCAAGCTCATTCCGACAATTTTGCGCAGAACGTGGAATCAATCACATTCGGACACCGCCCTACCACCCGCAATCAAATGGGCAAGCGGAGCGATTTGTCGACACATTCAAGAGAGGTATCAGGAAGCTTCAAGGAGAAGAACCATCGCGAGAAGCCCTTCAAACGTTTCTCCAAGCTTATCGATCAACACCATGCCCAGCTGGACCGGATGCCAAATCCCCTGCTGAGAACTTTCTGGGAAGACCAATGCGGACGCCCCTGGCTTTGCTGTTGCCGACAACCACTACACCTGGACCGCGCAACGAGAAAATGGAATCGCAATTCAACCGTCATCAT